TTTTAAAATAAGCTGGAACATATAATATCAGGTCAATGTTAATTGGGTGTTACATTTTGAGGAGTAATACTGCCCTAAAGTTATGTAAATTTCTCAAAGAATAATGGCTATCTTGAGTTAGAATCAGGGAAAAAACACAGGAAATAGCAGTTTTGTAATCTTGGTTTTTAAATACTTTATGCTTTGAAAATTGTATTCTAATAAAAGTAGTAACTTTGTTGAGGCTTATAAATTGAGAGAAGTGAAGATTAGGTGGAGATGAGATATGGTCACCAAGAAAGATGAGTTAAGTTTCTTTTGGTAATTATGTTTTTGTTAATTATAAATTTATCTCAACATTTTTTTCCCTTGGGGTGCTAGGGATTGAACTCAGGGCCTCACTTGAACATTAAGTACTTCAGCCCAATCTCAAATATTTCAAAAAGAATGAATATTTATGACATTTTGAGAACTATTCTAAATATTGCATGTGTGTCAGTTCATTAAAACTTTTTCTTTTAAAAAGTCTCAAAACCTTTTAAATTCATTTTAATTTTGTCCTATCCCCAAGGTCTTCTGAGATTATTATTATTTTTATTATTATTATTATTATTTTGTACTGGGGATGGAACCAAGCAAGGGGTGTTCTACCAATGACTTGTTTTATTCTGAGACAGGATCTTGCTAAATTGCCTAAGCTGACCTCAAATTTGGGATCCTCCTGCTTCAACTTCCAGAGTAGCTGGGATGATAGGCATGAGCCACTGTGCCCCGTTTATATTAGAAATTTGATGAGAGTAGAGATTACCTTCACATCCTTCAAAGGCTTAGCATAAGGCCCTGAAATCGTGCTTAGAAGAAAATTATTTAAAATTATTTTAGTTGTCATAAGCTTAGAAAAATTTAAAGGTAAGGTAACACCCTATCTTAATATTTTGGAATTTTTCTTTACATCAGATGTTCCTGTGAATGAGGATTTTTGTTGTTGTTGTTAATGCATTCGGGGAATTGCAACAGATCTTTACTGATGAAGAGGGTACATTTTGAAAAATGGGTTTTGATCAAATTGTTAATTGGGTTTTTGGTTAGTTTTTAATCAAACTGTTGTTTTCATCATGACTTGTTATTATATGCTTAGTATATATTAAAAAGGACTGAAATACTATCTAATAGTCAATATTAATGCTTTTTTAAACTTGTTTTTGTGTATGTATGTGGTGTTGGGGATTGAACCCAGAGCCTCGTGCAAGCACTCTACCAACTGAGCTATACCCCAAGCCCAATGCTTTTTAATTTGTATACAGCACTTTAGTATACAAAACATCCTCACATATATTTCATTTGATTATTTGGTTCTAAGTATGAAGTCTGCATAAAAAAGTTATTATATTACAGCACTTTTTTGTTCCCTTTTAAGGGAAATATTTATTTTCAAATATTATATGCACTTGTACTCAAACATAAATCTGTTAGGGAATGTGAAATAGCAATGGTTAAGATACACCAAGTGGCAGCAACTAACCCAGATGAAGAGGAGTCAGATAAAAATAAGGAGGAAGGTCAGTGGATTCATGAAGTTCTGACACTTGGAACACAATGCTTACAAAGGATAGCCTCAAAAAGATTCAGGTGTTTAGGTAAAGAGTCACTCTCCCCTTCTCAAACAACAAATCATAAAAAGAAAAAAGACTAAACATTTCTGTGCAAGGAAAATTTCTGTGAATCTCTGGTCTTGAAGGATGAAAATAGGCAAACATACGGACAACTGGACTAAAGTGCTGGTTATAGTGGTGCACACCTGTAACTCCAGTAACTAGGGAGGATGAATCAGGAGGACTGTGAGTTCAAGGCCAGCCTCAGCAATTTAGTGAGGTCCTAAGCAACTCAGTGAGACCCTGTCTCAAGATAAAAAATAAAAAGTACTGAGGATGTAGCTCAGAGGTAAAGCACCCCTGGTTCAATCCCCCAGTACCAAAACAAATAAACAAACCAGAACAGGCATTAGGAATATAAATTAATATAGCCATTATGGAAAACATGATTCCTCAAGAAACTAAAAATAGAATTACTGTATGATCCCATTTCATTATATCAAAGAGATGTGCATTCCCATGCTCATTGCAGTTTTATTCTCAATAGTCAAGGTATGAAATTAACAAATGTGTGAATTAACGCATTTAAAAATAAAATGTGGCTCTTCTTCCTCTGCCAGGCCATTCTGCTTCATTTCAGGCCCAGAATTATGGAATCTGCTGCTCATGGACTGAACCTCTGAAAGTGTGAGCCCAAAATAAACTTTTCCTTCTCTATATTATTCTTTTCAGGTCTTTGGGTCACAATGATTAAAAAAAAAAAAAAAAAAAAAGCTAAAACAGAAACTGGTCTTGAGATGTGGGGTTGTCATTCTCACTTACCTGCCCATGTAGTTCAAAAACGTTTTTGAGCTTTCTGGAGTTTATGGAAGGCCTTTTCAAAAGCTTAGAGCTGCAAGCTGGAAAAGTTTTAGAATGTTTTAAGTGGGTGATTTTGGTGGGTGCTCAAAAGACCAGGATTGTGAAAGAACTGTGGAGAATAAAGACTGGCTCATGAGGTTTCAGAGGAGGAGGGCTCTATTGGAGATTGGATTAGAGGCCATTTGTGCTACCTTCTGGCAAGACTTTGTCAATACTTTGCTTGTGTCCTGAGACTTTCTTTAAGGTTGTATTTAAAGGTGATGTACTAATTAATCTGGTGGAGGAGATTTTAAGACAGCACAGCATTCAGGCTGCAGAATGGATATTGCTGGTAGTTTATTTTTTTATTTTTAAATACATTATTTTGTTTATTTTTATGTGGTGCTGAGGGTCGAACCCAGAACCTTCCATATGCTAGGTGAGTGCTCTACCGCTGAGCCACAACCCCAGTCCCGGTAGTTTATTTTTTTTAATATTTATTTTTTAGTTGTAGTTGGACACCATACCTTTATTTATTTATTTATTTTTATGTGGTGCTGAGGATCTAACCCAGGGCCTCACAAGTGCTAGTCGAGTGCTTTACCATTGAGCCACAACCCCATGCCTGCTGGTAACTTTTAACCAAGTTTACTGTAATAATCAGGAGCAGAAAGCAAAACAGAAAGATCTGGAAAAAATTTGCAGTTTGGCCAGAGAAGTGTGAATAAAATTGGTGCTAAGGAAATAGTGGTTGTTAAAGATATTGCAGCATTAAAGAGATGCTAAGTACTTTACACGGAGACAATAGGAAAGACGGCTGGAAGCCATCCCAGGAATTGGCAAGAACATATTCATCGCAGGCTCAAGGGTGTCAAAGTATAAATTCCTTTGAGAAGAGGCCATGGGGGCACCTTGCTTGCACAGGCAGGCCTAGAAAGTTGTTTCACTGTGCTCAGCTGTGTAGGCACTGATGCTGCTGCAGCCATGTTCTCAGGATGCATAGTTACTGCTCAAGATGATGGCACACTGGAGTCAACCATGTGCTACTGGTTCTGTAGGAATGCAGGTTGCAGGAGTTAGGGGGTCATGGAGGCTTCCACGAAGATTTCAAAGAAAGGCCTGGAAAGCCACACATAGTGTAGCAGGGTCAGAGTTCCTGTTGGCAGCCCTTGAGAAGGTGATGCCATGAAGATATGAGAAAGAAGTAAAAAATTTTTTTTCCCTCTGGGAAAAAAGAAAATGTAATATATATTACACACACATACACAATGGAATATTATTCGGCCTTAAAAAGGAAATTGTGTCATTTATGTCAACATAGACAAACTTGGAAGACATTATGCTAAGTGAAATAAGCCAGACACAGAAACACAAATACTTCATAGTTTAGAATCTAAAAAAGTAGAATCTGCAGAGGCAGAAACTAGAATGATGTTTGCCAGGGGAAAAAGGGATAGAGAGGTTTTAGTTAAAGGAAACAAAGTTTCATTTAGGCCAGAGGAATAAATTCTAGAGCTATACTGTGCAGCATGGTGACTATATATAATAACATGGTAAGAGAGAACGTATCATTTCTCATTAACACAAATAACTATGAGGCGATGGACGTGTTAGTTTGTGATAATCACATCACAGCTCGTACATACATCAAAACATCACACTGTCCACCACAAATATATATAATTTTGGCCAACTATACTTAAAAAAAAAAGTTTGAAAAAATTCTTAAGACAGACAATTCATAAACTCTTGAATGGATGGCAATTTCTATTATAAATAAAAACGTAACCTGCAATGTTTGTATTGGGAAAGAAATCTGAGAAAATGTTGTGTGTGTTCCAGTGGGAACTGAAGGTTTCTGTGTACCTTTCCAAAACGCTTGACTTTACAAATTAAGAGTCCAGGGAACTCTTGCCCGTTCTCCAGGTGCGCTTCCTCCCTCCTTTCAACAAGTTCACTGTCAAAACCTACATTACTTCCAAGTGACGCCCCTGGAGGGAACAAGTCCCCGATCTTTCTAATCCGCCCCAGCCCTTCCACATCGCTCAGGTGTCCAGAGTCAGAGGGAGAGGGTGGGTAGGGGCTCTAACGCTAGTCCTGGCAAAAATTCTCCAGGTAGCGACCTCAGGTGTAAAGCTGCAGAGTACAGGTGGCGCGGGGAGGCGGGAGGGGGGGGCGTCTTCCCATTATTATTACGTAGTCCCATCTCCTTCTGGGGAAAGCACAGGTGAGAGCGGGGCCGCCCGCGCAGGGTGCTCCAGGACCAGCACGTCCTGCGATGCCGCAGCCTGCGCTGGTGTCCTGCGCGGCGGCTTCTTTGAGTCCTCTACTCGCTCTCTGAGTTGGCTGATTCGTCAATTTTTCGTGTCAGAATTTAACATGAAAATTCGTATTCCATTATTTCGGAAGCCATTTCTATCCAGGAAACCGGAATCTGGAGCGACTTCGTGTTCTTGCATTCTTTAAGATCCTGGCGTCCACCGTCCTCACCCTCGGCGATCCGGGACCTTGCGTCGAAAGCGCCGACGCGGATGCTCAGGCCGCCATTCCCAGCGCGCAGTCGCGGCGGCCCGGGCCCCCACCCCCGCCGGGAGTCCGACGTGGAAGTTGCTGGCTGACCTGGCTTGAGAGGAGACCGCCTTGGAGCCGCGGCTGGAGGCTAAAGCTAGCGGAGGTGGCGGCGCCCAGGCTGGGACAGCAGTCGTTGCCGAGTCGAGGCCTGCCTCCGCGGACCGGCGAGGGCCGACTGGCGGGTCATCATGGGTGAGCAGTTCGAGGAGTCTGGGCGCGCTCGAGGGGCTGCGGCTCAGGGCTGGGGGCGGGAGGGGGAACGGGGCCGCAGTGCGAAGCCCAGAGTCGCCAGCTTCTCCCGGGCGGTCGTGCGGGACTCAGCTTGGCTCTTCACCTGCGGGCGGACCCCGCTCCGCGCTTCTCCGCTGCCCTGGCTGCTTCCCCTGCGTCCCTGCGGCGTCGGGGGCAGCCTGGCGGCGAGTCCTTTTCGGTGACCCCGACTTTCCCCTCAGCCTCCTACACCCACCGCCGCTCGCCGGGCGCAGTTGGGCTTGCGGAGCGCAGCGACGTGTCAGTTGCGGGTTCGCGGACAACGTTGAAACCGGGGCTCCGTCCCCGCAGTGCCCGCTGAATTCTGTCCCCTGCGGAGTCGGGACTGCGTCACTTCGAGAAGTCCGACGGGAGTGTTGCTTGAAAAAAACAAAACAAAAAAAAAACACATTTATTTATTTATTTTTATGTGGAGTTGAGGATCGAACCCAGTGCCTCCTCCGTGCCTCTGAGCCACAAGCCCAGCCCGGGAGTGTCGCTTTATGGCCACCCTGGCAGCTGTGTTGATTGCCTGCTGTAGCTTTTCGTGTAAAATCAAGTCGGGTAAATTGGAAGTGGGGAGGGTGTTACTAGTCCAGTGAATGAAAACTTGAATTCCAGTTCTAGGGACTGTTCCTTGTGCCCGCTGGAGCCCACATGGAGGTGTGCATTCGTGAACTTGTTTACCACTTTCCACATGAAGATGCCTGTCCTCTGTGGTTTAAATCCCTCCTCGGTTTTCCGGGAGTAAACTTCCTGCTCCAGAGGCTCACAGCCCCTAAACCTGTCTTGTGTAACCCTTCAGTTTTGTTCTTCCGCATCTTTCCTACCTGTAAATGGCAGAGAGGACTTTGTCAAGTCACACCCAGATTCTTTCGACTTTTCCAAGTTTCTCTGTGTAGCCCGTGGTGTGTTCGATTTTCCAAACTTGGCAACTTAATTTTCCCATCTCCTTTCCGTATAGCAAAGTGTGGCAACCCTTTTGTTCGTCAACTATTATTATTACTAGCTTTAAAAAAAATTTTCTCTAGTGGCTTTCAGAAATAGTTCTTGTGATTTCTGGTTTGTGTGTCAGTTTCTTTTTTTTTTTTTTAAAGCACTTTATTGCCTTTATTTATTTACTTTTTATTTTTATATGGTGCTGAGGATCGAACCCAGTGCCTCACTCGTGCTGGCAAGTGTTCCACCACTGAGCCACAACCCTAGCTCTGTGTGTCAGTTTCTTCTGCCTGTTATATTGTTAATTAGAGAAGTCTCAGTAATTAAAGATCATTGTGATTTTGCTGCTGTACAATAATTGCTTTTCATGTGTGAAAAACCACTGCCCTTATGACTGGCCCTTTGGTTTTTAGGGGTAGCAAGGAAACCATGTCAAGGTATCTGTATTCTGAACCCCATGTCAGTAGTGACTATATTTCTAATTATTTAGTATATCTTTTGCCTGCCTGACACAATGTTAGGACTACTAATATATCACTAATTACTTGTGTGATGTTGAATAATCCATTTCATTAGAAGCAAAAATATATACCAGGAAAATATATTATTATTTAATTTGATATGTAGTTTTCAAAGGACAAGATTAAATGTATTGTGTATCTGGTTTACACAATATTGAATATGATTTTGCTTTTATTATCTTTTTAGGTGGCTTTTTCTCAAGTATTTTTTCCAGTCTCTTTGGAACCCGGGAAATGAGGATTTTAATTTTGGGATTAGATGGTGCAGGAAAAACCACAATTCTGTACAGATTACAAGTTGGAGAAGTTGTTACTACTATTCCTAGTAAGTGTTGGTATAATAAACTAATTGTAGGAGCTTTCTGGTTTATATCTAACTTTCAGAATAAATGATTTGTATAATAAATTGATAAAGTTTGTAAACTTCTAATATGAATATAATATTAATAACACTTTTTTCTTTCTCTTTTTTTTTTCCCCCGGTACTAAGGATTGGACCCAGCAGTGATTTCCCACTAAGCTACATCCCCAGCCCTATTTTTATTTTTTATTTTGAGATAGGATCTACCTAAGTTACTTAGGGCCTGCTGTGTTGTTGAAGTTGGCTGTCTAAGCATCCGGAGTCACTGGGATGATAGGTGTACTCTACTGCACCTGGTCTGATAGTTAAACTGAGAGACAATTTGATATAATTTAAGGCCCCCTGTAAGTGTGCAAAGCAAGTTTGCTGATTAGAGCTAAAGTTGATTTAAGTCACTAAATCTTATTGAGGGCCAGTATCTTTACTGATAAAACGAAAAATAATAAATATCTACTGGCCTTGAGGAGGGGAAATAAATGAAGTGTACAAAAATACTTTAAAAATACTTTGTAGGGGTTGAGGCTATAACTTAGTTGTAGTAGAGCATTGGCCCTGGGTTCAATCACAGCACCAAGAGGCAGGAGAAACAGAACAAAAATTCTTTGTAAATGTGTGTAAAGAATTATATGGATGTTAAGTGATAAACATATGCAAAGTGCCTTTTTTTTGCCTGAATTTGTTTATATTTTAACTATAGTTAGTTTGTCTTTAGTAATTCTATAGGTTCCTTTTTGTTGTGGTGATGGTACTTAGGTCTGAACCTAGTGACTTGGGCATGCTGTGCAAGTTCTGTACCTCTGAACTACATCCCCAGCCTTTATTTATTTTATTTTGAGGCAGTGCCTTACTAAATTGCCAGGCAAGTGTTAAGTAGCTGGGATTGCACTTGGCAGGATTCTATTGATTACTCTTAAAGATCTGAGTTGTAGAGACTGAGTGTCAAAATACACTGGTACTTAAAAATAACAAAAGAAACATTTGTTGCTGTCTTAGTTAAACAGGATTGTTCCTGGATATTTGTCTATTTATGAATACTGTTATTTATACTTTTTCATTTGCTGATCTGAATTTACTTAAGATTAATACATTTCCACTAAATTGAAGAGTTCAGAGTTTGCTCAAGATTATTTAAATTATTGCCTGTACAGTTACTGTTACTGAGGTTCTAGATTTTAAAAGAAAAGTCTAGCTTTTATGAAAATAACTTTTTGAACTCTGTAGCATCTGTTATTTTCTTTTTGCTACATTCAGTACATTTCAGTTCCCTTGGTTCTTCTTAAAATTTCTAATCTCTACTGTGACAACTCTTGGTGGCCCATGCAGTGCATAGTGGATCCCATTTCAGTGAGAGCTCTTTATACTACATTCTTGTCCTTTGCACATAAATAGTGCTCTTAATCATGATGAATGAGGGTAATCAGTGTGTAATTGCATAATTCTAAGGAGGACATCATGAACTTGGCTTTTAGTTTCCCACTTAGGTTTCTTATACTATAGTTTTAATCATCCAGTTACAAGAGTAAGTTGTTTTTTGCTTTGATATTTTTAATCTTGTAAGATGTAAGTACTCTTTGTATATATCAGTCCTAAGTTTTTTCAGCATCCTTTCCACTCCTTAGATTCCTTTCAGTGACAGTAGTAGTACCTTGCCTTAGCTGTGTGGTGCCCCTTCAACCATTCAGCTATGACTTATTTTGAGACACGTTCTCATTAAGTTGCTTAGGTCCTCACTAAGTTGTTTAGGTCCTCACTTGCAATCCTTCTGCCTTAGTCTGCCAAATTGCTGGGATTACAGGAGTGTGCTTACTTCATCTGGTCCATTCTTGTTTTTTTTTTTTTTTTTTTAATATGTTTTCGCTATAGATGGACACAATATCTTTATTTTTATGTGGTGCTGAGGATCGAACCCAGTGCCCCACACCTGCAAGGCAAGTGCTCTGCCACTGAGCTTTAGCCCCAGCCCCATTCTTGGTTTTGATCCCTATTTATTTACTACCTACCAACAAAAATTCCAGTTTTTGTAAATATAACTACATTCTAATTACAACTTTCTGAACACTTTTATTTGCTAGTACTGAGGGAATTTAATATAATAGGATTTCCATTGATCTGGGAATTAGATATTTCAGATCATTCTTATGTAATCTGAAGGTGGTGCTAATCTTGTTAATTAGTGAGTTTGTGTGTGTGTATGTGTGTATCATGGAATATTATCTTAAATGAAATAATAATGTCCCAGCTGATAATGTGATTGAACAGTTACTGTTAATTGCTAAAACTCAATTGAATTGGATACTTGAAAGTAGAATGTATTAGTCTATACATACTTACCGATTTGATTTCTCTTCCAGCTATTGGATTTAATGTAGAGACAGTGACATACAAAAACCTTAAATTCCAAGTTTGGGATTTAGGAGGACAGACAAGTATCAGGTATAGTTTAAATACCAGGTTATTTTGTTGTAGTATTTAACTTTTTTTTTTTTTTGGTCAACTGTTAACAGCAATAAACCAAAGCATATCTTCTATTGTAAACTGGGTGGGAGTTACTTAAGTTTAAAATATGATACAATTTGAAACTGCCTATTCCCTCAGAGCATTCATTGAATTAAAATCTAAAGATAACCACTTCAGATCTGATTTTTTTCAGATATTACTTAAATGAAAATCTGTTCATGAAAATCTCAAGACCTAATTACTAAAGTAGTTTTTTAACTATCCCTCCATTTAGCTCTCATCAGCCCCTTCCTTTGTGTGACAGAGAATTCATAAAAATACCCCGTAGACATTCCATTTAGAGGTATTATAAACATAGATGTCTCAGAAAATTCAGGACTTGTATGAATATTTAGTAACTTAATGGTAGCTTCCTATGTTGCCATTGTAAGAAATTAGTTACATTCCCTATACATCTGCCTTCCTTTAACGCATTTCATTTCTTAAATCACTTATGAGGTTATTTCTGATTTTAGCCATTTCAACTTCTTGGTATCTTCAGTGATTAATTTAATGACTTGGATAAAACCATATTAAAATAAGTCCATTCCTTTTGAAGGATTCCTAGTTAAGAGTATAAGCTACATTGGCCAGATCTTTGTACAACTTTTCTATCAGAAAATTTGATGATTTTATAGATGATAAGAATCTGTCTCAGCCTAAAAAATTTGAATTATTTTTAAATTCCTTGGTCCTTTGATTGAAGATTTACCACCATTCTTTCAACTTCATGAAATCCTAGGGACATGAGAGATAACTGTCAGAAATAGTGAAATCATTACTGCATTGTCTCTAACATGAGTGGGGCAGGATTGGCATGCAGTCTTCCCCACCCACTCATTATTGCCCTGAGTCCTAGCAAGTAAATTGGTATGTCAGTTTCTTCTTTCAAGTAATAATTATATATTCTCCCCCTTTGAATTTTCTTTAGGCCATACTGGAGATGTTATTATTCAAACACCGATGCAGTCATTTATGTAGTAGACAGTTGTGACCGAGACCGAATTGGCATTTCTAAATCAGAGTTAGTTGCCATGTTGGAGGTAAGTAAACTAACATTTTAAGATGAAAGGAAATCATTTACATTTGCTTGCTACTTCCAGAGTATATTATCACATGTAGGAATAATTAAAAAGAATGCAGAGACTTTTTCTTTCCATGTTTCAATGTTTTCTCTTATTCACAATACTTCCTGTTCCAGAAATACAGTTGGAAATGGAGGAAAAAAGAAATCTAACCCTAACCCCGAAACTTCCTATAAGGTAGATTCTTTGATTTCCAGAAGTTCAGAGGTCTCTTAAGGCAACTATTAAAACTATCTTAAGTCACTCCTATGATGTATTCCACCATCACTTTTTCTTTCTTCCTTTTTTTTTTTTTTTTTTGTGATTTTAGGGATCAGACTTAGGGTCTTATGCATGCAAGGCAATCCCTCTACCATTGAGCTAAACTCTAGCCCCTATGATGTGACATTTAAAAAATGTCTTATTTTTAGCTGTTTTAGAAGCAGAAATATAATTTAAAAACTAAGTAAAGAAATAATAAATGGAATAAAGAATAAAGTAGGGTAAATAGTGAGAAAATAACTGAAACTCCTCTGTGGGGGAGAGACTTGTCAAAACCGTGTATTTCTAGGTTGCTGGCTGTACTGGGGATTGAACCTGAGGACTTTACCACTGAGCTACATCCCCAGCAGTTTTTATTTTTATTTATAGAGACAGAGTCTAAGTTGCTGAAGCTGACTTCAAACTTGTCATCCTCCTGCCTCAGCCTCCTGAATAGCTGGGATCATAAGCATGTACCTTTCTACTGGGTCACATTGATCTTTGTTTTTTGAGCATACTAAGAGTTGTATACTTGGGCCTTTTATACCTGTGAGCCTTCTGCTTAGAATTCTCTTCCCCCAAATTTTTACATTACTACCTTCTGGACCTTTTTTTTTTTTTTTTTTCTGACACTTCCTGAAAGAGTAGTCTCAGTTACTTTCTAACCCCTTACCCTACTGTATTCCTTATATCACTTACTGTTTCTCTATTTAGATATTTGTTGTTACTGTGTTTTTTGCAATACTGGGGGTTAGTCCCAGGGGTACCCTACTACTGAGCTACATCCCTAGTCCTTTTTATTTATTTTGAGATGGTCTTACCAGGTTGCTGAGGCTGGCCTTGAACTTTGAATATTCCTGCCTCAGCCTCCTGAGTCACTGGAATTACAGGATGTGCCAGTGCACCAGGCTCTTAGTTTTTAAATGTATTTGTTTATTTATGTATGTTTTCCCCTCAAAATATAAGTTCCTTGACTTTATCTTGATGTGTGGAAGAACTCAGTACATTTTATTCATTGAGCTTAAGATGATGTGTTGGCTGACATTCAGAGGATGCATTAAGTAATTTTTAAAAATTAAAACAGCAAGATATACTATGACTAATTTAATAATGAAATTGCATTTTCTCTAGAAGATCAGATAGTTAAATTTCCTTTTCACACCAAAAATATATTTCTGATTTACCCAGTCATTGAATGCTTAAATATAAGTTCTAGACCACTTGATACCTAAGGAAAACCATTCTCAGAAGAGAGGACACTAGATTTCTGATTTCTTGGACTACTGACTTTGTAATGGTTTCCAAATTATAAATTTTAAACTTAGTAGTTTTAAACTTATGCTTAATTTTTTACATTATAGCATCATATTTATTATAAGATCTTTGTAGATAAATTCAAATATAAAGAACTATATGTCTTGTATATAATGGAATTTTAAAGTAACAGCCATAAGCTGTTAATTAGATTTAATTGTATAAACACAAAGAACTGCCCCCCCCCAAAAAAACCCCCAGATATACCAAATGTAATTAAGAGTAAAAATGGGAAATTAGAACTTAGAACTTACTAAACACCAGTGACTTAAGAATTACTTTTTATTTTTTGTACTGGGTATTGAATTAGGGACACTTAACCACTGAGCCACATCTCCAGCCCTTTCCATAATTTATTTAGATGCAGGGTCTCAAGTTGCTTGGAGTCTTGCTAAGTTATTGAGGCTAGCTTTGAACTAGATTCAAAGATTCTTCCTCAGTCTCCTGAGCCACTGGGATTACAGCCACTGCACCTGGCTAGAATTTCTGTTCTTAATCATATCTAGACCTTTTGCGAATTAGTAGAAAAATGAGAAAAAGGCAGTATACATAAGAAAAACACATTGCTAATAACATTTGCATTTCTAATGGCCTAATAACAAACATTCAGTTAGAACTATGTTTGGAAAAATAATTTTCTGGTATACTAAGATTATATTGAAAATTTAGATTTGTTGGTGGAATAAAAATTGTTACCACCTTTCTAGAAAGCCATTTTATATTATTATTTTTTTTTCACTTTATCAAATCCTCAACGTAAGTTTTAGAGAACTATGTTAAGAGAACAGATTCAAAGATTTCTGTACAAACACTTTGTTACCTGGATTTTTCTAATTGTCAAGTGAAAGAATATAGAGTCCAGTGCTATAAAATTGTTATATGATTTATGGTACATGTACCCATAGTGTAAAGTATATTTAGTCACTAATTTATTTTTTGAAAAATTTTTATGGTTTGGAGAAAGATTCATGTTTATTTTTTTAAAGCAGGGTATAGAATTATATGTAATCTTAAATGTGAAAATGTATTAACTAAGTAAACTAAATATCTATAGAACCACAGTACTGGTAGAAAATATTCCAGATGTTAACAATGGTGATTGGGAGGTAGGATTATGGATAAAGCATCTTTCTTTGTATTTTTCTGTACTTTGAAATAATTTATAATAAACATTATATGTACTTTTAAAGTAATGTAGTTTTTGGTATTGTTTCCATAAACTCAAGGGAGCAAATTGATTAGAGGAAATTAAACATCTTCCATTTTATTTAGGAAGAAGAGCTGAGAAAAGCCATTTTAGTGGTGTTTGCAAATAAACAAGACATGGAGCAGGCTATGACTCCCTCAGAGATGGCAAACTCACTTGGATTACCTGCCTTGAAGGACCGAAAATGGCAGATATTCAAAACATCAGCAACCAAAGGCACTGGCCTTGATGAAGCAATGGAATGGCAAGTATTGTATTTCTAGAAGCCAACTCAGCAGCTTATCACACAGGTTCTCCCAGCCTTTTCTCTCACTGGTCTTCATGTACATCTGCTTTTATTTTAGCCATATCTACCTGGTTATAGTTATTTAAATAAATCCAGCTCTCTGCCATTCTCAAGAATTTTTCCTGATTTATCTCCATTCCCATACCTTTCCTCATGTTGCTAGGTGACCTTGTTAGAAATCAGTGACATACTACTTGTTACACTGACTTGTAATTGTTTGATTTGTGCATTTGTTCATTGGATATTCAGCTCCTTGAGGAATGAGACTAGTTTTCACCTCTGAATCATCCACATGTAGCCCTACAGTAGTAGCAGCCTGGAAAATAAAGTTTGGTCTTTTTTGATTATTTGTGTAAATCACAAAGTCAAAGCTTATAATGACCATCATGGAAATTGAGTCCATAGCTTCCTCCTAATTTGTGTTAGCATTTATCATTTTATGTGCTTTGGAATCTGCCTCCATTATAAAATTTATATTATAAATGTGCATGCTTTATACCTGAAAATTAATTTCATGGAACTTCATTTTCTCTTTACAGGTTAGTTGAAACATTAAAAAGCAGACAGTAATTCAATCACTTCAGCTCCTCTGAAATGAAGTCTGCATCACATTCTCTTTGGAAACAGGCAGGTGTGCTTCATATCACTAAATGTTGAAACCACACGATTGTTGGCATATTACTGAACTGACTTCAAAGTTCATAATAAATACAAAAAATGAAGTATTTGGTTAGAGGGGTAACTTGGGAATCATCTGGGTATTCTATGTAATGTAAAAACATTCTTTCCTTGCTTTCTTGTGTTAAGGTATATATTCTATTTGTATGGAATTCTTATTCAAATACAGTTCTATTAAAGAATGTACTCTTCTTGGGGGGAAGCCCGCCTATTTTTGAATTAGTGGTTGCATCTTGTTTGTGTCACTAACACAATTATATTAACTAAGATTTTTTTCTTCTTTAAAATGAATTAAGTCTTTCCAAAGATTAGACTCCAGAGAGTAGGCTAGAAGCACAGTATGTATAATTTTTATTTGCTTAGCTGACCACTTTAATTATATTAAACTGTCACTTAAAAGTTTTTGATTATAGGCATGAATATTTTGTTGATTAACTTCATTGACTATCTATAATTGTAACTTTATAGTACTTTATTAAGAGCTTTATAATATTGATCTAATCGATTTATAAGTAAACCCTGTGAGGTAGATGGGACAGACTGTAATGTAATTTCATGAATGTGTACCTACAGTGCTGATACATTGGCTTGCCCAAGGCCACATACTAGTGAGGTAGGTAGGAATAGGGCTCAAAGTAAAACTTCTGGGTCAGAAGTTTGTTTCATAAATTGTGCTATATATTCCTAAAAATTGAACATTGACAACACAGATAACCTAACTCTTAAGATTATGATAATTAGTTGCAGAACATTTAAAATGTCATAACTTTGTCTATACTTGTAAAACTGATCAGAGACAGTAAAAACAATCCTAAATGGGCATATTTGATGGAATTTATAGCACAATAAAGAAAAAAAATTCACATTAAAGGAAATTTTTAAAATTTATTTTAAAGCAGCATTATAAAAGATGTCTTTAGTATCTTGCATTATCTACCTGTAAATGGAGTGTAAATTAGTTAAAAGTAAAAATCTTATTTTATTGGTTATTTTATTTTATTGGTTCTAAAGGAAGAAATTACACATTCTTGGTTTTACAAATTAGGTTTACTGCTGAGCTGTGGGTGTTTTAAAAAGCCTGTTCAAAGCAACTTTTCAAACTACTCAGTCCATGACAGGATAAACTAGTGTGAACAGTGGGTAGATATAGCTCTTTCATAGCAATTATTAAAATTGAGAGTTTTTTTCACTCAAGTTAGACAACCAGCACTTTAAAAATTAGTGCTGGTATAAAGAGCTTAGGCTGGGTACAGTGGCACATGCCTGTAATTCCAGCTACTCAGGAGGTTGAGTTAAGAGGATGTCAAGTTTGAGGCCAGCCTGGTCAACTTATCCAGATCCTGTCTCAAATAAAAGGGCTGGGGGACATAGCCCAGGGGTAGAGTACTATGTAGCATGCACAAAGCCCTGGGTTTTATCTCCAGAACTGCCAAAACAAAAACTATATGCCATTGTGCCCCCAAGTCTCAAAAATACTAGTGGTTCATTTCATGGTTCTCATCCTCTTTCCTCTGGTTTCTTTCCCTCAAAATTTATAGGCATTCTCTCATCGCAAATGAATTCAGCTTTCTTTTTTCACCTGCAGGATTCTATTTTTTTACTTCCTCTGGTGTCTTTTGAATTTTTTTTTGCAGAGTATTTTCCTCCAGGCACAAGTGTTTCTAATGTAACTATTAACTCACTTTGATGGACAAGACTTAGTCTTTTTCATATTTATATCCCTCCTATCCAGTATGATACCTGGCACTTTATGGCCCATCAGAATCTAACCATAGTTGAAATGGTGGGATACAAATCTAGGAGAATTGCACTTCTGCAGTTCAGACTTGGGTTCTCTTCTGGTCAATGACACATGACTATGAAATGCTAGTTTCCTTATAAACCTGAGGTGCTAGGCTTATACTCAAGGGCCTAAGTACTCTCTGGCAGTTCAGGAACAGTGTGAAAAATAATAGGAGAGGGGAATAAGGGCCTGCCAAATTGAATTCTGAGGCATGAGTACTGTCCCAGTACCTGGATGATTCTGATTCTTCTGGTTTATAATAAAGAATAGGATGAGATAAAAGAGGGCACACTAATAGGGATTAAGATCCTTGTCTAACATGGAATAATTGCATAGATTATGCTACTAGGGTTCAAATATTATTTCCAAAATAAATCCAAATACTGTTTTTTGTGAGATGCCTGGTCATGGCAAAAGCATCACACTTGAAATCAGAACAGAAGCTCTAGGTCCAAATGGCTACCTTTCAGTTTTCTTTCTGTAAAATGAGACTTGGACAGAAGATACCAAAAGTTCCTTCATCTCTACCATTATATTTTATATTTCTGGTTGGTAGTTGTGCTGTGTTGTGATCTCACTAAAGAAATGAGAAATCAAGTAGTGGAATTACTTCTGTTATCTTGAATACCTGACATGCACTTTAAACTGGAAATATAAGTTCTGTGAGAGCAGGGACCATATCTAATTTACTGTTAGTATTCCTTGCATCTAGTGTGGTGCACCTGGCATATAGTAGCACTCAATAAATATTTATTTAAAAAAGATGCGTTCAATATCTGTGATGCATGTGTTCTTTTTGATGTTTATTATTTTTATTTATTTCGATGCTGAAGACTGAACACAGGGGTAATTAACAACTGAGCCACATCCCCAGCCCTTTTTAAAATCTTTTATTTAGAGACGGTCTCACTGAGTTGCTTAGGGCCTAAGTTACTGAGGCTGGCTTTAAACTTGTGATCCTCCTGCCTCAGCCTCCTAAACTGCTGGGATTATAGGCATGCACCACCACACCCAGCTAGTATTTTGATTTTTGAGTTTTAAAATTTTTATGAAAGCAAATACAAGGACTTTAAGTCAAATAGAAATAATTAATTAGATCTGACTTCCAAGATGTCCAGTGCTTATCATTTTGAAACATTGAAAACCCTTTAGAAGGTGAGAACACCTGTTTGAAACAAAAACTTCACCAAAACATAGGTGAATGAGTGTTCAAACAGTTGATTCTTAGGCCACATATTGTATTATAATTCCATAATTATAAAGTACAAAGCGCTGGACTTGAAGTTGTAATCATGATCCTACCTCCTGTCATGTTTGATTTTAGGAATCCCTCAGGGGTACTCTGAGAATTAAAATATATGCCAAGTGCCTGGCACATAGGATAAATTCTTCTTTCCCTTTGTCTTTAGATACATGGGGCACTAAAGAATTTGTTTTCATATCAAATGTATAGCAAGGCAAAAGATGCCATGTGGTTCAACAACAATTAGTTTGGCTTCCTCTAAGTGTGGCTGGCTTTTTAGTTGTAAATATTAAACCTTAAAACAATTACTAGGTTTCAAAGAAACCACTTAATTCTTTTCTTTGTTATTAGTTTAGTAGTTTTGGCCACATATTGAAATATTTTTATTATAAAATTTAATATTTTTATAATTATTAATAATAAAATAATGTAGTTGCAAGTGTACTCATCTTCAGGTTTGTAATGAAATGTATGAAAACTTAACCTTACACCAAATATAAGACAGAACATTTTAAGCCCCCTGCCACCATACATCATGTGCTTCAAATCTTGTTTTCTCATAAGTACCCTATGCTGAAATTTTTGAAATCATTCTCATTTTTTTCTGTACACACACACACACACACGTATATATTGTCCAGACCTGCAAGTTTTCCTGAGTTTATTACAGATATTCAACTCTATTTTTCTATGCTTACCTCCAATTGAACACTTTCTAAAATTCATCTATACTGATAAAACTAACTGGTTTTTAGTTTTTTGAAATTTCCTTACATGAATATGCCACTATTTTATTTATCCATTCTCTTGTGGAGGTACAGTTGAATTGTTTCTCGGTCATATCTTCTTCAGATCCATGGCTCTAAGTCTGTCTTAGGTGTTGAACTGCTGCTGCTAGATTGGGAGTGTACTCTTCAGGTTTGTAAGATAGTGTTAAATTATTTTCCAAAATGGCTTATGAACTCCAGATGCTCCACTGTCCTTGTCACTTGGTGTTGCCAGCCTTGTCTGAAGAATTCAAAAATAGAATGTCATTCTAGTGCATTTTCTGGCTAGGTGTGGTGGTACATGCCTATAATCCCACAAACTCAGTCTGAGGCAGGAGGATTGTAGGTTTGTGGCCAGCCTCAGCAACTACAGTGAGAACTGGTCTTAAAAAATAAAAAGGGCTGGGGTAGCTCAGTGGTAGAGCACCCTTGAATTCAATCCCTAGTTTTTTAAAAAAAAGACACCCTCCCTCCACAAGTCCTGATATTAATCCTTGAACTTCTGGTGTGGAGATAAGGATTCTAGGGACACATATTAACAAGGGGTGGTACTTGGGCATCTCAAGGCATCAACTATTAACCAACATATATTTAAATATTGAAGAACCTATACAAAGGATTGAGTCAAAGGATTATCTTTGATTCATAGGTATCATTGTCTAGTGTGGACATTACTAATCCTTTGGCAGTAGAATATGGTATCTGCCATATTCTACCTTGTGTTTTTTTCATTTTCTTAATTTTTAATGAAGTAATAAGTCTTATCATACGTTTCTTCTATAGATGGCACTTCATGTCTTTTTGGTTTCTGTTGGGTAAGACCTTTATCATCCCTTTCTAAGAGCATCATGGCTATCTTGACTTTCAAATAAATTTTAGAATCAGATTAATTAGATTAACATGAAGAACTCTTGGGTTTTTGATCCAGAGTGCATTTAATCAGTGGGACTGACTTGGGAAAAACTAGCATCTTATAATAGATCTTCCTATCCATGAACATGGCTATATTTCTCTACTTGTGCAGATCTTTCTTAATGCCTTTTGATAAAGCTTTATATATTCTTCATAAATATTGTTTCATTTATTCCTGCTACATTTTTTCTTGCTATTTAAACTTTTTATTAAAAAAAAAAACTTTTAAACTCTATCATGTAGTATCACATGCTTTTTAGACAATGAAGATAACAGTAACAGTTTAAACATTTTAATTAAAAATGACCATAGTTACATTAAACTATGTATTTACACATTCTGTGTCAAAGTTTAACTTAAGTAATAAAATCTGTTGTGATTTCAGCCCAGCAAAATATACCAGAAAGTTCATGTGTTGAGGTGAACTAAGACTATGAATTATGCTCCAGTCTCAGGACAGGGAGCCTTCACTCCACTATTGCTAAATCTTTCAGGCTGTGGCTTTTTTGCCTCTTGGCTTTATAGCCTGGACGCAGGAATTCTATCTTTCTCTTCTTTGCTTCACTTTTATTTTTATGTTTCTTCAGCTTTTTCTTGGCAGCAATATCAGGATTGGTTACAAACTTGAAAAGAGAACAGATATTTTATTACTTTTAAAGTACATGTTAAACCAGTCCCCCAAACATGCCACTATGTTCACCTTTAAACATTGTGAATGTAATACATGCTTATTAATGAAAATATGGAACTCTTGCTATCAAGTTTCTACCTCTCAAATCTTCAGTCATCTTCTGGGTAAGCATGACACAAGTGTGTACATACCTCTGGTTAAAAAAGCTTAAGCCCAGCAAACAAGCCATTTTCTCAAGCAGCAAACTCACCTCCAGAGCCCTCCTCTTTTTCCGGAGTGCCCTTTTCTCATTAGCCTGTTTCTGTATAGAGGCAAAGGCTAATGAGAAGCTCTCGAGCCCAACCATCTTTTTGAGTAATTCTATTATTTCTTGAGATAGATTCTTCAGTAGAGGATCTACTCGAACACAGAGAATATGGTTAAAGATGGTCATATGGAAAAGGACACAGCTGAACATCAGCAAAATCAACAAAGTACAGTATTTAAATGTGTGGCATTATTACTGTTAATTGCTGTGGCATTAACAGCAGTTCATAGCATTAATGGCCCCCGCTCGTTTCCAAGATGGAAACAAAGCCCTCCCATCCACCACCTCATCCAGAGGCAATAAGAGATTAGGCCCACTTCTCAGCAGGTTCTGAAGACAATGAATTTGAGAACCTGACAATATTTTGGATTATTTTTTTGAACCTGTTCAGCTTTGTGCAGATGCAGGGAGAGGTTAGGATTGCTTCTCTAATCCATGGGTCGCAGAAGCTAAGCTCTGCCCATGATAACTTTTTTGGGGGGATTAGAGACTGAAGAGCTGACAGAAGGCTGTGCTGTCCTATTCTTTCTGTTCCCTATCCTCCAAATACAGATAACCCAGACATTTCATATTAATTTCAGGAAAACTCAGGACTTGTGTGTTAGACTGCAAACATCAATCCTTTTGCACTGTTGAAGCCCCATTGCCTGGCGTATATTAGGTGCTCAGTACATGATGGCTGCTTAAACCAAAGTCTTTGATTTAATTGCTCTTTTCCTCAAAATTAGAGCAAGGAAGACTTTCTATCAAGGTTTCAAGGCTAAAAAAACTCTAGTTTTCATATTTACTATATTAATTTTTAAGCTCTTAACATCCACTTTACCCCCCTTTCCCAACACACAATTCCCTCTTTTCCTATTATTAACAATAGGGATCTGTTAAGGGAATAGAACAAATGTACCAGGCAAGGAAAAAGAAGAAAAGTGGCAAATGTTAAAATTATATTTAAAAACTATTTCAGATAAGAATGGTATATATTTTTACCTCATAATTTGTAAGAATGTAATAACATCTTTATTATTGTTCACAGTGTTATGAGTTCAGAACCATCTCAAAACCATAGTTTTCTTTGACTGTTTAACCTATGCTTTGAAGTAAAACATAAAGCTTTTACTAGAGAAACATTCATGCTTATACATGAGAAAGCATAGGAGACGGCCATCAAATACAATAACAGATGTGCTTATTTACTTGCCACTAATTGTCTCACAAGTATTCTGTCTTAAATTCTGAAAGGGAAAGAGTACAAAAAAGGAAGAAGAGGGGCCTATAGAAGAAGTTAGGTATCTGAGCATGAAAAAAGTGGCAGTGTTACCTTGCTCTGAATAGGTGCTGTTCAGTTCTCGAAACAAGGGAGCTATGATCATTGGCAGATAGGGCTTTACCTTGTCTACCCCAAGGTCCATTGCTACGGCACCAAGGAACTTAAAGATGCATGTTCTCTGAAAGTGAAGATTGTTTTTTAAACATTTCTCTTTAACACAGCCACACAAATACACAGAAATAAATTTAGAAAAGTGTTCAGTATACTTTGGGGTGAATGTTATTGCTATAATTTTGGATTCAAAAGGGAAAATTCCTAAGGACTTGGGATAACTAACACAATTTAACACAGTTATCCTGTCATACCTTTAAGAGATTTCTAGGTGAATAAGCAGCTTCCAATTTGGCCATCCGGGACAACTTTTGGATCAGCCATACCAGTGTGGCTGGCTTGCTGGGCTTGCTCTTCTCTTCTTTGTCAGACTCTGGCTTTCCAAGTGTGCAGGCTTCGTATTCTGTTGCCTCTCTAGCCACACCACCTCCTAAAGCTTCATGTTCTTCCAGGTCTTCTTTTATCTCATCTTGCTTATCCTCAGAATCAGGTTCTAGTAAATATAAGACTTTGGCTACGAACAACAAATTCTTAACAACCTTTAAAAAAGAGGGGAGGGAAGAATTAGATTTTGAAACAAATTATGTTTTTTGTTAGAGCATGAGCTGAAGTAGGCATTCTACAATTAGAAAATATAAACAACCTAGGTACTTCAGTATTAAACTGATGATGGCTCTTTCAACAATTCTTGTTTTTACATTCCAAATTCATTTCCATGTAATTTTCATCCTGTTGGCTAGTTCTGTGTGCTTTAAGGTCATACAACATAAATAAGAGATTTCCTTATGGATCAGCCATTTATTTATTTTTTTTTTTTGTACTGGAGATTGAACCAGGGGTACTTAACCACTAAGCCACATCCCCAGCTCCCTTTTTATAAACTGTATTTAGAGACAGGGTCTCTCTGAGTTGCTGGTATTACAGGCATGTGCCACCATGTATGACCAAGTCATTTACATTTTAAAAGAAAGCTTTCATCCCAACTTTCATTAGATTCTTTCAACCATTCTATGTAGAAATAATATTAACTGATTACTAATTAGTTGCTTTATTTTTATTTAATTAGGTACCCAGCAGCCCTTTACCATTGAGTTACATCCCCAGCCCTTTTTATTTTTTATTTCAAGACAGGGTCTCACTAAATTGCTGAGGCTGGCTCCAAACATTGTATCTTCCTGTCTTAGCTTTAGTTGCTGGGATTACAGGCTTGCACCCCTGTGCCCAGCTGATAAGTTGTTTTATATATAGTATTCCAATTCAGCTGTAAAACATCTCAGCCAGATACTATTATTAGGAGAGAAGGCCAAGTTTCAGTGTTATTACATGACTTACCCAAATAAAGGGAGTGGCCAATTAGGATTCAAAGATCTTTAGAATTCAAGGCCAATTTCTTAAACTTTAGCTTCCCATCCTCAACTCCCATCTAATCCTTAGGATTTTAATCTTAATATAATGGGACCATTCTTTTGTCCCTATCAAATCTCTGATGTAGGTATTTCACATCCATTATGTGAGGGAGGAAAACAATTTGGGTTGAGTTCCTTGACCATCTTGGCTGTTCTGCTAGATATGCTGCATCAAAATTCTCCCGCACATATTTGTCAGAACCTTCACACATTCCAAGACTAGCTTAGCCATTAATTAATGCCAAACTGGGCACAGTTGTGCACACCTGTAATTCCAGCTACTTGGGAGGTTGAGGCAGGATGATTCTAAGTTAGAGGATAGCCTTGGCAACTTGTCCAAAAAATAAAAAAGGGCTACAGCTCAGTGGTAGAATGCCCCTGGGCTCAACCCCCAATAAAACACATATACATTAAGGTCAAGATCATAATTTCCTTCTTCTGGAAGCCTGATCCTTGTGAATATAGCCCAGGTTTGGTGGCCTTCTCACCTGTGGCAATCTTTGTTAATTCATCCCAAAATTCATGATCATCTAAAATCCCTAATTTCTTTTATCCTGTAAATCTCTTCCTCTCTATGGTCTACCAGCCCCTATAAAAACTGCTTCTTTGTGAGACCTGACCCTCTGTGAACCCTGGCAGGATTTTGATGGCTCCATTTTGCTACTCACTGAATAGCTATCCATTCATTCTCTGAGCCTGCCATATAATGAAGTTGAATTTTCACTGCAAAATGTGACAGAAGTGTTATTGTTCATGATGTGCCACTTGAGATTATTCTTCAGATAAAAGCATTGACCAATGCCTAATGCCTACTTCGCTGAATCTATAAGGCTCCATCTTGCCAATGATTCATGAGGGACATAGTCAAGGCCCATGGGATAATGGTGCTGACTTATGATTACCAGCCCAAATGCTCTATCAAAAGAGGTAATAATAAAATAATAAAAGTAGACTAGTAGACTATTTCATAGCAACAAATTGCATATTTATAAGTGCCTTCTCTGAATTTACATTTTATAATAGGATTTTTTATTTTATTTTATTTTTTTTGGTACCAGGGATTGAATTCAGGGGTGCTTAACTACTGAGCCACATCCTTAGGTCTTTTTAATTTTGAGACAGGGTCTAGCTAAATTGATTAGGGCCTTGCAAAGTTGCTAAGGCTGATGATCTTTCTGCCTCAGCATCCTGAGCTGCTGGGATTAACAGGTGTGTGCCACTGCACCTAGCAGACTTTAAGATAGAATAACTCACTTGCTCACATAGTAGATCACACAGTAGCATGAATATTATTGCTTTCTCTTTAACTTTAAGGGATAAAGGGAGGAAACTCAATATTATAGTTTTTCTAGAAAAATAACCAATCAGTGCCCCTTAAAGCTTTCGTCACAAAGTGGAGTATATGTGAAATCCTTAAGATGAGAAGATTAATAGCCTCCCTCCCATTGTATCATCTTTATTGGGAATTGTAAATGGAATCATGAGTTCCCCCAACATAGTCCCCAGAGTTGACGAGACTTGTGTGCATAACTGAACAGTTTATTTGAGTATATGTCTATATTTTGTGAAATCTGTCAAGCACTAAAATAGCAAAAACAACAACAACAAAATCCAAATGTAAACATATTTCTAGACTATTTGGTAGAATAGTAGGTTGCTTTCACTTAAACTTGGGGAGCTATAATTCTTACCTGCTCTCCTAGAGACTGATCCAAGAATTTGGAATGCAACTGATGGCAAGAGGCTAGAGAGATACTTTTCATCTGTAGAGAGAAATGGTCATTGGCAAACATAACATTTCTGATTATTAAGAAAAAAAAATTGACCATAATGCAACTGATGTACTAGATTTTGCTCTGCATGACAACCTATACAGAGTTGTAGAGAAAAGGTCATAACCAGAAATTACATGATTATTCCCTTCTACCTGCCCCAAACGTGTTAGTCCCCCCACACCCACCAAAGTCTAATGTAATCGTCTAATTTCCTAAAACTATTAGAATACTCTGCAACATTCCAGTAGTTTTTCCTTTTTTCTCTTTCCCCTTCCATCTTCTGCTTATCCAGTATTTATGGAATTCTCACTATGAGCCACACTGTGCTAGGTTTAGGAATCAAGAAACAGATATAACATGGTCCTTACCTAACATCTTTATGAACATGATCTCATATAGTCATGAAGAAGGTTATGAAGAACATAGGACAATTAATCTTATTTTTTCTAATGTTGATAAAAGACACACAATGAAAGATGGAAAAGCTAAATAATCACAAGTTTGATTAGACTGATGATCTAAAAATTATCTTTGGAAAACTGGCCTTGAGGGTAACCCCTCTCCAGTTATTAACACTTATTGATTCACATATGCAACATGTTGTCAGTTGGAGGAGTTTTTCCCAAGGGACAACACTAAGATGTTATGAGAACCAGAGTGAACATTTTAGAGGTCACAAGTCAAGGAAAAGGTTTTAGAGAAAGAAACCTTACCTTCTGTTCAAGATCACCTGTTAGAAACCTGACTGCTACAGGGTCTGCGGATTTCTTTTTAGTCTTTTTGGCATTCCATTTTTGAATAAGCTCCTCTGGATGGCAAGAAGCAAAGAGTAATCCAAAAATCTGGGCCGCTGTGAGCCACACCCAATTGTGTGGGTGTCTCAGGTGAGAGTGCACATGACCTAGGGGAACCAGAATGCATTCTCAAATGCTGCACAGCTTTTATGATTCTTTTATGATTCATAGTAAATATGACTGATTTGGGCATATATTATATGTTTGGGAAGAATAACCAAAGATGGCCAAAATAGTCCATGTTTTCTGCAAGACCACTAGGAGATAGAGAGAAATGAGGTGAAGAAACACTGAAACAGCTAGGAAACTAACTCCCTGAGTGGTAAGTGGCACTGAAAAGATATGCCTAAGCTTATGCACAGACTTGTTTCACACAGATTAGTTTCAGATTCAGGGAAATAAGATGGCATTTTAACATTACGTTTTCTGAAGTGACTAATGTAAAGATATATATATATATATATTATATATATAATAGTGAAATTGGTGGTTCAAAGTAGCTGCCTAGAAAGCTATCATTCATGTTTTCTTTGTGCCAGGCACAGAGCCATGTGTGTTATATACATTACCTTATTTTTTAGAGCCTCACAACAGTTCTGTGACGATAGAAGTGTCATTTCCAATCTAACATGAGGAAGTGAATTTCCAGAGAGGCCAAATGTCATGCAATGGGTAGAGACTGGCCTGGGCCCCAGAGCACATAATTCTTCAGCATTAGAGTATACACCCTTGGAAAGTACATTTGTAAAGTCTTATAATGTAGGTGTTGTGAATGGGATGGATTAATCATGCCACGTTTCAGTTTTAGCCTATACTACTATATTTTATGAATGTTATTTACATCTGTTTAAATCTTTGTAACAATCTGGCCATGTCTCAGTGGAGCCAGACCCAAACAGGTCATATAAACAGTTATTTCTCTTTTTTTGGTAGTAGGGATTAAACCCAGGGTACTTTACCACTGAACTACATCCCCAGTCCTTTTTATTTTGATACATGATCTTACTAAGTTGCTGAGTCTGGTCTTAAACTTGGAATGGTTCTGCCTCAGCCTGAGTCACTGGGATTGGAGGTCTGTGTCACCATACCTGACTAAACTGTGTTATTTCTCACAGGATCACAGTTTCTGGCTCTTAAACCAAGAACTAACTGAAATGTGTAGTGTGTTAATGGAGTCTTATTTTTCATTTAGAGAGTGATATAGTACTTAAATGTACCATCCAAGTGAGATGGTTCAGTAAATTACAGCACATTTGTATGATGGCTATTGAAAAGGACAGCTAGGAAGTGAACTGTGGTATAGTAATAAGCTTACTCAGGTACAAATAGCTAAAATATGGAACCAAGCAATCTCTCTGAAAAAAATCATAACTATTTAGCAAAAAGACTAGATAGAAATATATGTACACATTTATACATATTTCAAAACATTCTGTACAGGGAAAATATATATAATTCTTACATGTCAATTATACCTTAATAAAGCTGGGGGGGGCAGCAAAAGGAAGACGTGGGAAAATATATGCCAAATTATCATCAAATAGAACTTGGGAGAATTTTTCCTTTCATTTTGTGACAATATTCTCTTATGGATGATATGTGTTACATGAAGTAATACACACACACACATATTTTTTTTTGGAAAGAACATTTTAACTGTAATCAATCTGATAGGATCTTTCACATTTTTTTTTCCTCATGGGCTTTTCCCTTCCCATCTATTTTTTGAAGATGTTCCCATTCTAATTTCCCAAATCTATTTTCAATAATTGTATCACAACTGTTTTTTTTATACCAGGGACTGAATTCAGGGGTGCTTAACCACTGAGCCATATCCCCAGCCCCTTTTTATTTTGAGACAGGGTCTTGCTAAGTTGCTTAGGACCTTGTTAGTTGCTGAGGCTGGCTTTGTACTTGTGATCCTTCTGCCTCAGCCTCCTAAGATGCTTAGATTACAGGTGTACACCACCATGCCCAGCCTAATGTGTTTTTAGATTTAATTAAATAAAAAGGAAATACTTACTCCAGATTTTACTCAAAGTCTCAGAGGGCTTGGTAAACTGAATAAAATTACATTCTTTGATGAGTTTACTTATTAGCGTGAGAAAACTGAAGAGCAGGCGATCTGCAGCTTTTTCTTCAGTCTCTTCCATGATCTAAACATGGGGTGATTGCACATAAATGTAAGACAACAACCTGGAAGTACCTGGGATACATGTTTCTGTCAGCATGTAAATCCATATCAAGTCACTATGGGGCTGTCACTTGACTAGGATGTTTAGCAGCATCTCTGGCCTTTATCCACTACATGTCAGTAGCAACCCCCACCTTCCAACTGTGACAACCAAAAATATTTCTAGACACTGCCAAATGTCCTATGGGGGGCAAGACTGCCTGAGTTGAGAACCTTTTACCCCTATCTTAAAAAGAAGTTCCAACTGCACTAAATTCTTGCTTTTATTAACAAAGAACATTTTTAAAGAAACTACTTAATCTACTAGTTATACTCTGTCAAGTACAACTTTCTTATAAAAATCATCAGAAAATTTATTCCTTAACAAATTACTTACATCTTTATAGTTATCAGGATTAATTTCCTTTTCAACCACAGGAAGAACATTTCCAAGTCTTCTCTCAAAATTAACCCCTTCACTTTCCACAAATAAGCCACAGACCAGGGCAGCAAGTTGTCTATTTAAGCTCTATCAAAAATAAACCACCACAAGTGAGTGTTAATACAACTTGGGAAGATGTTTATAAAAATTATAAAACGAAGGTGGGGATTATGTTAACAATCAGACAGTAAGAAACCTTTTAGATGCCAGAATCAATAAAATATAGTGTCATGGTCAACAAACAGAAGTGAAGCAATCTTTATACCCAAGAATAACATTAGAAAAACGGCACTTATCCAGTGAGTATTTTGATACACATTTTTTCCATTAAAAAAAGAAAAAAGAAATAGAGGTTTCATTCCCAACCTCAATTATATAGATATGCAACAAATTACTATTATAAAAAACATATTTATATTCTAAAGATGGGCTAGTGATGATGGTGGCAGAGTCAATAAGTGAACAGAATAATAGAAATGACACTCAGAAAACGAATAAGCAAAACTGGAAGCAGATATTCACCAACTGGGTCTGGTTAAGTAAATGATGATTATATTCAAGTAGAGTGCTTTGCTAGCAATAACAATGCATTAGGAATACAAATGACTCAGTGTTAACTTTCTATAATTTCTTACACTTTCTGAAACTTTGAGAATATATTACTTGCATAATCAGATACAAATATAAGCCAGTTCTACAGTATATAATATGAATTTTTATTTGAAGTTTGGACTTGTTGAACTATGATTAAAAGCAATACTAACCTTTTTTCCTCCAAACCAGGAGATAACCATATCAAATAACCAGTCTTTTTTCTCAAGGCTAATTTTACTGAGTAAGGATTTGATTGCCATGGATGCCATTTTTTTACATACAGCAGAGTCATCATTCACCATCATTAGACAAAGAGGGATGAAGAACATCCCACAGTTCTCATGGAGCAGTCCCTACAGGAAAAGAGGCATTGATGAACTTAGTGGGCATGGAATTCCTACAATTGCTGTCCAACAAGGGAAAGCCCAGGGCTTCCAGGGATCATGGGCAAACAGTTGAAGGGTTTCTCTTTGTGATTCATAGTACCTGAGGAAATGTGTCAAAGAGATAAGCGATCATTTCCAAGGTGGACTCTCTTCCAGTCTCATGTTCATAACTAGGGCAAGAACATTAGATGAACTGTTAGTATCTTCTAAATTTATTTTTAAAAAATTTAAAATATTACAGTTAGGTGTCAATCGTTTTTTCTTAGAAACACAAAGTGCTCTATTTGCTCAATTTTAATGTTTATATTCATCAAGCTACTGAGCTCTTTTAAATGTAATTTTATTAGATTTTCAACACTGCCCTCAGTGGACTTTACTGACAATCAATGGTCATATTAAACTGAGTGAAAATTAACTTAAAGAACTGACATATGAAACCAGACACAGTGTCTGACAATCAAGCCTACAAGTCACACCAGCATCTTCAGAGAATGTGCCACTGAAAAGGTCAAAAGCTTGTCCTTTTCAAGACAACCACCATGTTAAAAGAAAGAAACTAGCTTTTTGCCTCTGCATAAGAAATGGTTCAGCTTACTTCAGTTGAGCGAGCATGAATTCCAAGTTCGGTCTCAATTTCTCACCAAGGGGATAGTCAAGAATGTATTTCAGAAAAACCTGGGGGGGGGGGGAAGAATCACACAGTTAATCATTTAGATCTTGTCACTCCAGGATTCCTGTTTCCTAAGCTATTTTCTGAGATACACTCATACTCTATAAAAATCTTGCAAAAGGGTAATCAACCAGGCTTTCCAACTGACTCCAGCTAATTCTGTCTACTAAGTCAACCACTGTGCCCCTTCCTATCTCCTGCTTCACTCAGCTGGATCTTAACCCCTGTGCCTGGCTGAGTCAAGTCTTGACCCCCCACTGCTATGGTGGTTTAAGACCCAAATCTCAACTTACATATATATTAGAAGCTGATCTGACAGATGGGGCAGTCGACTGAGTAAGGACTATGGTTTAACCCTGTATCTCCCCTTGAATATGAGAATAACAACATGGTAATGAATTAATACTGATAATGTATGTGCCAAGCACTATGTTAAGTATTTGTTTCTTGGTTAATTCTCCTCACTCCCTTAGGAAGTAGGTGGTGGTATCACATTTTACAACTGAAGATAATAAAGGTGGCCCAGAGAGGTTCAGTAACTTGCTCATGTGATGGTACCAGAATTTCATGCCTAGTCTATGGTCAAAGACTTCATTTAAAAACCATTAGTATTTAGTCTCCTTTATTAAATGATGTGCATTAGTTCTCACAATTTATTAACTTTCCAAGGTCTGCTTTTTTTCCTAGCTGTAAAATGTGGATAATATTCTTTTGAAGGGTAGCTGTAAATAGAGGTCATGTGTGTAAAGTCCTGGGCACAAAGCTAGTGTTTTAATAAAAGCTAGCCATCCTTCCTAAGTAATCAAGCAACCCCCCCCACCCGCCAAAGACATGTTTCTTCTCTTCCATCCTGGCCTTCTCAGTGGTCTAAAACCTCCTTCAACCTGAGTGTGTATTTCTAATTCAGATTTCCCACTTCTTGGGTATGATATATAGTCAAAGATTAAACAAATGTATGAACAAATCTGAGTGTGTTACTCCTCTGCCTAAGGATCTCAATAGGCTCTTACTCTTCTTAGAACAAAGCCCTAAATCTTTAACAAGACCACAAGATCCTGCCCCACCTGGCTTCCCCTGCTCCCTCCACCCACCCTTCATTTAGTTCCTCAAACAAGGTGAGCCTTATTCACCTAAGGGTTACCTTCCTCAGGTATTTATTTCCCCTTCTCCTGCAAGTTTTGGCTTACCTGTCAATCCTCAGGAAAGCTTTCTCTGACCTACCTCATTAGGTGTTTGAGTCTCAGAGCATAGCAAGAATATGACAAAAAGTAGTCTTCAGAATTCAGTTAATACCAAGAGCTAACTAAAAGATGAACTGCTAAGGTGGAGCCCACCCAACCCTCACTATAGGAATAAGCTCCCTCTACACACCTGTCTGCATTGGACTCTGGCAGGTTCACTTTGTGCAGAAATTGCCAACTTGGACACTTTTCGCATGACGTCATCAATTTCTGGGACCAATAATCTTCTTGATAAAATGGCCTAAAAAATATAAAAAGATTCATTTCATGTGTTTTACTGTGTATGTAGGTACTTTCAGATGTAAAATAGCTGTAGACACTTTTCAAGCAATGAAAGTAACTTCAAATGAAAAAGAACACGCACTTGGTAGAGTACCCGTATTTGTTCAGTATTCCCTGGGAATGTTAAGTAGTATATTCAAACATTTTCATAAGTAGAACGTTAGCTTATGACTGACACATTAAAATCATCATAATCTTTATAAATTACTTAAATTCAGTGGTCCACAACTAGTCAAAACAATATGTTCCACATTATTCTAAATACTAGACCTGAGACTCACAAACTGAAAGACAAGGTTATGGTGACACCATACCTTCAGAAGACCAAATGCAGTGGCTTGTCTTGAAGTATCGTAAATGTCCTCTTCAGCATAAGCCAGAAGAACTTGAAGCTGTTTTTCAGTTATCTGGTAAGATTTGACTTTCTTTACAAGTATGGTCACACACTGCAAATAATAACAGTGAAGTTAACAGCATACTCCACATGTCAGGATCCAGTGAAATGATAATGAGTTGACTTTTTCACACAGGATACTAACCCTCAAGCACTAGCAAATTATTATGGAAATAATTCTGACCAAAGAGCAATGGGGAAAACTGAACTCTGGTATTACTCTAGGTCCTGGCTTTTTCTAGCTGCAACTGATTCACCTCACCTTGAAACAATTTACCACCAGGTGGAAGTTCTGGCCCCTGGCAGCCCCAAGTTTTGCATAGTTCTTCAGCAAAAGAAAAAGGTGTTTTGTCAGCTGTCCTGCTTTTCTTTCTATGGAAGGCAGAGGAAACCTTAAGACCCAGATCAGACATTGTAAAGCACCTGTGATCACCTGAGAAAACAAAATAATAAACAGTCAACTTTGAAGTGACCAAATCCATCAATAAGGCACCAGAGGCTGTGCAGATTATACAAGTGGCTGAATTGAATAAATTAATTTAGGATTTTTGTTTGTTTTTTGGAACAATACATTTTAAATGACTCTTCTATTTTCCAGAATGGTACTTCAATGTAATCCATCTTTTCTAACCCTGGGAATGTTAATATAGTGTATTCAAACATGTATAAAAGGCACTGTATTGGGCATCATCATCATCATTATTGGTGGTGCTGGGAATCAAACCCAGGGCTCTGCCCACCCTAGGTAAGTGCTCTATCACTGAGCTACATCTCCAGCCCTCTATTAGTTATATAAATAGAAAGATAAAGAAGGAAACTATCTCTGTGTGTAAGGAAAAAAGATAGGTGGAACAGAAATTAAGCAGAGGAAAAATTAACAGTCATATAAAGTTTAGTGCTATGCACAAGGATATAGAAAAAGTGTGCTAAGACCATGTGCTTATACATGAAGGTCAAACCTTGCAATCCCCAGGATCAGCTAGTTCAGCTCTACCTAAAATAATCCTGCTGCTCTGACTACTACACTGCAATGGATTTGATGAAAACACAGAAGAGAGATGGGAGTTTTAAAGACCTAGATGTTAAATCCCAGTTTTACATTTGACTACTGTGTGACTCCAGAGATGTTATTACCCTCTAAGCATCTTCACTTCTGAAGGTGCTGTACATAAGTGGGATTTAGAGTCCAACAGACCTAGATTCATACCTAAAACTGTAACTAGACCCTAGCCCTAGTTTTCTCATCTATAAAATAGAAATGTTGGGAAGAGGGATGTGGCTCAGTGGTAGAGCATTTCTCTGGCATGCATGAGGCCCTGTGTTTAATCCCCAATATCTCAAAACAAACAAATCCCAGAAATGTCAAGAATATTTGTCTAAGAGGTGGTAAGGTTCAGAAGGATTACTTTACGAGAGTGATGGTGGTAAAGATGATCACTGGTCTTGGGACATTACTAATCACCCCTATGAAATTGTGAGGATCAGATAAGATGATTAATGTACCTAGAAGCATTCTAAAAGGTATTAAGAGCTATCCAAACAAATGGGACTTATTAATTCAGGAAACAGTGGCAGTTCGTAGTACCACCATGTCATTTAAAAACTCCACCATCTCACAAAGCAAGAGCCCTGAAATAAGTTCCATCCAAGAATTCTGCATGACATGGCTCTTGTGAGGGAATGGATGCTCACCTTCACATCCATGGAACCCAGGCAATCTATGAGGAGAGACACAAAAGGATCCAACATTTCCAGGACATGATCACTTGAAGACTTGATCTTGGAAGTCTTCAGACTCAGATGAAGCAGCTAAAAAGTATAAAAAAGATATTACACATTAGTTGTTTTGAAGATTGGATGTATGAGGTCAAATGTAAAATAAGAGATACACAGGAAATGTTAAGCTGCTTCTGTTTGAAATGATGAATATTTTTAAGAAGTGAGAAATGGCCTTGGGGAGTCTTAATAAGTCAAGAAGGTGGAAGCTCACTGTGCAGTTGAGATACTAAGTCTATTTAGCAAATGGTCACTCAGCATCTGCTGTGATTCCAAGCATTGGCTCAGTATGCTGGGCAAAGCAATGACCAAGATGAACATGGTTCCTGTCCTGATGGACCTCAGCCAGGAAGACAGACTCAAAGTTTGACTGTTAGGTACTCTGAGGCTTGTCGGGGCATGGGTAGAGGGAAGAGTAAGCAGTGAAGTCTTGGGGGCAGCAAGGGAGTACGGGGACTTTATGGAACGAAAGGGAAGCCAGAATGGCTGGAGCATATGTTGGAATGGTATAGGATGAGGCTAGAACCCTGCAACCCAAATGAAGGACTGTGCTCTCTCCTAGGAAAAATGGAAGCCAAAGGAAATGAAATAACCAGATTTGTATTTTTAAAAGCTCATCATCTTAAATATAAAATAAAATAAAAAATAAAGATAAAACTTGAAACCTTGTCTTTGTTCAGAGATTATAGGATGTCCTTGGAGAAAGTCCCCAGAAATTGACCAAAAACTCCTGGAACTGAAAAACTATTATAGCTAACACAAGTTAATCACACACCCTATATACCCTCAATGAACAAGGAGAATTTGAAATTTAAAACACAATAGCATGCCAGATGTGGTGACACCCATCTGTATTCCCAGCAGCTCAGGAGACTGAGGCAGGGGACTCTCAAGTTCAAAGCCAGCCTCAGCAATTTATTGAGACCCTGTCTCAAAATAAAACATAAAAAGGGCTCAGGATGTGTCGCTATGGTTGAGTGCCTAAGGTTCAATTGCCCCCATCCCACCCAAAGGCAATAGCATTTACACAAGCATCCCCAGACCTGAAATATTTTTGTTTAAATCGAATGAAATATGGTCAATGTGAAAAAAGCAATACAACATTGTTAAATTTTTAAAAAAACCAAAAAATGATATTCATGTTTATAAAGAGAAAAATAGAATTGTCAAGATGTCAGTTTTTCCTAATTTGATCTACAGATTCAATGCAATCCCAAATAAGATTTCAAAGTTTTATATTTGAACATGAACAGTTATTATTTGTCAACTAAGTTTTAATTAATATTATTAATTAAATTGAACTGTGTATTGACAAGCTGGTTCTAAATTTACATAGAAAAGCAAAGACACTAAATTTCCCACATAATATTGGAAAAGAAGAAAAGAGACAGGAAATGAACACCATCAAACTTTAAGATTTATAAAGATACAGGTATCAAGATAGTAGGACATTTTCTGAAGAAAAGACAATGCGGCCAAAGGATGACTCAGAAGTAAATTCACAGTGACACAGCTATTCTTAACAAAGGGGAGAGAATCTTTAATGCATAAAGGATGGTCTATTTAACAAATGGTTCTGGAAAAACTGAATATCAACATGTAAATTAAAATAAATGTTCTAGACACATCTCACAATTAACTAAAAAGACCACACATGCATAAATATAAACCCCAAAGGATAAAATTTTCTAGATAAAATGGGACAAAATCTAAATCCCCTTAGGTTTGATGATGTTGTAGTTACAAACACTAAAGGCAAAATTCATGAAAGAGAAATTTTTCTTAAGTTGGAATTAATTAAAAAAAAAAAAGTCAAAGTGGTTTAGAGCTGCTCATGGGCAAGGCAACAGTGAAATCCTAGTAAATACTAAAAATTAAGCAAAAGATGAAATAGTACAGACTCTGTGAAGTCAGTGAGTTTCATTTTAAGAGGAATTCTTACCCGAAGCCCAGACTCAATAAATATGTGCATGTTGGTTTTCCTGCTCACAATAGCTTTGGGTCCACCTCGAACTGGAGTTGGGGGGAGCAGCAGGCAGCTCTGGGGTGGCAGACGTGGATCGGGTGCAGGGACTGCGGGACTCCTATCAGTCCCAATGGAATAAAAATGGAAAACACTGTTAGCTGCATTCCAAGAAGTTAGTGGCTCCATGAAGATGAGAGCCTAGCACTGAACAAATATGCTCTGGTTTCCTCCCTTCCCTTAACCACAAACACACAAGAGATGCAATCCTGTTGATCAAGTTACTAGGACGGTCCTTAGGAGCCTTTCCCACAACACAAAAGCAAAATCCAAAGGAAGTGTACTCATGTATAAGGCATTTTCACATGTTTTAAGTACAGACTCTGTGAAGTCAGTGAGTTTCATTTTAAGAGGAATTCTTACCCAAAGCCCAGACTCAATAAATATGTGCATGTTGGTTTTCCTGCTCACAATAGCTTTAAATCTGCACTAAGTTGTGTATATTTAAAATCTATCTTTTCATTCAATAAATATTTAAAATAAAAATGACATCATAGAAATAACATTTCTGTCACAGATACCTCAAAGAAAATCTTATGTTGAAAAGTAGCACTTTGAAGGACCAAAGTAGTACTTGTGTTTCATATAATATAATTTTTATCTTTCTTTAGAGCAAATCCAAACTTACTTGTCTTTCTCTGTTAATAGGGGTAGGTTTTCACTGACCAAACCATAACTGAGCAATAGAATGGATTCTGCCGTCATTTCCTGATTTACAATTAATCCTGCTATGATTCGGCGTAAGGTTTCATGAACTTTTCGGGCCAGTTTTAAACTTGTGGTATTTTGTAAAATCTAAAGGCAAACATAAATGTTAGGTAGAAATAACACAAACACAATTAGATTCACTATAATTTTTTTTAAAATTTGCTTTCTAATGTGTTTTTTTTCTAATTAAAAAATCTATTCTAAAATTTCAAACAGTAATATATCTCACACACACACACACACACACACACACAGTCACTTATGTAACAAACGGGGTAATTTACATACAGGCACCCTGTACCATAATAAAATGTGTAGTCCCTATTCTAAGCAACCATGTGACTGAACTACAATGACCAAAACTCAGGGTTTGAAATTAATTAGTGGGTTAAATCAGAGGAATTTAATGTAAACTCAGGATCATCAACCACAGTAAAATACTTAATCACTACTTGATAGGACAGGACTTCTTGCGGATGACTCTCTTTAATCCTCAGTAAACATTGTTGGGAGTAGTTCAAAGACTAACTTCCCCATCCCCCAAGAAGAGCTGTCCAATGGTAAGTCCTGCTGGCTCACATGATCCTTACCCACCAAACAGAGCCCTGATAGCTACCTGATCCTACCCACCAATCAGACTAGCCCTGCTGGCTCACCTGATCCTTATCCTCCAATCAAAAAGCACCCCATGCCAACTGTCAACCACCCCTAGCTCTATAAATGTGCAGAGCTGTTCCTCAATAAATGGGCATTTGCTCCAACGACAAGCCTTGTTCCTTCTTTCAAACATCAACATTCTTATTAGGCTCAGATAATACTATGTGCATTCTAGGAACAATTATGAAATTCTTCTAGCACCAAAGCATTTGGATTAAGAGTAATTCATGTCACTAGTTAGTGATTTTTTCCTCTATTTTTTGCCATAACCGAGCCGCTAAAAAGCCTTGTAGGTTCAAACAGCAACTCTTTATTCCGGAACTCTCACCGGCACTCTACACTCACTTCACCGGGCTCCGAGCACCAATTCTCCTGGAACCCCCCTGCGAACTCAACGGGAAATCCAAAGTAGCCAGGCAGCAGGATCCATCCTAATCCCAGTAGGATCCTCCCTAATCCTGGAGCCCCCCTATTCCTAGCAGGACCCGCCCTAATCCCGAGCAGGAGGGTCACCTTTCAACCATTCCCTCTGGCAAAAATGCCAGGCATCATTCTGACTAAACTGTGGCTCTCAACAATTTTTAGTACATAAAACTGGAATAAAATGAATCGATAATGTTATTGTATGTTCATCCCTGTAACAGGCACAGAGAAACAACAGAAAGCTAGTTTAACTATAGTCCCTACTCTTAGGGGAAAAAAATGAAAAAAATGGAAAGAATGTGAGCTCTGGATCATAAAGATCTGGAACGACATTCTGACTTTTCTTCTTAACTGTGTTCCTTTTTGCTCTTCTGAGCCTGAATTTTCCTATCTGTAAATGGAAATAACATTGATCTCATGGGATGATTGTGAAGATAAGAGGAGAAAATGTATTTTTTTTTTCTCAAAGTCTCTTTTGTGTACTTTTTTTTTTAAAATTTATTTTTTTTAAAATTTTTTTATTGGTTGTTCAAAACATTACAAAGCTCATGACATATCATCTTTCATACATTTGATTCAAGTGGGTTATGAACTCCCATTTTTTACCCCAAATACAAGTTGCAGAATCACATCGGTTACACATCCACATTTTTACATAATACCATATTAATGACTGTTGTATTCTGCTACCTTTCCTATCCCCTACTATCCCCCCTCCCCTTCCCTCTCATTTTCCCTCTCTACCCCATCTGCTGTTGTTTAATTCTCTCCCTTGTTTTTTTTTTTTTCCTTTCCCCTCACAAACTCTTATATGTAATTTTGTGAGAAAATGTAGTAGTACTTAGAATGTGATTTATGTTCAATAAATTCCAGTTACCTTCCTCTTGGCAGTCTGGGGATACAGTTTGATTCTAAAGGCTATGTTCTTAGCTGCTGCCCTGACCCAGCTATAAAATTCACTTGCACTCCAATTCTTGTTGCCTTTCCTTCGGCATCTCATGGATTACATTAGGGACTGAATGCAGTCTAGAGCATCCAACTAAAGGCTGCCACCTAGTGACTAGAGGGTATTCAAGCCCTTAGCACTAAAGGAAATCCTGGGTACTCAAGTAGTTGTTTTTGCCCTATAGGTTCCTTTCAGGAACTCATAATTTTGGGACCACCTGAATTGCATTCTAGTCCTTACCTCTTTCAATGGAAGGATAAGTTTTGTGACCTGATCTTTTCCTACAAACTTGCCCAGGATTTCATAAGAATCGTAACTCTTGCTTCTTCGTGCCTCCATGACTTTGGAGAGGATCTGCTTTACTTCCTTCTCTTCAGCAACGGAACCAAACAATTCATGGTTAAACATCTTTGAAAGCAAAAGGACAAAAGGTGATTAAGTAGCCAACACAAGCAGTCTTTGACAAAAGCAAGGTATAACCAAGGTATACCCAAGGTATAGGTATAACCAAGTCAAAGGAAAGCAAATGGGGAGGGAATGAAATGAGATGGCAGGAGTTTCTATTAGATTGTACTTGTTTTCAATGCAGTTTAGGGACCAGTAATAAAAATAAATAAGTAAAAATTTAAAAAAATAAATAAATAAAAATAAAACATGCAGAAATACTTTTAGTTTAATATTAATGGAAAACAAAAGAAAAGTATTTCACAGACAAAAACATATACAGAACAAATACTTCTTTTATGATATTACCAGAGAGTTTAATTTCCCTTTAAGAAATTCTATTTGCAACTTAATTATAGAACTTAATGTAAATATTTAAATTGAGTCAAAACTAGTGCCCATATTTTAAAAAATAAATGAACAAAAGGTTGTGTGGCAAATTATTTTCCTGTTCCCAAATCTACCTCCCAAATTACCAATTATCCAATTCTTTTGTTTATTGGATAAAACATTATCCAATATTTTCCATTGGCATATTATAATTATACATCATAATGAGATTTGTTATTACATAGTTGTACATGCACACACATTATCCAATTTTTAAAGTTAAAATTTTTTTATTGATAATTTTTCATTATAAAATGAAATTCTACTCCAGACTATATCTCTGATTATTCCTTCAAAATGGATTCTTGGAATTGAAAATTTTAAAAGCTGTTAATATACAATGTTAACTTTCCTTTCCAGAGACACTGCACCAATATATGACCCAATGGCAATGATAGAATGCCCATCTCACTTGAGTCTTCACTTCTCAAACTTCTGCTAATTTAAAAATCTAAAAGATCCTCCTTCCATCACTTCCTTCCTGATGGAACCCAGGGGCTTTGCACTTCCTAAACACCCACTCTACCACAAAGCTACCCTCACTCCTCTATTTGCATTTGTATGGATATTATTATTTTCTGAATTCATTTTATGCCCTGTTTAAAAAAAAAAAAAAACAAACTGGAATTCCATTCTGTAAATCTTACCTCAATCATGATATCTAAACAAGAGTCCAAATCCCCAACTTGCAGCTTGTTGCTAAGGCCTTGCAGCAACATGTAAACAGTGAAGGTGAGCACGTGGACCTAAAAGGAGATGCACAGTGAGAACAGGAGTGGGTACAAACCCCATGTTAAAGAACATTAAGATCTAAGAAGTACTGCAAAGAGAGCACTCACAGTTTATGTTATTGCTGGGAGCTTTGACAAATGCCACCATTAAAAATCCTTTAACCAAGTGAGCACCGTACGAAGGATGTTTAGAAACACATTACCAATGCTTAGGATCTATAACTGTGACTAAAGCAGGTCAGTGATTTATAAAAAGGCCCCAAAGCCTTCAACTTTAAAAGCCAAACTGTGAATTAAGGAGCTTGTTAATGCTGAATGCAATCAAAGCTGGTACATAAGGACGGAAACAGGTTTTTAAGTTTTTGCCCACAATAGTAATCAAGCAAACGTTTACTAGGAACTTACACTGTATTAATACAGGTACTATATTAATATCTCACATGTATAAATATTTAAATCATTTAAGCTTCATGCATTCTATCTATGGTGTAGGTGCTAAATTATCAGCATTTATCAGATGAGGAAGCTGAGACACAGAGAGGGCAAACAACTTGTCCAAGGCTGCACAGGTAAAAGGTGGAATTAGGATTCAAAACCAGAGGGGCTGGTACCATAGTCCCAGGTCTGTATCACTGCAGTATACTGACTTTCAAGTTTTTTGCATTTTTAATGCTGCTTCCAGGACTGTCTACCCACCAAAGCAAACATCAGATTATAATCAAAGGACAAGGAAACACACTTAGTTGTCAATATAAAAATTAGACCTTAAAGGCATAGTTTCTTTTGTATCTTACTTGCGACCTTTAAAAATACTTTTTACATATTTACATGTTTGCTATGAGCTTTATATAATTCTTAAAAATCCCTTTTCGGGGTAGGGGTGGAAGGATGAAGGACACCTGAAGAATACAATTTTGGTTTGTCTACATGATTAATACTAAAACACCAAAATTATTTTTGTCTACCCTATTTTAATTCTTTTAACAAATAAGATAGACTTGGAGAATAGCTGAAACAAAAAAAAAAAAAAAAAGGGTTACTCATGGAAAAACCTTTGGTTTAAGGAATGTGTGAATGAATTCTCAAGGACAGAAATGTACTGAATTCATCCACATATGCCAGCACCTGTGACAGCATCTCACCTATAGTGCCATGAAGTAAATGCTGGTTAAAAGAACAGAATAAAGATGAACACTAAAAGGGGCTCTGGTTCAGGTAAGATGGAGAAAAGCACAACTAGTCTCTCTGTATTGGATGTAGCTATAAAGTCTGGACAGGACCCAAGGAGCAACTCTCAGGGGAGAACATGAGAACCAAAATGCCACAAAATGTTCAGAGAGTTTGCTAGCATTTTTCAGCTGACACAGAAGTGGGTGCCAGGATGAGCCTGAGGGAATGCTGGGAAAGCTTTCTATTCTGGTGTGAACAGGAGAGAGAACTCATCAGGGAAAGAAAGGGTATGAAAATCTCTCATTTTATTTTTCTTGTCTTAATTTTTTCCCATTTCTGGCACCCCAGGCCCAAGCAACACTGTCGAAGTAGTGACAGTGACTTATAATTAGGATTGGCAGGAGATTGGCAACTCTGGGAGGGGAACCTGAAAACAGACGAATGTAAATTATCTAATCTAAGTAATAGAAAGGAGGACAACTGGAGGAAAAATAAACAGATGCTCAGGGACTCATGAGAAAGAAACAAAAAGTCTAACTTTCATTTCATTGGAGTCCCAAGGGAGAAGAAAGGGTAAACTGCAAAAAAAGTATCTGAAGAAATATTGGCTAAAAACTCAAATTTGGACAAGCAGCTCAATTTACCCCAAACACAGTGATCTCCAAAATAAACCAAACAGCAAGCAAACAAAAAGTCTTAAAACAGAAGAGTGGGGTATTTGTGCAGGATTCTGGGTTTATTCCCCAGCACTATTAAAAAAAAAAAAGAAAAGTATTTATGAATGCAGATAGAAAAAAATGTATTATATAGAGGGGAAAACCAAATTGGACAACTCATTAGAAAAGTCAGAAGGAAATGATCAATAGTTTCAAAGCATCATAAGGCACTATCAATGCAGAATTATATATCCAGTAGTAATATCCTTCAGGAATAAAGATGGAACAAAGATATTCATGAATAAAAAATTAAACAAAACAAAACAAAACAACTTGCTACCAGAGGACCTACTACCACCAGATCTGTCTTAAAAGATGCTAAAGAAAGCTCCTTAGACCAAAGAGAAATGATATCAGAAAGAAATTTGGAAATTCAGAAGTAAAGAGTAAGTGAAAAAGTAAATAGGTAGTATAACAGACTACTTTTTCCCCTCTCATCTTTAAAGTATGTTTGACAATTAAAAGCAAAAGTTATAACATATACTTGAATAAGTTTTTAATACACAGATATAAATAACTGTAATACAAAAAAGGGAGGGCAAAAGGACTTATATTTTGGACTTATTTTACATTCCACCTGAAGTAGTAAAACACTGATTCTCAGGACACTGTTAAAAGTGAAATATATATATATATATATATAAGATACCCTAGAGTAACCATGAAAATGTCATACAAATGTGATTGAAATGAACACAGCCATTTTAGTGTTATAACCTACGAAACAGGTTGACCTTGCCCATAAATAAATTAGAACACACCATGTAAAGCTAACTTCCAGGAGTGTTAACTGGGTACTTGAACAAACTGTAGTGTTTTCCAAACTTTAAATCACACAGGGGATCTTACTAAAATGTGGTTTCACAGGTTGGGTGTAGGGTCCTAATTTCTGCATCTCCAACAACTTGGTGTTTTATATTCTGCCTGGTGCTCTTACTGTTTTTATAACTTTCATGATTTAACTTTTTTTTTTTTTTTCCTGTACTGGAGATTGAACCCAGGGGCATTATACCACTGAGCTATGTCCCCAGTCCTAATTTTTTATTCTGAGACAGGCTCTTGCTAAGTTGCTGAGGGTCAAACTTTTGATCCTCTTGCCTCAGCCTCCCAAATTGCTGGGATTACAGTTACAGGTATGTACTACCGTAACCAGCCTATGTCTGCTTTTTTTTTTTATTAAATATTTATTTTTTAGTTGTAGTTGGACACAATACCTTTATTTTATTTATTTATTTTTATGTGGTATTGAAGATCGAATCCAGAATTTCGCATGTGCTAGGCGAGCACTCTACCACTAAGCCACAACCCCAGCCCCTATATCTCCTTTTTAAAAAGATCTTTTTAGGCCTAAGTTGCATGACCTTTTTTCCTCTCAAATTATTTGATACTGAATTTCATATTCTCTGGATATTAATAAAATTATTAATTTATATTGAATATACTGTTTTAGAGTGAACAAGAACATATTTATTTGCTTAAGAGTTGAAACATAGCTGAGTGTGGTGGTGCTTGACTGGAATTCCAGCAACTCAGGAGGCTAAGGCAGGAGGATGCAAGTAGTGGTCAAAATGCAAGTATTTGAAATCCAACCCATCTTGAGTATAAAGCACACAATGCAATTTACCTGATACCCACGGACAAGGGTGGTCTTTAATTCTTTTAAAACATACTGCAGGAAGTGCACACCAAGATCTTCTATTATTTTTGTGAGTGTGCTGCGTGCTATGTCTCTGATTTCCTGTGCTCTATTCTTGAGGAGAGCACACACTTTCAGCAAAATACTAGAAAATAAGAAGTTGAAAAACGATCAATCAATAAACACACAAAAATATAAATATCATTCTATCTCTTAATTATTTATAATGCTAGGTTTCCCTTAGTATTCAGAAGTACAGCAAAGTAGGATAGCACCTCTCTTCTTTGTAACAAAAAAGATTGAAAAGTTAGGAAGAAAAGCACCAATATTTGAGGTTTCCTGAATTTGTCACATACATACCTTGGCAGATTAGCTTCCATGACCTCTTGTGGAAGGGACTGCATCAGTTTAACCATGGCAAAAGCTAAAGGGACTCGAACCACTTCCTCATCGTTCACAATCTTGGACTTGATAAGCTTGTGTTCTTCTTCTCTTTTAGTCTATAAAACATTTCACGTTAAAACAAAAATAAGGATGAGAGTCCTGCTTACACTGTAACTCTGTATTTGAAAGACAAGCTCTTTTCATGTTTAAGCCCATGTCTAGCTGTCTTTTTTAAAAAAACTAAAAGTTGTGTCAGTTGGAACTTTCAAGTGTTTGTGTAACATGGTTGGTACATGAAAAATATGCCTCCAGTAGAGAAGGTTTATTTACAAAGATACAAAATGACCAAGTCAATACCTTATATTAGCAATTGGCAAACTTTTTTGTAAAAAAAAGCATTTGGCCTTGTAACCTTGCTGTAGTAATGCAAAACCAGGATTAGATTACATGGAAACAAATGGGCATGTGTTCCCATAAAACTTTATAAATACATAGATGCAGCACAGAGACCAGAATTTGGGGGCTCAAAGTTTTACAGTAAAGAGGAAAGGCTCTAGCTTCATGAATATGCACTGCTAAAATGTAATTCCTCTTAACCAGAGGAGATGAATTTTAAAGTAAAAAATGGAAACACTAATTTTTAGTTAGCTTTTTTTGGAAATGTGAGTCATCTTGGGGGCTAGGGATGTGGCTCAAGCGGTAGTGCGCTCGCCTGGCATGTGTGCGGCCCGGGTTCGATCCTCAGCACCACATACAAAACAAAGATGTTGTGTCTGCAGATAACTAATAAATAAATAAATAAGAAATAAATATTAAAATTCTCTCTCTCTCCCCCTCACTCTCTCTTAAAAAAAAAAAAAGAAAAGGAAATGCGAGTCATCTTAACATTTGCTTCAGAGATAGAAAAAGCATCTATCTAGCATAGCAAAATCAAAACGGCAGGCCATTACTGACTGACTAGCTACAGCAGGAAATGAGACTGAAACTGATGAGAGAAGGGAAGGGAATTATAAAATGTTGAGGTACAAGGAAACTCAAGCTGTGTGTGATGGTGCAGTCTATAATTCCAGCTACTCTTAGGCTGAAGGGGGAGGATTCCAACTTCAAGGTCAGCCTGAGCAATTTAGAAAGTCCCTAACTCAAAATAAAATTAAGAGGCAGGGGATATAGCTCAGTGGAAGAGTGCCTCTGGGTTCAATCCCAGTACTACAAAAAGAAAGAAAGAAAACAAAAACAAAACCCCCAGAAAACTCCCAAAGCTAACCCCCAAAGTCACTTTAAGAGCCTGGTGTGGCAGTGCCTCACTAGCACCCAAGTTCCTACAGACCAGCCTGGCCCCAAACAGAGTTATTACCGTAGATGAGAGGCACTTATGTAGCCTGGGGAGGATATCCCCAGTTATGGTTCCATGGATAGTTTTAATCGTTCTCTCCAATTCTTCCTTATTCCGAGGAAGGCAAGAGACAGACTTTGTGATACAGTTGGATTCCGTAGCCTCTGTCCCATCAGAGTCAGCTGGATCAGGGTGTGCAAGAGTTTCACTGTTGTCTAACAACCCCTTGGATGTATTTTCTTTTTCTTCCTCATTCATGTGCTCGAATTCCATGGCTTCAGACTCTGGTACCTCAGTCATTTCTACTGTATCTACGTTTAATAATAAACAATCAACAAAAGTCACCTTAAATTGAATGAGGAAACAGCACAGTTGTGGCAAGTAGTGTTTTCCATGTATATCTAACATCCAATAAGAACATCTGATCTGATCTCCAAGTATAGAAAGGCAAGGTTAAGTGCCCAAGAAGGAGCAGGCAGTGAAAGGCCTATTTTTTGCTTTCTCAAAATTTAGAGTCTAATGAAGGGCACAGACAAGTAAACTGGCAACTATGAAAGAATGTTGAACAGTCAGGACAGGATTACTTGAACACCTATTTGGGGAAAGGGGATGGGGCACACTGGGAAAAAAAATTCTTAGGTGAAAGAAAGAGTCCTGTAGTTGTTTCCATAAGCAAAAACTTCTATTCATGGGCATGAATACCATAATAGCAGCCAATCATTCCCATGCAGAAATTTTTCTTATTCCAGGATTCAATTAATTAAAGGAAATTGGGCAGTACAGTATTGTGGAACATTTGATCCTGCTAACAAACTATATGATCACAGTCAATCAGCATGACTCCAATGAGCTTTGGCACCAACCTTGCAAGGCTACTGTGAGGATTAAATGAAATAAAGTCTACAATTAACTAAAACATGTCAGACATGTTAATGGCAAAAGATGGGAGCATCAATCTTTTTTTTTGCTTACCTGCTATATAGCTTTGGAAATGTTACTTTATATTTCTGAATCTTAGTTTCTCATATCAAAAATATGGGATAACTAATACTAAGAATCTTGAAAGCTTCTTATCAGAACAAATGAGATAATGTCTATAAAACCTGGCTCAAAGCAGATGCTCAATAAAGGTATTACACCCCTTTTCCTACTCCTTAAAAAGACCACTATTTTGTGGACTATGGTGCTCCACTTGTGCAGTGATGACTTAAGGTAATTTTGGGGCCTGGTAGTGATCAGCAGGGCAGGGCTCTTGTCTATCATAATGTGATAGACAGTCTTTTATGTTGTTTTACCAGTATCTGATATGAGCAGTACAGAAGAGATTACTTATGAAGGAAAACAAAGGGAGAAGAGCTATTTTGAAGGACAGGGAACTTATTGTAAGTTGATGACTGTTTTGAGGGAGAGGATTTGTTTTGTACAGCACCTGGAGTCACTGCTAGTCTTCAGAGATGAACCTCAACATGTGTTTTCTAAAGTGATATGAATCTAATCTAAGGAAAGCAAGTCTTTCTATTGACTTCCCTACCTTTTTAGATACTTGGAATCAGCCTTTGCAAGTAAGATATTTTATTTGTTATTTGACATCCTTACCAGGCAGAGGTTAGATCTCATCACAGCTATGCCTCATATAAGAAGAAAAGTTTTTTCCAAAAACAACTAAAGTTATATAAATAAATTAATAAAATATCCTAGTGAAATATTTCTTAGGGACAAAATTATTTTCTATAAATAAAAATAAAACAAAACCTGAATACTGTCACCAAGAGTTGGCAATCATTTTCAAAAGAGATTTCAGACAACTATTATATGGAGATATCAACGGCACAGGGTCAACAGCACAACATATAAGAGAGCTAAATTCAGGTGTCGCACATCATTTAGTTCAGACAGCATAACCAGATTTCAGTTATCTTTTAAATATACTACATGTATTTGGGTACCACTAAACTTGGATAATTTGAGCTAGTTTAGAATAGAGAGAGTAACTAAACTCTCTAAGAAGAAATAGTTAAGTAAATAAATATTTTAAAAATAGCAAGTATTTATACTTATGCAAAATTGCCAAAGGCAGAATTAACTGATTAAAGAAAATAATGCCCTGGTGTGCAGTGGTGTATGCCTGTAAACCTGGTGACTCTGGAGGCTAAAGAAGGAGAAACGCAGGTCTGAGGCCAGCCCGGGCAACTTTATACCACCTCAAAAAAAGGAGGGTGGCAGCTGGCGATACAGTAGTAAGGTAGAGCCCTGGATTCAAACCCCATTATTAAAACAAAACAAAAACTAAACAGAGGGGCAGAATATTCCTCTGTCTTTAGCCAAAATAATTAGGATAAGCATCTTGGCCTATTTGAGTGCTAAATTTTTTTTTCATTCATATTTCTATACTGACTAGAACCTCTAGTTCAATGTTCAGGATAAGCAGCATCAGGTATTATTTCCTCATGCTGTTTCTTTCTTTCTTTTTTAATATTTATTTTTTAGTTGTAGTTGGACACAATGTATCATTTTTTTTAATTTATTTTTTTTATGAGTGGTGAGGATTGAACCCAGGGCCTCACACGTGCTAGGCGAGCACTCTACCGCTGAGCCACAATCCCAGCCCCCTTCATGCTGTTTCTTAAGTGATAATTTATACTTCTTTATCCCTGAGTAAGATGTTGCATTAGGTTTTTATTGTTAAAAAACATGGAACGCTTCATGAATTTGCGTGTCATACTTGCACAGAAGCCATGCTTGTCTATCTTGTTCCAATTTCATTATATGTGATACCCAAGGAAGCACTTGCATTAAGTTTCTAAAACACATCTTTTGCTTGAGTATATATGAAATTTAATCAAATATTTCCCTGGGGTCTACACAGACAATCATGTTTTTAAATATGCTAATGTGTTAAAGCCCACTGACTGCTTTTCTAGGAGCGAGCAAACACTGCATTCCTTGAATAACCAACCATGGTTATGGTTTTTAATGTTTTTTATCACTTAACGGAATTTCATCTGTAAATATCTGGTTTAGGATTTTTATATCCATGTTAATGAATGAGACCTTGTGATACTCCCTTCTCAGAGTACCTGTGCCAGTTTTAGGTATGTAATTATGCCAATTTTGTAAGTCAGTGGGGAATTTCTCTTTTTTTATTCATTTAAAAGGACTAGTAAGTTTGAAATTACCCATCCTTAAATATTTGCTAAAACTTGCTGATACAACATTCTTTACCTGGCATTTTCATCAGCAGATGCTTAACTATAGACTAGTCTCTTTACTGGTTAGAGATCCATTCAGATTTTTTATTTTATTCTAAAGTCAGTTTTCTTCAATTTTCCTACTATATTTTTGCTAAGAATATGTATATTCCACCCATGTTTTTGAATTTATAAATACATATATTATCTTACTTTTTGCATTTAATTGTTATCCTTTTTAGTTCCTAATATTGTTTATTCTGTCTTCTATTTTCCCTGGTCAATCTTAGCAGGCATTTGTCAGTTTATAATCTTTTCAAATACCAAAGTTTTGTTTGATCCCCTCTATTGTATCTTTTATATTTCACTAATTGTTGCTTTAACATTTTTTTTCTTTTCTTACATTTGCTTTGCTTTCATTGGTTAATGGTCTTTCTATATATAAAAGTGATGGACTTCTAGATAAATAACCTGAAGTTCAAATTATTTTTTTACTAATAAATTTTAGACTGGCCATCTTCACAGTTAAATAAGTTTTTGTTTTGTTTTTAAATAAACCATTCATTTTAACTTTCTCCTGATCCATTAACTGGTCATTGCTGCAAAGAACAGAAAAAGGACTAAGTTTAATTGACACCTTTAATTCATAATCATAAATGATCCAAAAATACGGGATGAAAACCTAGTTTAAGAAAGCTTTACAAACTTACTTTCTTCATCCTGAATTTTCCCCATTTGTTCTTCAAGAGTTTTATGGTCAAAGTGGAATGCTTCTAACACTATTACTAGCAGACTGTTAAAAAAAAGATATACACATTTTCATTTTATTACCAATACCATTTGACTATTAAAGTTAATGTAAAGTCATAAATATTAAAATTACTTTTACTAGTCTTTGTTTTTACTTTAAACATTACCATAGCCTTATTGATACAATGTAAAGAGATTAAAGACAAATTCAAGAAATAATTTTAAGATTATATTAAATAAACAAAAATAAGAAGTTTGACAATACCTGACTCCCAACTTTTGATTGATCTGTCCTGACTGTAAGACATGAATGAAATGTTTCAAGTAATATACATATGCTGACCAAGAAAGATGTCTGCAAATAGCTCCAATAACTTCTATGGCAGCAATGGTTATATTTTCATGCTGTAAAATAAAAACAGCATAAATGTAGAACAAGTATTGGCTGATGGCCTACTAAAAAGCTTACACAGTACATAATTAGTAATTATAGAAAGGGGAGAACATCCAAATGTCCCAATTATACTCCATATTTCCTCTTCTGATTCCATGAAAAAAACGCATTTAAAGGAGTGACAAATTCCTTTAAAGGATATTAACTCTTTTCCACTCAGACCTCCCTAACTGGTTCAAGACTAGATATAGTGAATGATATCTATTTAAGATACAGAAATAGACAAATATTGGAGCTCAGATGTAGCACAATGGTAGACTGTTTAGCATGTGCAAGGTCCTGGGCTCAGTGGCTGGCACTGAAAAAAAAATTGACAAATATCAAAAACTATACACTTCATTGCTCTTAGCAATCAAAACTACACTATTTTAGCTGGGCACAGTGACATACACCTGTAATCCCAGCAGCTCAGGAGGCTGAGGCAGAAGGATCGTTAGTTCAAAGCTAGCCTCAACAACATAGTGAGACCCTATGCAACTCAATGAGACCTGTCTCTAAATAAAAAATAGAAAAGGGGAAGGGATATAGCTCAGTGGTTGAGTGTCCCTGGGTTTAATTCCTTGTACCAAACAACAGCAACGACAAAATGCTATCCCAGAAACGTCACTAGAAAAGGAGACAAAAATATATGAAACAACACTTTTCATACTCTGAACATTAAACAGAATGGGAGAACAGAACAGGGAGTAAAGAAACATGAAGTGAGTCTTGTAATTACACAAACTTACTATGTGCAGAGAACTGCAGTCACAAACAACACAGGAAGGTAAAAGAATGGCCCCGTGATCTCCCTGAGTTAAGGAGACAGAGCTGAGGCGACGGTAGTAAGCCCACAGGGCAGATTACCAGAGGAAGAGACATATACACAGAAAGCCCCTTGAAACTCCAGCTGAGTACTGATGAGTATATGTGAGTAAGGATGAGAAGAGGAAAGAATCATAAAAAAGAGGTGACAGAGTCATCAAAGACTATTTAAAAATGAAAATAGTCCATGCTCCTATTAATTAGAGTGTTAAAATTCATGATACATAGGGCACAATACTGGATGAACACATTGACTTACACAAAGGAATAGAGAGCACCAGAAATTACAAATGTGCAAGCAAATATAAAACACCTTTTCCTTATTTTTTTAAGATCTCATTAAAAGATGAGTGACTATTTAAAGCAAAAATAACAATGTACTGTATTATTTAAAGCTAATGAAGTAAAAAACCTATGATAAAAATATTACAATTAGTAATAAGTCAACAGAAACCAACAAATTAACAAAAAATAACAAATTCATCCAACAGAAGGAAAATAAAATGTGGGCAAATGGAAAATACATTATAAGTTTACAGCCAAAGTTTATTAACAATTATATTGCATGTAAATGTCTAAAACTCAGTTAAAAGGGAGACACTATCAGAATGAAGTTTCAAGGAGCAATCTTTCAACTACTAGATTCTTTCTTCTTCTTTTTTTTTGAGTCATGGTCTTGTTAGATTGTCCAGGCTGGCCTGAATTTCACAATCTCCTGCCTCAGCCTCCCAAGAAACTGAGACAGTATAGGCATGTACAATGGCACCTGATTTACTTAGATCAATGGCACCTGGTTTACTTACATCATTCTTTTAAATATTTCTTAATAAGTAAATAAACACTATTATTGTAAAAGGCCATGTAATAAATTGCATAAACTCAAGTCACAAATCCTGACATTACCACAATTAAACTTCTGTGACCATTTCTTTGTTCCACCTTTCATTAATCTATATAATCAATAAATACTCAGCCACTTTTCCCCAGGTACTAGGCACTATTCTAAGCTCTGTATAGTACAAAGGTTAAAACAGCCAGAAATTCAAACACCAGTTCCAACTCCACTTTTGTGAAACTTATAAAACCTCACCCACTCTCAGTTTCTTCTCCTGTAAAACAGTGGTAAACAAGTCTTTATCCCATAAAGTTGAGCAGTGGTGAGGATGAAGTCAAGTGTACAGAACAGTGCCTGGTACCTGGTATAATGTGAAAGGTAGCTATTGTTTTATCTCATTTCTTAGGAGCCATTTAGGCAAAGGCTCTGCTGATCAGTGGAGTTTACCAGAAGTCCTATGACACAAAAATAAAAGTATATTATCTCAGCAATATGACCATTTCTAGAAGGGGAATGTTTTGTGGATGGGTTTTGTGAGGTAATAATAATAGTAAAGATTCAGGTAACATCAACATTTACATAGCACTTATTATGTACTAGGCATAGTGATAAAAGCTTTAGAACTCTTCTAAGCCTCTAGTTATGGTGAAGATGGCAATGCGGATGCCATCAACTCATGGATATTTTGGCAAAGTGTGTCATGATATGGGCAGAGATTTGTCAGTTTCTAGATTTAATGCCCTACCTTGAGCATTTTCTCATCAAAAATTGGAGTCATGGCATAAGGCATAATATAATTCTGAAGAGATTTTGAAGACATCACAACTTTGCCTTCCATTAGCTGTTTTGCCAGTTTCTTCAAGGCCCTTGCTCTTCTGTGGATCTGTGAGTAGACAGAATATGAATTAGTTACTGAATAATCTCACTTATAACCAGCTCTACCTTAGGACCACTGTCTTGTTCCATGGAAATATTAAAGGAGTCAAACACAGTCCATTTGTTACATGAGCAAAACCTTGATTTACTTACAGAAATGCAACCTATAGCATTTGTTCAACAATAGGTCCTAAAGCATTGAAAGTTAGGAAAAGACAGAGAAAGGTATACTATTATGATTTGTGGTTTGTGATATCATTAAAATAATCATATCCCAGGAAACGATCATCTTATTTGCAAATCTGACTAATAACAACCAAGGAAAGAAAAACTTATTAAACCTTTGGGGGAAGTTAAAAATATGTTTTCTAAATGAGACATATTTCCAGGCAGGGAAAAGCAGAACTGCTGTGTACCTGAATGTGCTTCATGTTCTCAAAGAAGTCCATTTCTGGATCATGGTAATGAGTAAGCTGTACCAAGTCTTTAAACTCAAGCTGATCTGGAAAGGTTTGAATTAAACAGGAAAGTACTGTGGTATAATCCTGTTGAATACTCTGCAAATCAAGAAAAATATTAAAATTTAAAACAATCTGCTTCCTAGATAATATGAGGTGGCACCAAGAAAGCCATTAAATTAAGAACCACCACCATCACCACCACCAGCACTAAACATTTCCATTGTAAAAAAATCAAAAAGTGATTGCTCCCATCTATTCCCACTCTCCTGTTAAAGTTTGGTCACTATTTCAAGTATCTTAATTAAATTAACTAAGCCTGACTCCTTTTCTACACAACAGTGGCAGAAGAATGAAAGTTTAAAACCAAACCTCAGATAAAAGTATTCAAAAGACAAAGTTATAATACCTCTGTCTGACTCTTCAATCCTTTCCTCAATTTCTCCAGGAGTGAACGATGAATGATTTCTCTATATTCTTTCTCTGTGACATTTAAGGCGGCTAGTTTTTTGATAATACTCATCAAGCACATGCTGGCATTATCACTTAAAGACATATCTCCTAACTAAAAATAAGAAAGAAAAAGAACCCAAGTTATTCTGTATAATAACTACATACAATATGAAATATTATTTCCTAAGGAAAGTGAAATATTATCACTGGTTTTTATAAAAGTCCCTACTAAGAAATGCACCTTAAGTATTGCATAACTCAGGACGAACACAGTGGAGGAATGTGAGGGATAACATCAATAAGTGACTTTGAGAAACTATGCTTATTGAGAAGTGTCTCTTCATTTCAGGAAGCACTATGAAGGGAATGTTTTAGTTTAATTTCCCCAAACAAGCAGTATAACAGGTCCATTGAAGCCAATTTTCAATATTCAATACCATTAGGTCACCACTGAAAATGATAGAGTTGGCTGGAATAATTTTGGTTACGTGCCCCAGAGTTCCTGGTTTGAAGAATGTAGCCTAGAGTAAAGAAGATATTCCCAATTCAGCCAACCAGGCAGTGACACTGAACACAAGTGTTGAAACTGGAAGTGATATATCAAGAATAAGCTCCAAATGGGAGAGCATTTTTTCATGTACATAATAACAAATAATTATGCTGCACAGTTTATAGATGGTATTACATAACTAATAAAAAGCAAGGATTCCATTTTCGAACTTTGTTCAGTCCAGCAACATGGCACTTACTATAACCCAAATACCTTTTACTTCTACCATATCATCAATAAAAAGGGCAAACTTTCAAGTTAGTTAACAATAACAGCAAAAAAGGTATATAATTGACATACCATAAAATTCATTCTTTTAAAGTACATAATCCAGTGGTTTTTTAGTCTATTCTGAGTTGTGAAACTATTACCAGTATCTAATTTCAGAATATTTTGTCGCCCCTAAAAGAAGGCCTATACTCATCATAGTTCATTGCTCATTCCTCCCTCCATGAAGCTTTTTTCTCTATTGAGATTTTAATGTTTTTTTGTAATTATAGATGGACAGAATGCCTTTATTGTATTTGTTTATTTGTATGTGGTGCTAAGGATCGAACCCAGTGCCTCACACATGCTAGGCAAGTGCTTTGCAGTGAGCCCCAGCCCCAGCCTTCCTGCAGCTTTTGATTAACATTATTTTACTTTCTATCTCTTTGGATTTCTTCTAATATGTAACTTTATTTTTTTTGAAGTATTTCTACCTACAGTATTTTATTTGAAATATCTGTCTTTCGAATAATAACAGTAAGTTTTTTGCCAGGTGAAAAATTCTTCATCTAAAAGAAATTTTATCCTAAAAACATTTATCCTTGAAAAAACAAATTTAAAAGTTAGGTGATAGTATTAGATGGTTGTATTATCAAACAATAAAAATCTCACACAATTTTGCTATAAAAACCTACCTCCATATTATAGAAACAATTATGCATAACTGGAATTAGGAAGTTAACATCCACAGTCTGCATTTCTTTAATGTAAGAGGTGATGGTCTGGAATGCTGCAAAGCGAATGTCGAAGTTGATGTCATCAAGATGTCGTTGATCAAAGGCATTAAGCTACAAGAAATGCCATTGAAATCACATAAATGATAAGGTGCATAAATCTTAAAAATGATAATGCTTTTGAAATCAAAGAGAAATGAGATTCCTTCCTTACCTTGACAACATCAGTAATATAGTTTAGTCCACTCTCAAAATCAGAAAGACTCTAAAAGGAAAAGAATGGTTGATCAGTGAATAGAATTTTAAATTTTCTGACTTCCTCCCCTTAGCTCAGTATACAAATTCATACAAAACCATCCTACTGTCACAAAAAAAGGTTGTTCTGATGCTTTTTATGCCAGTTTTTAAAAATATATTTTAAATTTTGTATTAATTAGTATATATGACAGTAAATTGCATTTTGACATGTCATCTATAAACGGAGTATAACTTCTCATTCATCTGGTTGTACATGATTGTAGAGTTACACAGGTCATATAATCATATATGCACATAGGGTAATAGTGTCCAATTCATTCTACTGTCATTCCTACCCCCATAACCCCTCCTGTCCCTTCCTCTCCTCTGTCTAGTCCAAAATAGATCCATTCTTCACCCGCTTATTGTGAATTAGCATCCCCACATCAGAGAAAACATTTGGCCTTTGGGATTGGCTTATTTCGCTTAGCATAATATCCTCCAGTTCCATCCATTTACTGGCAAATGCCATAATTTCACTCTTTTTTAAGGCAGAGTAGTATTCCATTGTGTATATACCACATTTTCTTTATCTATTCATCTTCTAAAGGGCATCTAGGTTGGTTCCATAGTTTAGCTAGTGTGAATTGAGCTGCTATAAACATTGATATGGCTGTGTCACTATATCACAGTTATCTTTTAAAGAAAGGGTGATTTGGGGTAGAAATAAATATTACATACCTGGAACACTGTACAAAGCAACTGTCTTGACAACTTGTTCTTAATAACTGAGAAGAGTTTGGCAAGAGGCTTGAGAAAACTTGTAGGATCCAGACAGTGTTTTAACAAGTTTTGCACTGTCACCAGAATATCAACCTCCGTATCCTTTAGAAGAAATGAGAAATCTCATTTCAGTAATTTATAGAACAGGTCAACTTGTATTTTGATATATTATAGCATTGGAAATAATGATTGATATGTAAAAGTAGTACCTGGAAAAATAACTGCATAGACTTTTAAAAGTTTTTAGAATTTTAACTTAATATAAGACTCAATAATGTTGATAATAGTTTCTTCCTTTAATTCTAATAGAGAAAAATGTGGTTTTGAAACATAATTTCTGCAATTGTGTAATCAAAAAATAGCTAACAAAACAAGCTTGCTGAAGGGAAACAAGACACTTCTGGTCATCCACAGATTTGTGGTATTCTAAACTGAAAGTACTTTACACAGTGCTGTAGCGAGTGATGATCAGTGCTCTTGAGGCCTTATTGAATGAGTGAATGAGCCACTCAGAGATGCATAACTGAGGAAGGGTTTGAGGGTTAGAAATTCTTCACTATGTCTAAATATTAAACGTCTGACTTTCATTGAGTTTTACCATGTGATCCATATTTGAGACTAAAAATTAGAAACTAAACAAAGAAAATAAAGAGACTAAAATTTTTACTGCTGTGGCTGACGATGATGTGTTACCTTTTTGCCTGTCCCCATTCCTATTTCTGTGAAAAGTTTTCTACATCTAATTTCTATATAGTTTTTTAAGTTCCTTGGGACAGACACATCAAAGAATTTAACCAACAGCTGGGTGCGGTGGTGCACACCTGTAATCCCAGTGGTTGGGGAGGCTGAGACAGGAGGATTGTGAGTTCAAAGCAGCCTCAGCAACTGTGATGTGCTAAGCAACTCTCAGTGAGACCCTGTCTCTAAATAAAATACAAAATTGGGCTGGGGATGTGGCTTAGTGGGTGAGTGCTCAAGTTCAATCTTCAGCACACACACACAAAAAACAAAAAAACAGTAAAATTGTTGCGTGTAACTAGCAATAAAGTGCCATTTCAAAGACAAAATAAATGTTGTATGAATTTGTACCTGAGCAATATTGCCACGGTGGAGGAAAGGAAGGAGAAGTGTAATGAGGACAGAACTTTGTTCTTTGTCTTTCATAAACTTGCTTATCCTAGAGAAGGAAACAAATGGATATGTTAGGAAGACAAACAAGTTGAGAATATTTCTCTAAGAAGTTAACTTTTTGTAGAAAAGCATTAGCAACTAAACACAGACTTTTAACATTTGAATTGACGGTGGCTTTGGAGTACTGTACATGTGTAAGAAGGTTAACTTAGTTATTTAGCAGTGCCCTCTAATCTTATTCCTCTACAACACCAAGTTCCTGGGATGATTCTATTTCTTTTACAATATCTGATCCCATAGGTGGGCTCCCCCTTTCTTTCTCCCCCACCTCCTGCCCTTCTTCCTTTCTTTTTTTGATATCATAAATTGAACCCCAGGGCACTTAACCACTGAGCTACATCTCCAGAATTTTTTTTTCATTTTTTAATTTGAGAACAGGGTCTGCTAAGTTGCTTAGGGCCTTGCTAAATTGCTGAGCCTGGCTTTGTTCTTACAATCCTCCTGTCTCAGCCTCCCAAGCCACTGGGATTACAGGTGTGGGCTATCATGCCTGGTGGAATTGATGATTTCTTACTTCGCAAGGAATTAACATTTTTGCTAAGATTTAAGGTTTTACATACAGTATTTCAAAAACTCTTGTAACAGCCCTGTAACAGGGGAATTATTAGAGCCTTGTACATACTAAGGAAGAACTCTATCACTGAGCTATATCCCTAAACCCTAAGATAAAGTCATTTCTTGCACTTGGGTTTACTAACCTTGCCCTTTACAGAAATCATAATTATATACTACTAGGGTCTATTGACAAACAGACTCTTAAAAACAAACAAAATAATCTGTTCTTTCAAATTAATCATTTTTTTTCAATTAAGATAAAAAAATCAAAAACAAAAAGGATAAAAGAGAAAAGGGTAATGATCTCACTGAAGCCAAGGCTTTAATTAAAATATGCAAATACTAAATAAGCAAAATCTAGTAGTCTGATGTAGGACTCTGAAGTCAACTGTCTTTAATTACATGAAGGCAAATGCATAAGAAGTTTCTAGTGATTGTGTCAGCAAAGAAACAATTCTGTAACTTAAAAGTGTAGGGCATTTAAAATACTGTAAGTTTTTTTTGGTATTAGGGACTGGACCCAGGGCACTGCACGTGCTAAACCCCCTGCTACACCACTGAGGTACACTCCCACCCCTACAGATATGTTGTGTGTGTGTGTGTGTGTGTGTGTGTGTGATAGTAGTACTGGGTATTGAATCTAGGACGCACTACATACTACTGAAAATTCTTTAAACTTATTTACCATGTTAATTGAAAAGCATGTAAAAAACAAAAAGCATAACCATGCATGATAATGTAATCTTTTAAGTACCAATGTCACTTACTTTGAAAGAATACCAAGTTCTTTACTGACTTGTGCCCTATTCTTTTTCTTTTTCACCTTTTCAGCACTTATTGTGGTTTTGCTGAGGTACTGAAGAATTGTAGGTACATGAGGTAGAATTAATCTTCCTCCCACAGTGATAGACTCTGAAACACAGTTATTAATGTCTTGATTTTCACAAATTCTTATAAAGCATAACTGTATAGTATCTTCTTGATGACAGATACAGAAATTAATCAACTACTAATAAACAATTAAATTTCAACTCTAAACCTTAAATAACTTTTTCTTACTTAAAAGACTTATATTGCTAGATAAAACAAAAATTTATGTTAGAGATATATGAGGCTTTATTTAATCCATTTTTGATAACAGCAATAGAATTTTTGGAGTAATATGGTAAGAAGAATTCAGAGAGATAATGGTAGAAGTCATCTGATAATTTCCTAAAGGATAACTGAGACTCTGAGGGCAGTAAGTAATCTGCAATCCTATGTGTTCAAAGAAAATTCAGTTTTTATAAATAGAGTATTACTTCCCAGAGAAAAGAAACTCTGAGCACTCAATTAAGAAAGTCAATTCTACAGACTTTTTCATTTTTGAGAAGAGTCACTGCCTCTGAAGACAAAGAATTATTTGCTTTATACAACATACACACCTTCTGTGTTTACTGTGTCGGCAGTGTATACGCATCCAGTTACTGGCAAGCTCGAGACTGCTTCTGTAGGCTCAAAATCTGGAAGGTTAAGAAGGTCATCAACTATATCCATCACAATATTGGCTGTGGCATCAGAGAGATTCTTTGCTGAGAGAATTGCAAAGACATTGGTCAATATATCACATTCTGGGTGCTCAGGTTTCTGTTTAGCCAGGAAAGGAAAATATCTGCAGGGAAAAAACCATTGTAATAATCACCTATTTTCCAACATTTATTTCTAAAATGTGTTCCATATGAATTTTTACAATGAGTTTAACAAATATATTAGTGTGTATGAACATTAAAAGATTTGCTTAAAAGAGGAATTACTTTAAAATCTAAAACTTGATCTAAACTAAGCACACCTCGTAAACATTATACTACTTAGGCACTTTTTGTACATTTCTTATTTAATCCTTACAATATCTCTATTAGGTAGTAGTATTTTCACATTACAGAGGAAAAAACTGAGATTTATCCAAAGTCATTGTGCTAATAAACACCTAAAAAAGTTGTAGAGATGAAATCTGAACCACAGTCTAATTCCAGTCTTAGCCCTTTCTGAAAAAAATATGTGAAAGCCTATTTTTATTTTTTAATGTGAAATCTTCCCCTTTAGAATGTTTTCAAAATTTAAAATATTTTTTAAAATCTTAAATTTTAATTTTTTAAAAAATTTCCAGGAGCTATAATACTAACAATTTATAAGAAAAAATTCAGATAGTTTGCTATCAATTAATTCACTATCACTGGAGAAAAGAGTTCAAGTACTTAGTACTAACAAGCTGATGAAAAAGTTCTGAGGTTGTATTCATATGTCTTTCTGTATAATAAATATTGGGCATAGTATGCACAGGTTCCAAGCAAGATACTTTACATATTATCATTTCTGTTATCAATGAGGTAGGACTCTTTTTATTTCCATTCTATAGGTGGAGAAACTGAGGCTCAGAGGCCATAGGAGAATGATATTGCTCCATGCTGAGGTGTATGGCTGAATCAGAAACTTCAACCATTCATTCAACATGCAATGAATACTGACTAAACATGGATTAAGAGGAGCAACCCTGTGTGGAGAAAGACATAATTATGAGTGAGAAATGGTTTCTGTCCGAAAGGAGGATTGGGCAGATAATTATAAAGATAGAGAGTACAATCAAAATGTGATGTCAGGGCCTTAAAAGAGTGGACAGTTCTCCCAGGAGGAAGAGACTGAGCCAAGCAAGGGTCATGGTAATGAGAATCAGTACAACTGAGAGTGTGGTCAAGGACAGTCCCAGTTATGTTGGTTGTCTTAGCCTCATTAGTTTCAGCATCTTTTCACACAAAGGAATGTAGGAGACAATAAACTGTACAATCATTCTAGTTGGTAAGGAAGTATTTGTTGTCTTGAGTTCACCTAATTTCTGAGACAATTTATCCTTATTATAAGCTTAAAGATACTGGCTATTGTTCAGCTCTACATGCATTTAGGTAAACATTAGACTTCTGTACAGATGGAAAAACCTATTTTAATACCTGATGGACACTTATATAAACTGTAAGTGAACTTCAAAATGTGAATTTATTTTTAATCAAAGAGTAACATTCCCATGGAGTGGTTCTGAAATATTCATTCATTAATTTTTCTACATAAAACTACATGTGCATACCTCCTGCCATGAGGATTCCAAGGAGTCAGACTTTTTAGATTATTTTTTCAGATGAGTATCAAATATAAAAAAAGTTCCCTAGGCTAGTTTTGATTAGATTAACCCAAAACACCACCCTTTTTAAAGGGGGAGAAGGGGGAAGATTATACCTTGCATTTCTGCTCCATATACTAATTAGTTTCAGCAGAGGAGTAGGTGAATACTGACTCTCAGATCCAAGCCTGCAGATCTACAAAACAAAATTTAAAATGAACATAAAATAAAAACACATAGAGAATTATAGAAAAGCAAAAACAACCAACAAGCAGAACAGAGAAATCGTATCACAAGATGAAGCAAAAAACAAGGGACAGGGATTAACATGTAAACAAAGGCTGAGAAAAAGATAAAGGGAAGCAAAATAATATTGACATTAAAGAAATGGCAGAGATGATGCATGGAAGTTCTTGACTTGAAGGAATCAGGTATTTTAGGTTTCAAATGGTCAGAAAGGATTGAGAGTTCATGCAGCTAGAAATCTCCAAAGATCAAATCTCTCCTGTAGTCTTCTGTCCTGTATCTATATCTCTAGCATCAAGTGATTACAACTAGAGAAATCAAACAAGAAACGCACACCAAAAACACCTGAATATTTCCCCTCAATGTTTATTTGTGAGAAGGTATAAAAGTTAATTTTGTTTAGAGACACAATCATATTCAAATTAGCTTTAAGTACAAATGCCTACATATTCAAGAAACTAAACTCTTGATCTTTAGATCTAGTAGTGGAGGGGGAAAAAAAAACCATGTTGTGAAAACTTTCAGAAATAAAGAAATGCTTGCTGTTAAGAAAAAAAGACCAGAATTAACATTCATGTCTAGGAGGCAGACTGAGATGTTAAGTTAATAATAAGGAAGCAGAAGATGCCCAGGCAGAAAATAGAAATTTAGGTTTACCTGGGGCCAAACTGCACCATGAAACACAGCATCAATTTCTTCTGTTTTGAACTGATAGGATTCCCAATCCAAAAAGATATCAGTAACCATTTTGATTCCAAGACGTCTTAAATTTTTCAGTGGGTTAATAAACCTCAGCTGTATCTGCAAAACAGAAGATCTGTTATATTAAAAAAAAAGAAAATGAAAAAAAGTACATACCCATTTTTTTTTCCTGATTCCTCAGAAAGGCTCTCCTGCTCAGATGTCAAACCGAACTGAAAATCCTGTTATTAAATCTATTGACTCTGATTCACATGGGGACATCAAAGGAGCAAGTCACGTTGCTATTCTCATTGAACTGGAAGGAAAATCAGAGCAAAAAAAATCAAGTGCTCTGCTATCACTGCCCAGTAAAATCACATTCACTGTCCTTAAGAAAAAATAATCACACCTGCAACAACTTTGCATGAATAGAATGTTCTAAACAAAACCTCCCCCACTACTCCCCACCTCCACCCATCTCAATGCCTCAGAATCAGGATTAGGGGGAAAAGAATTAGAACTTCATTTCAACTCAGAGTAATGTTCCTTTTCATTTTCACACTGTATTTTTCTTATTTTTTGCCACTTAAAATCTTCCAAATTGTTTATTAATTGTTATTTTCTAGTGTCAAATTCTTGAGATCCTACTTCCACTCCCCTTTCTCTCTCTCTGGCTTTCACATACAAAAGAAAGCATAGTCCTTGATTTTCTGAGTCTGGCTTATTTCATTAAAGTAATGCTCTCAAGTTCCATCCATTTTTCTGCAAATGATTTTGTTCTTTGTTATGGTTGAATAAAACTCCACTGTATATAGACACAAAGTTGGTTCTATAACTTGACTATGGTGAATGGTGCTGCTATAAACATGAATAATTGTATCTTTTCTTAAAACTAGAAGTTTTAAATTATTCTAGTTAAAATTAGTCTAGGGGACAAATCAAAGAATCTGTGACCTTTCCATAATGTAGACTATTTTGTGTAGTAAAGAAAAGAGAATGAATTAAGGTATGGAAGATCAATGGGTCTGAATTAAAAGCAAACTTCTTTTTATAACAGATATTGCTATCTCTACTGCATTCTCCTTTCTCTATGAGATATAAAAATCACAAACACGCAGCCAATTGTTCAGACTCAAAGTAGAATCATGTAGTGAGTCCCCGCCAATGACACTACAGTCCTAATCTTGACCTCAACTTAAAATCTTAACTGGATGCAAATTTATTAAATTAGGTGAGAGACTGAAAATCCCAAAGATATTCAACAGATAAGAAATTCTATGAATTTGGGAAGAGTAAACTTTATGGAAAAGAATTTCCACTTGATATTAAAAAATGAAAAAGTGTAGGCCAGTAATAAGAGAGACAATGGCCTCAGATTTCTATCAGGTAGAGAATGTTGTAAAAACCAGACTTAAAGAGGAAGTTTCAACTCCTGACTATTTTGCCAACTGACTAACATACTGTGGGTGATGGGCACAAAAGTGCCAACTTATTTGTATATATGACTTTTATTACCTACATCAACATCTAAAGACCACCTTAAAAATGTACAGATGACTGAAACGCACTCAGATGCTGAATATCAAGTCTATGACCAAGATATCACATATAAAACTAAAAGGGAAGTTATTTCCATGAAAATCTGATACTCTGATCAACAGATTGATTTGAATCTGAAATAGTACATTTTAAATTCAGGTGACTTAAATAAGAATTAATAAGAATGTTCTTAATTAATTTGTTGTACAAACCTAAGGGACCAAAGTATCTCACATATCATCTACTATCAGCTAATATTATACAAGTTAAAAAGATGAAAGAAATGACAGGCAAATACAAGAGGTGACATAGTTATAAGTCACTCTGATCTGCTTCAATTCTAGTGGCAGTATTTTATATGAGCTGAATTATACTTGGGGTGAAAGATAAATACTGTCACTGATACTTAAAATAAACTTGGTATCACCATTATCTGAAGCAAATGCCAAACCAACATCAGCAACCATCCCTGTCCTTCTCCAATCCCACCTATCCCCCTCCCTCCCTGTGGGTAGGATTGGCAGGCCCTGCTTGTTTCTGCAACTCCAGTGCTGGCTACCCAGTTAAAAACTGTTGGATAAACTGGAAAAAACTCTCAAAATGAGCAATTGTAGACTTTAATTCCTTAACTGTCAGTATGGCTGAGATTATGTACATTATTACACCATTTAAATGTACAAAACGCCCACAAAGCGAACAATAATCTTCACGGTACATCTTTTAATGTCGTCAGTACCCTGAAGGATAGGAAAGACATAAAACAGCAAATGTGTAACTGAACTCAAACACATAAATGTAAAACTTTAACTCAAGAAAATTCACTGTAGAATAATTGCATCATGCCACTTTAAGGAATTCCATAGACTTGTTAAAAAATAAAAAGAAGAAACCTCATAACTATGCATAAGCTTAACACCTCACTAACTAATGAACTGTGAAATTGCACAAATGATCCTCTGAGTTACTGATTGGTGACCTGGTAGCAAGGCTGCATTATTGAGTAACTTCTAAGTTAACCAAAAATTCAAAGGACTTTTACAGGCTTTACAAAAGCTATCACTTCTCATGGTTTAATATATCCATAGTTGCTTTCACTTGCAATAAAGCATAAACATAGTCCTTCCTATGGTCCTTTAGCTCTCATATAACACAGAAAGATTTTACCAAGACCTACTTTCAGTATTCACTCTTGACCTCCCACAACCTTTTTTCCATCAAGAAACCAAAGTGATATTTTTAAACATCAGACAATCTTTATCACTCCACTGCTTCAACACTCTCAGGAACTTCCCACCACTAAGCTGTTTAAGTGTACTTTAAAAAAACAAAACAAACAAACAAAAAAAACCTCTATTTTATTTATTTATATATGGTGCTAAGGATCAAACCCAGGGCCTTGCATGTGCGAGGCAAGTGCTTTACCACTGAGCCACAACCCTAGCCCTTTAAGTGTACTTTTATACTTATACTTTATACTTAGATGTAAATGCACCTCCTGCCATAGCCTACAAGGTATACATAACCCACCCTATCTACTTTAGAGCTGAACGTCACCTTGAACAGTGTTCCTGATTTCTGCCACCTCTACCTTTTTTCTTCTTGGAACATGCCATGACTTTCCACCTGAGGAATTCTACACTGGTTGTTTCACTACTAAAACAGACTTGCATCCATGCCTAGCACCAAAATGCAGTCTAAAATTTTGCCAGTCAATTTTCACTTATTATTATGTTGAAATTATTTTAAAATAAAAATATTTAAAAATATAAATCATTTATTAGGACTGTATCTGAGAGGCGATTCACCAGACATATTCATAAATGAAATGAGCCTGGGTCTTTACTTCGAGGTCAGTCCCTGAAATTATTACGTATGGATTATTTCATTACATTCCAAACAGTACACTTACATCTATATACTTGTTTCAATGAAAAATAAGTATACTGTTTGGAATACAATTCAGAAAACATCTTCCAGAACACTTCTTGGCAGCTGGCCAGTTGATGTGTCTTCTCTCATCTCCCTGCTTATCTATTCAAGACATTGCAAATTGTAGGGAAGCATTTACTTGGAGTCCCATGTAACTATGTCTCAAAGTAACAAGGATGATGGCAACAGTGACTGATTTATTTACCAACCATTCTGAAGAAAGGACAACTGGATGATAGTTTAACAACTCTTCAGCTCCTGAAATTAAACTTCAAGACACACCAGCTCAGTGAGGTGAGTTTCTGAGAAATGTATACAAGTCTACTATTATTCCACCTCTTTTAAAAACATACACTTGATAACAAGGAATTTGCATTTGCTAGTCATACATAAATATTAGATTCCTAATAAATGGAAGATTAATTTTAAAGAGACACTCTCAAGGGTTATATATAAGAAGATTTAGGTTAGAAGGATGTTAGTATTTCAGTCCCCAACCCAATTCCCAAAGTGAACCAGACTCCTCAGCCCAAGAAGAAGCATCTATAGTCAAATCTCTCACCTTTTCTCGCTGGTCAAGGATGTGTGATACGGTTGCTGTCATACAGAGCAATATCTGCAAAATCTTTGGTAAATATTCACTGATCAGATGGCTAATATTTTTCAATACTATTTCAAGGCTATTTAAAATTCCATGCTGACGTCCCAAAGGAAGAACTTTAGACAAATCCAAATCTTCTACAGCTTGAATGACTGCAGAATGGCACTCTCCTAACAAAACAGAAGAGATAATTGTGTACTGTAAAATGTTATTACTATATGTAATTATGGCTTCAATTTTCCTCTATAATACAGTATTTTCTACTGTTATAATTAATAAATGACAATGCACCTTTCTCATATACTATCTCTTTTTGATTCTTACCAGATATTCAATGAGTTAAGTAAGCCAGGTTTTCCTATTCCCACTTTAAATAAGGAAACTCAGGAATAAAGGAGGATAAGAAACTTGTCACAGAACTCAGTCTCTTGGCCCATTTCTCATCCAATTTTTAAAATACTATTCTGAGTTACTAACAATCTTTCATTCCACCTGACAACTTTACACATATTTTTGTTTTGCTCATCTTTCAATGAGCTGAGTTCAGTGGATTCATGAAAACTGCTCTGCTATATTATAAACTCCATGAAGACTGAGAATCCAATGTTCTATACCTCTTGTAGTCCCTGCCTAAGAAATAAAGCAACAGTCCCTTATAAACAGCTGTTGAAATATTGATTTCAGAGCTTACTGAAAACATGTTATTACTTAAGTTTTACATAAACCAACTGAGATGAGATCATGAATCAACTGATCCATAAGTCATTCTACCCTCCTATAGTGGGGCTATACATGAACAAAAACTTTTGTATTCATTAGAATCAACTTTCTTTACAGGATAATATTATACTGAATGAAATTCTTTTAACAGCTGGGCCCACTATCACAGAAAAATATCAAACTAATTCAATACATTGCCTTGCAAATAAACATCTGTTTGGATAACCCAAAGCAACTATGGGACTGGTTTTTGTAGTCAGAAAGGTCTGGGTTTAAATCCTAACTCTACCACCTTCCAGTAAATCTCTAAGCCTCAGTTTCCTCATTTATAAAATGGGGACAATCATATACTGATAGCTCAAGTGGCTGCTTTAAGGATCAATTGAGTTGTGTGCAAAGGGGACTGTTAGAACATCTGGTATAAATTAAGCACTTAATAAATGTTGGCCATTATTATTAGTAATAATTACTAACATTGTGTACCACACATACCACAGAGCCTTATAGCTCAGTGTATACACTATTCTTTCCTTCAATTCTTGACTGTGAGGTTGAAGGCAAATATTATACTCACTTTTCTGTTTTTAACTTATCAGAGTACCTGGAGTACAAGAGGTGCTCAATAAATCACTCTCAATAGGTGAATGACTCAGTGAATAAATAAATACCAAGACAAATAAATTTTGCAACACACTTTTGATTTCTTAGAAGAAACCATTCTTTGTGTATGGATAAGTATTCACCATTTTTCAGATGGCCTAAATACATAAAATAATACACATTTGCTTATCAAGCACTTAGTAACATAAGAGTGCCGATAATTCCCAGGATCAATTGTGAGATCACCTAATTCAATGTTTAAATGAATTGCACTTCAGCTGAAAGACAGTCATCAAGGTTGGGAGGATCAACCCAATTAGAAATACTTGTAATGTCCAGGAAAGTAGGGAAACATATTACTTTATAAGTTTCTACATAAGTTGTCTGCTACAATAACATATTCAGCAGGGAATGGGAGGCAGTTGGTGGGTACCATTCTTGAAGTGTTTCACAGGTTCAGACAGCAGGTCTAAGAATATCTGGATTTCTTCAGGTTGAGTCCCAGCAAGGAAGCGCAGAACAATGGCCATGCGGGTGCCTGAAGCAGATTTCCCCTGAGTTTTACTCCCAGTTTTATTCTTCATCCGACCATATAAAATTCTGAAAAGTCAAAAGAACTTTATTTCTTTGCACATTAATTCTAAAACACAATACTAGTTATTTTCTTTTCTTAAAAGGCTGTAGGAGAAACAGCAGATTTAAATTGGAAAAATGAAAACAAATGAAATATTTACATTGACATTTATAAAAAATAATCATTGTCATCATCATCATCATTAGGCCAAAAGGAAGCAGGAAGAAAAAAATATAGACAAAAGGCCAGAAGGTGTTTTTCTGTGTGAGAAAAGAAGCAGTAAAATAGGTAAGTCAAAGGTTAAGTATAGTCAAGGAAAAATGAAAACAAGAACATAGTGATTAAAAGGAAATGAAATAAGAGTAATATGCAAATAAGGAAACTGCAAAGATTTTAGTTTAATAGCTAGGAAAAAAACACATATAAACAAAAAGAACTTAAGAAGGGAAAAAAACCTAAGTACACCAATTAATAACTGAAAAACATGGTTTATATGCAATACACTGTCTTATATAGTGAATTTAAAAAAAATATTTTTGTTGTTGATGGAACTTTGTTTTTATTTATTTATATGTGATGCTGAGACACAAACCCAGTGCCTCACACATGCCAAGAAAGCACTATACTGAGCTACAACCACAGCACCATAGGTTAATATTTAAAAATAACTGCTATCATAATTTCCTAGCAGAGAGAAAGAAGGAAACAGTCCTTTTGCATTAATGAAGGTGGAAAAACTAATAACTAAGATGAGTCAATGACCAAAAATAAAACTACATACTAATATTGCTTAGAAACATAAAGCACAACATTTCTAAACATAGTATCCAGTTCTGGGTTAAAACCAAATAAGAATTTTCCCAGGAATTGCAACAAAGAATCTTCAGTAAAATCTGTTAAATATAGATGAATAGTTCATATTAAAAAAATAATATAACCATTATAACAGTTGCTTAATAAGCATACAATTCAACATTCACTTCTGATAAAATTCTAAATAATCTAATAAAAGCTACTTTCTTAACATGATAAAACATATTGACTTTTTCAAAATTTAAAGATAGTGGTTTTCAAACTTTTTGATATTAGGACCCTTTGACACTTAAATTTTATTGAGATTCCCACAAGAACTTTTGTGTCTGAGTTTTATCAGCTTATATTTACTATAGTAGCCATTAAAACAGAAAAAATTAAAATATTTGTTTATGAGTTCACTTAAATAAAAACTTATTATATATTAAGATAAATAGCATTTTAATGAAAATAATGTTTTCCAAATTTCTCTTCCTTAAAAATTAAGACTATTGGCATTGTTTTATTTATTTTCTGTCTGGTTTAATATAACTAGATTTGCCTATCTGCTTTCAATCTATTGGGGCTGAAAGAAAACCTAACCTCACACAGATATGTACTGGAGGATGAAAAAACTTTTAAGATTAATTGTGACTATTCCACTTTGATACTAATCCAGATCCCAACAAGTGGTAGCTTATTAAAGGCTAACTGATGGACTCTACAACTCTACCAACAAACTTTGAGAACCTTATTATATTAAAATCTGTTTACTTTGCACTTTGAACAGAACTCTTACCCTTATATTGATTCTGTAACATGCATTAGTTACTCAGAAAACACTAAGTCCACTGAGTTAAATGGAACGCCAAATACTTGCACATTTTATTGCAAACCAAAAGACAAGTGTGCTAATTAACTTTACATCATTATCCTCTTCATAAGGAAAGTTTTTAATTAATTGGGAATCTGTCAAGTTCACAGGAGCAAATAACAGTTTTCTAAAACCTTGATTTTCACTTGAATACTAGAATTTATCACTGGAAACAAATGCTATCAATTATTTCTCTTGAAGTGACAGGCTCATTGCCTGTTTAGAAGATTCCTATAAAATACCCAAGTATGAAAAGAATCATAGTCTACTAGCCAAACTTCCAGATAAAAATGGTATTCTGTGAAAGGAAGAAAAAAACAAAACAACAACAACAAAAAAAAACGTGGCCAGTTCAGCTCGTAGCTTATTCACACATGTGTGAATAACCAGTGTGCAGCAGGAGTTTTTATATATACTTCCCACTTTGTCATACAGAGTAGAAAAAATATATACTGAAGGGTCAATATTCACCAAGGACACAGAGTAAAACTAGCTTTTCTTTAAAAGACAAAATAAAAGTAAATAAAATTTCTAGTTAGTTGGTAATGAAGAATGACTAGCAAAATCTAGTACCACAGTCCTGATGCATGATAAGGCACCATGATTTTACCCACCTTGCTTTTGCCTTGCCAGTACAAATGTCAACACAGTGAAAACAATATGGTCTTAGTTTATTATTATGAAAATTTTGGACCCTATGGACTTCCCTGTAGGTGTTTCAGGGACCTCCCCAAACAATATGAGTACATTTTAAGAACATGACTGTTAAGAAGTAATTACTGTTAGCCCATAACGAAACAAAGATAATCACTGCCACCACCACCAGCAGTTAATTCTTTTAGGCTATTTGGGCAATAAATCGGACAATAAACTGGAAAAAATGGTTTTATGTCATACATGAGTACAAATTAGTTCAACCAATATTTATTAAGGGTCATGGAGCTTACTACTTCCTATGATACGGAAGATAAGGAAAGATTATGTTGTATGATAAATATTGTAAGGAAAATAAGTAAGGAGAGGGCCTAGTGAATATCAAATAAGGAAAGGTATGATTTTATATAAAGAATTAAAGGAAGGCATCTCTAATAATGCAGTCACCTGAAAAATGTAAAGTTACACAATATGATGCCATTTCTCACCAACAAATTAGGAAAAATTAAACAAATAACAATAATAATACCCAGAGTTGGAATAATGGGGAAACAGCTATCCTACTACTGATAGGAATATAAAGTGGCTCAAAAATACTTGAAAGTGATTGGATAATTCATACCAGAAATTATAAAAGGTCTGTATTTCTCCCTTAAATTATCTGAGAAAAATCATCAGAGACTGGGTCAAACATTCATATTCACAGAAAATAAAACTGTTGATAGAAAACAATTATAGACAGCAATTTGGCATTACTTACCAAAACTTTTTAAATAGTCATAAATTTTCCTATTGAGAATCCTCCTCTAGAATAATTACACTATCCCATTAATATGTACAATTTTTATGCTTTTGTGTACAGTTAACAATTTAAAAATCCAAGTATACTTAGTAAGAATAAGTCATGAAGGAAAATGAAAAACCAATGATAATGAACAAATACCTACAAAATTAAAAAAAATCTATCCTAATAAATTAATCTAAAAGATTCACAGATATTCAAAATCAGATATGTGTTTTGCAGAAAACACTACACCCAAGCAAAAGGCTCAACATAGGGGGCTTGGCTAAAAATTATGGTAAATCTATAAAATGAATAATCATACTTTGAAACATCTTATAGTATAAGAAAATTCATGTAATGTTTTAAGTAAAAAAAAAGATAAAACATTTTATGCAAAATGATTGCAATTTTCTTTTAAGAACTGTATATGCATGTATTCTGACAGTTTTTGGTAGCTTGTATTTTAGGTTTTATGCAACCCTTTGATTTTTACTTCTAGCTTTTAAAATGTTATTAGTATTGTTGATGTTTATAATTTATAATTGTTTTGAAAGATCATCAGGTGTTTATTTTTGAGTTTTGGGTAAGGTAATTTCTACTTCCCATTTTTATTATTTCATAATCCACCAATAATTATAATTTTATATAAGTATATGTAAGTATATATTAAATAAGTATACTTACTTATTTACTCATATTTTTATGTCCATTACAGCAAATACCTTAATGCTGGCTATAAATGGAATCAGAGTCATCACATCAGAGAAAGTATAGGCAACAGAGGATATGTGATCCATCTTCCATCCAAAAAAGGGACGCGAAGCCCAAAGAATCTTAAAAAACCTGCCCCAGCTTTCAGGACTACATAATCCCAGAGCTGAATGGCAAGTAAAGGTCTATTAAATCCCATTCCTATTCTCATGATCTTTCCAAATCCCATCACCCCAGAGCCACTTAGCTAAAATTTTTAAACTTCATTTTTTAATGCTCTGAATATATGATCTCTACATTATTTGTATATAACTTTGTATTCCACCATCTATAATTTAGAAAGCAGTAACATCATTAAATATAAATATGATATTTATAGACACTGGAATGAACTCTTTGATCAGTTTCTTTAAATGGATTTTTTTCTTTCTTTTTTTTGGGTGGTGCTGGGGATTGAACCCAAGGCTTTGTGCACATGAGGCATGCACACCCAGCCTTTGTGGTACATCTAAACAATAAACCTAGGGAAATAATGGGCCTAATTTAATATTATCATTATTAAAACAATACTGTATTAACAAGTTTCCTCATATGAGAAACAAAATTATCTAAATTACATACAACTGACTTCCCCAAAGATCCTATTAAAAAATAAAAAAGCATTCAAAAGAAAATACAAAATGATATATTCTACTACAACTGCTGAAAAAAAATCATAACACTATACTTAAAATTGTGCTTGGATTAATTTTTTTTTTAAATCAGTTTTTAAACAGCAATATAAATACCTCATTAGAATAGGAAACAAATCTGCTCGGTGGGCTGTTTTCACTACAGTATTTTCTTCTGAAATGCTAAAATGCACTATCTCTTCCTTAAAGCTTCTGTCATCAAGCAACCTTTGTAAGTTTTCCCTTTAAAAAAGAGAATAGCACAAATTATCAGTCAGCAAGACTTTTTAAAAACAGAAGAGTAGTATGTATACAGAGCAAAAAGTACAACTAAATCAAAATATTAAATGGATATTATGGTTGGTTTCCATATACGAAAAGTCTCACAAAAATATCTTCAAATTTCAAAAGGTAAATGGATTACAAAGACTAGATTTACTACACAATTTGGCTATTTATGAAAAGCATACAAAAGTATTCTTTAGTTTTTAGAATTATGACTCCCTAACCCTAACCTTTAAGATTTTATGGCACTCTATATAAACAGGGACAGAGAGAATGATTAAACTTTACAACATACATTTTTACATTATCCTTCCTTTTTTTTTTTTGGTACCAGGGATTGAACTTAGGAGCACTCAACCACTGAGCCACAACCCATACCTATTTTGTATTTTATTTAGAGACAGTGTCCCACTTCACTGATTTGCTTAGTGCCTCACTTTTGCTGAGGCTGGCTTTGCACTTGCAATCCTCCTGTCTCAGCTTCCTGAGCCACTGGGATTATAGGCATGCACCATTGCACCGGGTTCTCTTTTCTATTCTATTATCTATATAAAACTCTGTGTGTATGTGTGTGTGTGTGTGTGTGTGTGTGTGTGTGTGTTGGGGAGCGGGAGGCACTAGACTGAACCTAGGGCACATGCTAGGTAAGTGGTCTACCACTGAGCCACAAGAGAGGGTCTCAGTAGATCCATGCTGGCCTTTAACTTTCCTTCCTCTTCCCTCAGACTCCCAAATAGTTGGAATTATAGGTGTGCATTACCCAGCCTAGCTAGAAAATAACTCTACCACTGAAAACAGCATTATGAATTCCTTAGAAAAGAGGAAAATTTCTCAGGCCTTCAGACATTTCATAAAGGAGCTCCTAAACAAAAAGATAAAAATCAGCCAAAGAAATAATATTTCTTTAAATTTAAGCAACTTACCTGTAAGGAAGGATATGAGGATGTTTGTATGTCATGATGCAATCCAAAGTTATTTTTTGCACTGTTTGGTCCTGGTGTAGCAATAACTGGAAATGATATTTTATAGAATAAATTACATATACACATGCCATGGGATGACAATCTTCTTGTGTTTGTTTGCTCAATTAAATTTCCTAAAATCTAAAATTGTATGCAAGTGTTGGGCTGATTCCTAACAAAAGCTTTATGAGTTTTCTCTAGTCAAAGGATAAAGAGAATATATGCAAATAAAAAATGGAAATGAAACTCTGACCTCAAATCTCTATGCTGAATTTAAACCAACTAGGTTGGTCATGTGATAAAGAAAATTCCTACACTATAACCAGGGCCAATAAGCTGCCAAGAAAAAACACTTGGCTTTGAGGACTCCCTGAATATTAAGTTCAGAATCTTGTTTCCTTTGAACAACTTTATAAATGAGGTCTCTCTGAATATAGGCAGAACACAGATAAATTCTGCTGAAACTAAATTTCTCTAAACAATATCAAAATGAAAAAAGAACATTTCTCAGATTGTTTAGAATGACATCCAACACTTACTCTGCTTCTGACACTACATTTTTTCTGCAGCCTTTTTTGGAATTCAGGGACATACACTGTGATATCAATAGACAATTACTCCAACTACCTGTTTTTACTCCACCTAACAGATCCTGAAACTCTAGACCTCCATGAAGGCTGAATTAACTAGAAGGGAAAGGTAGCCAATTGCTTTTGGTACAACTCCCTTCTAAAAGCTAATCCTATGATGTAATTCATGCTTTTTAAATTTTCACTTTTAATACAACTCACCAATGTTTTATCACCTAAAATACCTTTAAACTAATTAATTAGTGTTACCTAAAATAATTTCAAGATAGCTGAAAATGTGTTTATTTATTTTTTAAAAAGTAATTAAAATATGGACATAGGTTCTGTTCAACAAGCAACTACTGAGACCCTACAAGTCACTCTGGCAAAGAAAATGATAAAGACTTTATTTTACTTACCTGAAGATATAATTCATATAGTTTCGATTCCAGATATAAGGCTCGTGGATTTGAAAACTTAGAGAAAACTTGCAAATGAGCAATTAACTGCCTAAATAAAACCAAGTAAAGAGTATTACAGATAAAGATTATTTTCTTCAGATGACAGTACCTACAATTTTATTCTTGCAAAATACTACAAGCACTCTACCTATAGTTTCACTATTAATTATGCAAATAAATTATTATTATTGGTACCAGAGATTGAACTCAGGGGCACTCAACCACTTGGCCACATCTTCAGCCTTCTTTGTATTTTATTTACAGATAGGGTCTCACTGAGTTGCTTAGTGCCTTGTTGTTGTTGAGGCTGACTGAACTCACAATCCTCCTTCCTCAGCCTCCCGAGTTGCTGGGATTACAAATGCGTGTACTACCGCTTTTGACTGCAAACAAATTACAAACATTCCTAAATGTTTAGGAAGTTACTCTCCAGAAATTCTACATCTTAGTCAAGTCTCTCCCTGATACAGGCTCCCTATCCCAGAAAAATCTTTCAGGATGTGCTTCTTTCAAACTAAAGTTTGAAAGAAAGTAATCAACATAGTAATATATTCCAAAATTGAGCCAAGTAATTTTGGGAATAATTCCTTATCTAAGTTCTATAAAGTAGATGGTTAAGTGGTAGAATATAGTCTTCCTCGCCTTCATATAGCATAAACACTGATGTCAGCTAACAGAGGTCCAAGTTTAGGTAACAATGGCACCAGTTTACCACAAAGGAAGAAACGACAATGTTCTGTGGTTGAAACATAAATATGTACATGGGAATGCCCAGAACAAATGGCCATCTCCTAACACAGACCAAGAGGGCTTTTACTGTATTTATTCACCTGACTTCCTAATCCACAGACTCTAAGACTCTAAACTGCTTTGAGAAAACTCTTTTCTTTCTGTACATAATCTCTGTTAGAACTTTAAAAAACAAACAAAAATAACTATAAATGAAAAGAGTTCAAAAGATTTTATTTGACTATTTCAAGAATGAAAGTAGGAAGAAGGAAATGGAAATCAAGCTCCATGTGTGTTTCTGCCAGTTTCAGCGGTGTAACTTTGGGGAAAGCTACTTATGTTTCAGAGTCTCAGTTTTTTCACTGTAATAACCACAACTTCCTGGGTTTTCCACAATGATTAAATGAAAGAAAGAGTCTAAGTTATGGTGCCTTTGCTCTGAAGCATTTACCAAACAATGCATTTCTCTGCTACTGGGCAAAAGAAAGCAAAACTATCAAAGTCCTTCTAATTACTATGAAGAAATTAAGCTAGAAATCACAACCTCTTTGGCTACTGTAGAAAAATAATCTGCAGTTTTACAAATAAACTTTAAAAAATTGAAGTCATGCACATACATGCCTGTAATTCCAGCTACACAGGAGGCTGAGTCAGGAGGATATTAAGTTTGAGGCCAGCCTGCAACTTAGTGTTATCCTGTTTCAAAATAAAGTTTTTGTTTTTAAAGAGCTGAGAGTGTAGTGGTGGAGAGCCCTGGGTTCAATCCCCAGTTCTTCACACACAAATGATTCTTCCACTCATTTTCTCCATCTATGTGCCATTTGCCTTACAGACTTAAAGAGAACAGGAGCTAATTTACACATTTTCAATAAAGTACTTGCCAAATGGTGATTTCATGAGAGATTATAAACTTAGGTTATGAAAATACTGAGATGGCACCAAGAAGGTGATTACTGATTTCTTCACATTTTCAATTTTGGTATTTGGTGGCAATATTCTAGGTTTGCAATAGAAGACAAATTAATACATAGATCTAATTCTTCAGAGTTTCTGATTTTCATGGGAAATCTATAAAAAAAATACAATGCAAAGGAAGGAGTGGGGATGTGTTAGGGGTATGACAGAAGCTGCTACAAAAGTCAGAAATTGAGACAGACAATTTTGACTTTAAAAGACAGGAAAGGCTTAAGTGAAGTACTGATGGAAGAGTGAGTTAAAGTATGAATAGAACTTCAATTGACAGAAGTCAGGCAAGGGCACCATGGAAAAAGGCATGAACATGTGCAAAGACCCAGGGATTAGAAAGACAAAGCCATGGTTGGTTAGAGATATGATTTATTCATTTATTCACCAAATACATATCTAGGACTAATGTTTTGCTAAGTTTTATGTTAATGGCAACAAAGGAGAAAGCAACAATCTTAAAGTAGTAAGTGACAGAATGTTCAGAGCTATGAGAAGGCAGAGGCAGAGGAGGAACTATATAGTTGCATCGTCATGACTTTACCTGCCCCTGTGCTTTCTACACATTTCCATTAATTGCTAAGTCTTTTCTCATCTAAGGCTGCCCAACTGTAATCTTTCCACATCAAAGATATTCTTTCCAGGGGAGGGGAGGGGGGATAGTAGAGGATAGGAAAGGTAGCAGAATACAACAGTTACTAATAGGGCATTATGTAAAAATGTGGATGTGTAACCGATGTGATTCTACAATCTGTATTTGGGGTAAAAATGGGAGTTCATAACCCACTTGAATATAATGTATGAAAAATGATATGTCAAGAGTTTTGTAATGTTTTGAACAACCAATAAAAAAAAAATTAAAAAAAAGATATTCTTTCCTTTGGAAAAATTCTTCTCCGGAACTTTGTAGTAGAAGTAAGCAATTCTTTACTGTGCTCCTATAACTCCTTTAAAAATATTTCTCATATAGAAATATTTCACCAGGCATTTGACTATGACTTCTGCATTGCAGACATTGTGTACAATTCACTTTAAAGCCTAGCACTTAGCAAAAATCATTCCATACAGTTACAGGATTGGATGAATTAACAAATGGCTCATGTTAAAATACTAAACAAATGAGATCTAAAGTTTTAAAATAACACAGGGGCACCAGTCCAGTGGCTCTTAAGACACCTCAATTCAGACAATTTTTAAGTAACCTGAAATAACTTCTGAAACCCCAATCATTTTTTTTAAGGTTTAACAATTTAGATAAATGAGTAACCCAGAGAATAAGAGGGTATAACAGCATGAGAAAAAAGTAACCAGTAGAAGATAAGCCAACAGCAGAGTAAAAGTGGCTGATATGCTTATTTAAGAAAAAAGATATCATTATGTGTTCCTCTAGAACACAAACATAATGATGCCCTTTGCTGCGAAGATGAATAGCAAAAGTCCAAGAGTATTTAACCACTGGAGGCTCCAAAGCTCACATCTTTAAAAGAAGTTACAAAAAAAATGAGCTACCTCAAAAGTTCCTAGCTCTATATTCTGTGGATAAACAAGGCTAATAGTAAGTAATTGTTCCAGGATAATAATTCAACTGTGTGAAAACCAGCCTCAAGATGCCATGAGATCGAAAAAAGAGGCAGATAGATCCAGAACTGTACAGAGTGTAAAGTACTGGGGTCACTGACAGAGGCATGATCCTGGGCAGAAACAAGATCAGCGGACCCACAAAATATTGCACCTGCACAATCCTGGATCTGTCTGCCTATTTCTTCACTCTCAAGGCACCATTGGCCCAATTTTCATACCCTAGAACAGGGCTGTTCTAGAACAGTACACTCAGAAGACAGACAGTTTTGTTTGGACTGTAAAAGAAAAATCCCAGGAAGATGTAGCACTTAGTAGTTCACGTTGTACAAGGCTATTTCCCATTCAGGTGAGAAGAGATAGCACCTGCTCCGCCTACATCTGTGATCACTCGACAAAAGAGAACTCACTTTGCTGCAGCTCTTCTTGTCTTTTTCTTCTGCGGGGGTTCATCTGGGGTTACCACCTCTTCCTCCATTTCTATATCATCTTCAGCAGTAGGTTCATCTTCTTTTTCCTCTGCTGCCATCCCTTTGCCTTTTCTCCGCAGATCCTGGGTTGGAGCAACCTGCAGATCTGCTGGGTAATACTCATTGCTACAGCGGGAAGAGAGTGGTACAACACAGATGAGAAGGGCACACTAATCTGAAATGTCTTGATTCTGTTCATGAGGGAGATGTTCACGGCACATAGAATCATACCCTAAACGGACATCAGGGGTTAGTCAAGCTTATTCTACAATATTATTCTTTTTATTGTGTCCCTCATTGATAAGCCAATCAGTAACTATAATAACTAATTGTACAAGACAGCTCATTCCATTGGTAAATTGCTGAAAGTATTTTAAGATGTTTATTTTGGACTTCACTGAAATCAGCTTTTCATCTTTGGAAAAGCAAGTGGTTAAAAATGGATTATATTAAAAGATTGCAGCATGATGTTAAGACCACACTGTTACATTTGGCCAGACACATTCTACTTTGCCAGTGTCCTTTTGAAAATACAGTATCTCAACCCTGAATAGCTAAAGTAATCTTGAGCACAAGGAATAAAGACGGAGGTATTACATTATCTAACTTCAAAATATCCTACAAACTTGTAATCAAACAGTATGATTTTAGAATACACGGATAGGCCAATGGAACATAATAGCCTAGAAGTGAACCCACACATTTATAGCCAACTGATTTTTCAACAAAGGTGCTGAGAAAAATTGTATATCCACATACAGAATAATGAAACTAGACCCCTCTCACCAATTACAAAAATCAACTCAAAATGTAAAAAAAGACAGATCCGAAACTTTGAAACTACCAGAAGAAAACAGAAGAAATGCATCAGGACACTGGAACAGGCAAAGATACATACGTGTGTGTGTGTGTGTGTGTGTGTGTGTGTGTGTATGCATTTTTAACAAGACCCCCAGAATCACAGAAAAGAAAATCAAAATAGACAAATGGGATTACATCAAACTAAAATGCTCTGTAGCAAAGAAAAAAATCAATAGTGAAGAGACGATTCACAGAATGGAAGAAACTGTGCAAACTATATATCTGACAAGGGATTAAATAAGATTCAGAATATATCAGGAAATAAAAAAACTCAATAGCAAAAATTAAAACAAACAAAAAACTAAATAATTCAATTAAAAAATGGGTAACAGACTTCAAGAGACACTTCTCAAAAGACATACAAAGGGCCAACAATTACATAAAAAGTGCTCAACATATCACTAATCATCAGGGAAACACAAATCAAAACTATAGTGAAATTACATTAGTAAGAATGGCTACGATCAAATAATAATAAATGCTGGTTAGGATTTGGAGAAAAGGGAACCCCTGGACATTGCTGATGGAAATGTAAATTAGTACAGCCATTATGGAAAAATGCAGGGAAGTTCCTCACAAAATTAAAATCGAATTATCATATGATGATCCAGCAACCCCAGTACTGGGGACATATCTAAAGAAATGTCTACACTCCCATCTTAACTGCAGCACTAGTCACAAGAGCTAAGACATGAAAACAATCTAAATGTCCATCAACTGATGAACTACATGAGCTCATATTTAGAATCTAAAAATGTTGATCTCAAGGATAATGGTGGTTACCAGACTTTAATAGAAGGAGGGATGGGAAAAGGTTGATCACTGTGTACTAAGTTCCACTTAGGAGTAAGAAATTCTGGTTTAACTATTGCACAGTAGGGTGACTATATGTAAAAATGTACTACATATTTTGAAAAACTAAAATAAAGAATTTTGTATGTTTTCACCATAAAAAAAATGTCAGGTGTTTGAAGAAAAGGATAAATTTAACCTGATCTGAGCATTAATAATATATGTGTATCAAAACTTCACATGATGCTTATTAATACATAAAATTTCTTACCTTTTTATGTATTAGGTTAAAAATAAGCTTAATTTAAATTAAAAAATATACTTACAGAGGACATCACCACAAAATTCAGTTTAAAAAGCATGGGTCTGATAAGATAAAAGGAGCTATAAACTCCATAGCTTTTGGTGGCAGCCATGATATGGTAGATTCAAACAGAATGTCCAGGCAACAAAAATCAGTTAAGTTTTTATGCTTTATCTCTTCTAACTATAGAATTTGTTCTTATTAAATTATATTAAATTCCAATCCTTTATTTTTAATCCATTATTGTAGTTAACAAATACAATCTTGAAGTCATTTAGTACACTAGCTTTCATTCATTCATCCAATGATTAACATTTTGTTGTTTACTGCATGCCTGGAGAGATACTAAGAAAAAGATCACACAGTGAGACTTTTAAATTCTCACTCAAAATAACATGTTGTGGACAGTATCCTACCAACCCTTTTAAAAGAACCACTAGAATAACACAGATTGAGGTTTTCATCTTTAAGCTAAGGGGTAATCTATTTTTTCAAATTAACATGGCAGAGAGCTCACATTCAATTAACAGCACTAAGGCCAGGTTGCACTTTGATGCCTTTTGCAATTCATAAAACAACTGATACAAATTTTGCCTCCAAAACAAGGCAAAAGATGATAAATAGCACTGTCCTCATTTTATAAACAAATTTATATCCAAATAATTATGTGCAAAGGGAAAAATCATTGCTCTTCCATCGCTGTATCTGTCATCCTGCTGCTTCTTTGCCAAAATGAATAATTCATGCAAACCTTTTCACTTATGCATCGGATCCTATTTCCTCTTACCTAGTTGAAGAGATGGTATTAGCAAATTTTCTCCTCCCTTCAGGATCATTTGCACCAACAATACATATATATCTATTTAAAACCACAACCTCAACAACTTCATCTCTGCCCTGACATCTTTCTCCACCTACTATTCTACACCTTTTTACTACTAGTACTTTCCAGATCCATTTTTCTTCTCCATTTTCTCTACAGCTCATTTAATCAAGCTTTGATTCTTCTCATATTAACCAAAACTACTATCGTTAAGGTCGCCTGCATGTAGGCCATTCTGCTTTAAATCATCTCTAAAATTCTTTCTCGTTCAATGAATCAATCCTTGATCCTCATCTCACTGACTTCTCAGACACATGTGATTAAAGTGATTGCTCCCTCCCTAAAATATTCTCTTCATCTGGCTTCCAGGATATCAGATGGTCTTGGTTCTTCTTACTATCACTCTTTTGTGGTCTCTTTGCTGGTTTATTCTCTCTCAACCTCTAAACACTGGTGTCAATCCTTACAAGTCTTCTATTTTTACATTCATACCTTAGGTGACTTCATTCTCTCTTATCCACATACTGATGACTCCCAATTTATTATCTCCAGATCACACATTTCCTTTGATTTCAAACTTCTACCTTCAATGTGTACTTGACATACCTCTACTTGGGTGTTTACTTAGTAGCCCTAACTTAACACATCTTCAAATGAACCTTGATTCAACCTGCAAACCTGGAAAGCCTGCTCTCCTCATATTCTCAGTAAGCAGTAGCTCTCTTCTTGTATTTGCTTAGGCCAAACCCTTAAGAGACATACTTAACTCCTACCTTCTTCCCATTTCCTACCACCACCACATACCCATACTGCCATACTGGCAAATCCCACAGGCTGATCTTGTTGGAATCTTTCAAAAATATATCCTATCAAATTGAAATCTTTTAAAAATTTCCATCTTTATTGCTACAATTTTGATCAAGTCACCACCAAATTCTTGTCTAGACTTACAATCCCTACCTGATTGGTCTCTCTTCTTGCCACTGCCATTCTATAGGCCATTTTCAATGTAACAGAAAAAAAACCTTAAGACTTAGATCATATCATCCTTTTGCTTAAACCTCCCAGGGCCAAAGTCCTTACCATTACTTAAAGCACATAGTCTGGTCTCCTGTTAACTTTTTGCTCTTATTTCCAAACACTCCCTGGACAGCTCTATGTCAACCACCTAGACTTCCTTGTTCATCCTTGGATAAGCTAGCATGTAATCCTACAGCATTTTCTCATGTCATGAAATACTAGTGAAGAGCATACTTTTTGCTAATTGCCTAGTTCTGATACCATACCTTTGGAGTCTTAGTTTTCGGCGGACACAACATCTTTGTTGGTATGTGGTGCTGAGGATCGAACCCGGGCCGCACGCATGCCAGGCGAGCGCGCTACCGCTTGAGCCACATCCCCAGCCCACCTTTGGAGTCTTAAAGCAACCAGACATATACACACATATACAGTCAAAGCCAAACAATACTCCAGAAAATTCCTGTTATTCTTTGACAGTACATGCATCAGCATGAGAAATATCAAGAGGCTCAAAATTGTAGACGAGGTTGGTTCACTGGAAAATATCTTCCAGTTCCAGGTAAACAATAAAACAACAAACAGGGTGAGAAATAACGAGGCCTCTTTATGTTGATCACACTCAATATGACCTTCTTATTTCGTAATGTGAAGTATTTTTATTAGTACCATTTGTGTTTTGATTCATATAAAATTAAGTGGTGAACAAAACTAGTTGTTACCTGAGAGAACCAGTGCTTCACAGACATTCCACTGATTTAAAAATGTGAGATGAATAAAGAACTTGGCCAGTTTGGAAGGTTAATACTCACACCCTACCAAGGATATATTCGTAGAAGAGAATACTTACTTGATAAATCTCAAGAAAAGTGGGGAAAGCTCCCTGGACCGTGGCTCTACTCTCTCTGGAAATTTTGACAAAGCACGCCAGAGCAAAAATCGAAAGTTGGTATGGTCCAGTCTTTCCTGACAATCAGTTTTCAATGTTAACTGCTTCTGATAAAAAGCTCCAACATCCCCTTCCTGGGTCTGTTCCCAGCTTTCATCTCCAATGGACCTTTCCTCATCTTTTATATTTTGCAGTTCTTTCTCTGAAACAGAGAAAAAAGTCATTATAACCACTACAGAATATTAACATATGCCCTATATGTTTACTCAAGAGAAGACATTTCTGTCTCTAGTAATATAAGGAAAATAAAAAACTCACATCCAATGGTTATAGAAGATAATACATTTCTCACTTGTTTTCCAATTTCATGCATAATTATGCAGTAAAAATTACAGTTAAACAACAGCTTGTCTTTCCAGCCTCCCCTGCCCTCTTACATACCAGCATGCGTTGCTGCTTTTTCTAGATGTTCATAGTAGACTTTCCAAAACTGCTTATTTTCCATTTCATGAGCATGGGAACTAAGATAAAAACAAATTTTAAAAATAATGTGGCATGGTCTTAAGTTTTGGATCTCTCATAGGAAAAAAAGTGAAAGAATTATATTTGATTAACTCAATGGGAGGTTGTAAACAAGTTCTGCATTCTTTAAAAATGCCTGCATTGCTATACATACACACACACATACATATACACACATATATGTGTGATATATATGTATATAAAGATAGGTAGATAGATATAGAGATATACGTACACACATACGTGTGTACACACACACACACACACACACACACACATTTAGCTACTCTGGGAATTGAACCCAGGGCCTCAGACATGCTGAGCAAGTGCTCTACCACTGAGTTACAGTCCTTTTTAAAAAATTTTTTTGAGAGAGGGTCTTGCTAAGTTGCCCAATTTGGCCTCTATATTGCAATGTTCCTTTCTCAGCTTCCCAAGTAAATGGAATTACAGGTATGAATCATAGTGCCCAGCTCAAAAATTCTTTTTGTAGTCATAAAAGACTGATGGGTATTTTAAAAAATGTAAATAAATCCCTATAAGGTGAATATTTTTTAAAGGCATAATAATGGCAATGGAGTATAGTATATGAGGTATATAGACCATTAAGGGAAAGAGACCACTGTTTGGAGAGAAAAGTTATTTTGTTCACAGCTTATTTTAAAATGTAGGTTCCCTCTACCAAATTCATATATACTTATTAACTCAACAGTAAAATAAACATTCACTAACTATTTGAAAAACATTTTTAGAACTCCATGAATAGATACTAGGGGAATCAAATAGTGTTTACATAGTTTGATATTCCAGCAAAAATCATCTGGAATTTTTGATATTTTTTGCATTACTTTTCTGAGAATGCATAAACTTCATGCAGACATAAACTATGTCTGTTATGTACTATACATAGAAAAAAAAAATCCAATTTCCAAACAGAAATAGCTACCCAACAGGAAGGGAGCCCAGACACTATGGAGAACCATTAAACGCAATTTAGTACTTAAAAAAACAACATTTTTTTGACAAGAGGCTCTTGATAACATATCAGATTATTTTTGTCTTGTGAAGGGACAATAAACAAAGCTGGTGTTAGAAGGCACTTATTTTCAGCATACTGATTTGATGGTTTTGAAGGGAAGTAAAAGGCAGACAAGCTAATTTGAAATTCAAAAGGGATTTATTTATTGTTTCTTTCTGGTAAATAAGAATCAACAGTCAGGATAGAAAGGCCACATATGACATATTTCCAATCTGTTAAAAAGCCAGAGTACACAATTTGAAGACAAATATCTGAAAAAAGGACCAAGTTTTACATCTAAGTAATGGCATATGTATTTTCTACGTGACTAGTAAGATTCTTTTTTTAGATATGAACATAGGAAAGTTATTTAGAGCTAATAGGATTTTGTATACTACACAGCAAAGGTTCTGAAAAGTTCTTATTTTTAAAGTAAAGTGTGGCTCAATGACTCAATATATATAAATAAAAATATGCAATTATTGTATCTCTTACTATAAAAAAATCAGCACAGAAATTATTACATAAAGTAAAAAGAAAAAGCCCTCCAAAGCTATTTCAATACACATACACATAGAAATGTACATATAACAACTGAATTGTTGAAAATCTTGACATCCAAGAGAATAATTAATGTTTATTAATATTCTATTTGAGACATGTGCAAAAAGGAACTAACACTACCTACCTTGAGGATTAAAATTAGATTATAGACATAAATTATAATTTTGTAAATTATAAAGTACAATTCTGGCTTCCTCGTTCCATAAAGGATTTAAGGTAATTGTAAATAGTGCACATAGCCATTCATTTAAATCACAGCTACAAAGTATGTAATCCTGGCCTCATTATTCTGCAGCCATTAAAGCATAATAGCTTCATCCATTTAACCACGCTTACCTTATGAGTTCAATAACAGGATCCCAAAGAGGGCTGAAGTTAACATATAACATGCCTAGCAAATACCGAAGAGGCACCTGCAATTGCAAAAGACTTGTTTAGTAAATGAGTAATAAGGTACAATAGAATGGCAGAAGTGCTCAAAAGCAGACATCCCAACCTGGACAATCTGAGATTTGGAAAGATGCTGTGCTTTAAGAAAAAATGTTGTAATTATCCATCCAAAATCCAGTGTGTAACAATTTCCTTCCTTTTCCTAACATATCACTCACAATTAAACACAGAAGACTCATTATAATGAGTAAACATATAATGAAATAAACATAATATTCAAACTCATTTCAGATATCCACATATAAAGGATACATTTGACTCAGAATTAAATTCGTTTCTAACAAACAATTGCCATCACCTGCTAAAACAGAACTTAAAGAAAGATCAATGAAGTACAAGGCTAAAGAACTCAAAGTTTACTGTCAATGGCAGTTGAGGCTTCATAAGCACATGTTCGAATTCTCAAAATTATACTTAAAAGGAGTTCAGTTCAGTGTGTAAAGTTTTCTCAATCTCCTTTTGGAATGACACTCATTATTACCAACATCTCCTAGTGAGAGGCATCAAGTATCATTACTTAAGGTTGGGATGTTTGTACATATTTTAGCAGCCATCTCTTTTCCAGATGAAATATCACAGAGGATATTAACCTCTAAAACAGGTTAAAAGCAGGACTTCCTGCAGTCTTGCTCACTAAGAGTTCAGTACATGATGGATCTTCAAATGCTATGGACTGAAAACCCCTAATGTCCTGCAACAGAGAACAAACATGGGAAATATAAGGCTTTAAACTTTGACACTGGTATTCCTATTGCTGTTTTCTCACCTACCTACCTCACTTGGGTTCTATTTGAGACATGTGCAAAAAGGAACTGACACTACCTATCTTGAGGATTAAATGAGATTATAGATATAACGGCATGTTATGAATTATAAAATACAATTCTGGCTATTATGTGTTCTCTGAACACATTACCTAAATTAAAATGAATCCATTGCTTTTACATTTTTTAGTGGAATTATCTGAGTTGTCATTAACTGAGGCCGTGTATCTTATTAAAAGCACGGACTATGGATCCAAAACACTTGGGTTTGAATACCAGTTTTCCAAGCTCTGAGCTGTGTGATCATGGGCAAATTACTAAATCTCCTTTTTATGTTTTCCTTTCTATAAAGTGAACATAGTAAATGCCTAACTCCAAAGTTTGCTCTAAAAAAAAATGTATTAATATACGATAAGTCTACAGAGTGGTGCTGGGAACATATAAAAAGAGTACAGAGTACCTGTCTTGGCAAACAGGTAGAGTCTGCAAACAGAATTCACATTTATTTTTGTAAATAGCTCTGGACTAAGTAGGCAGCAGCACTCAGAATGTTTTTCAATGGTAAAGGCAGGCAGTTCCTTCATAAAAAAGCATGATTGTTACAGTTTACATCTGGAATGTCCCCCCAAAGTCTCATGTGTTAAGGGCTTGGTTCTCAATGTAATAATGTTCAGGAGGGATTCTAAGGAAATAATGGGTTCATGAGGGCTCTGATCTCGGCAGTGAATTAATCCATTTGATGGATTAATAATGTGACTGAACTACTAGGAAGTGGTGGAAATAGAAGGTAGGTAGACATGTCTGGAGGAAGTAGGTAACTGAGGGTTTGCCTCTGGAGAACTGACTATTTCTCATCCCCTGCCCCATTTCCAAGCTGTCAAGAACTCAGCAACTTTCTTCTGCTACACCTTTCCTCCATGATGTTTCTGACTTGGAGTCAGTCAATCATGAACTGAAACCTCTGTAACCATGAGCCAAAATAAATCTCTCCTCCTCCAAGTTGTTTTTCTCAGGTATTTGACACAATTTTTCAGCACCGAAAAGCTAATGTAATGGCCTAAAAATGGAAATTAATTCTCAGATAATGACTATTTCTTTCTCTTAATTTCTAATAATAAGGAAGAAAACAATAGCCATCATGTTTCTTGTGATTTCCTTTTACCAGGTTCCATTTCCACATTCTTAGCCCTAATACTACAACAAGCAGAAGGCTGGTCATTGAACCAGGAAGTTAAAATGAAATACGTTTCAACAGATTTCCTATTATGAATGTTCACCATAACTTAGCCAAGGAATATCAGCAATTTTTCAACTCAAGTAGCCTTTGAACATTTCTCCTAAGTATTCCAGAAACTCACTCATCATCTATATGTTTTATTAATAGCACATAAAATCAACAAAAGGAAAAAGATAACAGTAACAAAAGCCAAATGTCTGCTCTACTCTCCCTTTAATAAAAATACCATCAAGTTTCAATAGTGATCTATAAAGTTGGCATCAGATGCACTGGTCAGGGTCTATGTCTCCCCTGTTCTTTGTTGTACAACCAGCATCTTGTACAGCATAAGATACTATAAACAATACACAATAACTGAATGAATGATGGCATTTCTTCCCCAAAATGGCAAATCTTTGAAGAGTGAAAAGACTGAAAACAAGGGCCTACATAGTGAACACTGTCTCTGGTTTATAAGGTCTATACAAAAGTCCAGGCTTTCAGATATGACCTAGGCCGGTCTCAATTTTCATGATGTCTCCCCTGCACCTCACACTGCAACCATATAGAATTGCCTGTATCCCTCATATGAGTTGGGCTACTTGATAACACTTCTGCCTCTCTCTCCTCTCTCTGGCTTTAACAGCCTTCCCATCTGCATTCCTGAACACCTAATCAATCATTCAGCACTCAGCTCCCTCGGTGCAGCCTCATCAGACTGCACTACTATACGCAGTGCTTTCTGTGTCTGACAGGCTCTACTAGGTTATACATCTCTTATAGGCTGGGTTATGTTCTCAATTATCTTTGTATCTCTAGAACCTAACCTGATGTCCAAAACATCGTAAATGCTTACTAACTGGCTAGATTCAGAACAGAATACTGACAAGCAAATTCAGTAACATAAGTATTTTCTGAATAGAAATAAATCATAGGTTTCTGGGGCAGGAAAAGTGAGAGACCACCATATTAAATATGGCTTCTTTATAGATAGGAAAACTAAGACACAGGGTCAGCCCAGGAGAAGGGGCAAGTGAGGGCAATCATGCCCTCTGCATGATTCCCAGTTCTCTCTACACATGCCTCTCTATATATAATGACTTCCCATCAGCCTCCCAAGCTGCTGAGCTTTCAGGTGGGTGCCACCATGCCCAATCCTATGAATACTTTTAAAGTACAATTTTGGCCACTCAATAAGGACATTTCAAATGTTGAAATGACTGTGAATAATTTACATATAATTATTTTATTTATATTTTATATATGCATATATGGGTATAAATTTCTTTCTGGTGATACTAAGGATTGAACCCAAGGCTTTATGCTCTATCACTGAGCTACACCCCGAGTCCTTTTTATTTTGAGACAGGGTCTCACTAAGTTACCCAGGCTGGCCTCAAAGTTGTGATCCTCCCGCCTCAGCTTCCCACCATGTTGCTGGGCTTTCAGATGGGTGCTACCATGCCCAAATACTTTTAAAGCATCATCCACAATTTACCCAAGGCTTTGAGAGAAATAATATTACACAAAGACATCTAATCATCATTTTATGTGCAGGGCACACTGGCCAAAGTAATTCTATCTACTATGATAAATTGATAATCAATATATAATTGTACTTTTATCTCTAGAAATGACAGAAAATAATATCCAATTTCAAGCACTGGATTTGGAATTGGACAATATAGATCTTAGTTCCAATTCTAAAATACTCACTAGTACATAATCTTGAACAAATCATTTTAACATACTTCAGCCTTGAGCTTCTTATGCAATGGGTATACTATCTGGGAAAACATAAAACACCATGTGACTGTAAAGTACTCTTATAGAGGAGCAAGACAATCTAGGGTTTTGTAAAAATATTTTTAAGTTTGACATACAGTTTTAAGCAGCAAAACTGAAAGGCACTGTAAGTATTCTGTGTTGCTTTAGACAAAAGAAGTCAGTAACTCAGTAAATAATAGTCATATTTTCAGTTTGTGCATAATTGAGATTTATTATTAGAAGTTCCCTAAAAACAGAAAATATTAAAATATTAACTATTGCCTGCAATGGAAACTTGAAATGTATACATAAAGAAAACAGATCCCATGTTGAGACTTGATTTTCAAAGTAATTTTGGTAAGAAAACTTTACATGCTTATAGGTTTTTGGATTATTCCGAAAAATAAAGTGTATTTTCCCAAAGCAAGGCAGCAGGATGGCATGATGAAAAGAACAAGGGAATACATTCTGCTTCCAGCTCCCTAAATCCAGTAAAATAATGCCTAGTTAATAAAATGTGTGCTTCTCAAAAAGTAGACTTATAAGAAGTAAAATAGCATTTGATCTTTCTCAGACTAATAAGGACAAAAATCAAGATCAATATTAAGAACAATTTTATTATTGAAAGTATATTTTTTTTCCTTATGTATTTTACAGGCAGGGTGAAAAAGCAATTTAAAAAAAAATTGTATCTATTTTATGGCCATTCTCTGAACCTAAAAACCCAGCTACCACCTTGGTGGACACTAAAACCATCCTGATGTAAAAAGGACCTGGATATAGAAGGATCCTGTTCTCTCAGTCTCCTTCCAGTAGTTTAATGGACATTTGCCTTTCCAGGGAAATGTCTGGGATCAAAAATCCAACCCAATTGTTATTATAAAAACATATTGAATTTGTAACTTAAAGAAAATCTAATAAAAAAAATTACAAAGTATGTCTCTAGTAAACTAATATAGAACAATAAAAATAATTTATCATTCACTTATTCTACAAACAAATTTCCCTTGAAAACCTGCTCAGTGGGACAAAGCACTATGCTTAGATGATTAACACCTAAATTGCTCAAAGAAAATATCTAATCTAATGAATGCATAAGGAAAAAATACAAAGAAAAGAATATTATGTATTGTCAAGAAGCACAACAATCACCTTTGTAAACTAAAGATTGTAGAATAACTGAATTAAGATGAGAGAGAGAATGTCAGTAACAACAAATTGAACTACCAAGGTACCCTAATACCTGTGCAAACTCTCAGATATGTCAGTCTGTATAGTTCCCCTAAATAAACTACATTCTCTCAGACTTGCTTCCTTTACATATATTCTTCCTCTCAAATGGAACATCATCCCCTTGTGAGGGTACAGTCAAACATCACCCTTGCCTGAAATCCTTGAACATTGTCTTACACATTCATTATGGAACCTGCCCTACTATAGCACAATGTGATGTCTTTGAAACATCAGTACATGTTTGATAAAATATTAATTTTAATAATCTCAAAGTTACCATACAAGTGCTTAATAGGTGCTAGCTACTGTTCTAACATTTTATATTTATCTCATGTAATTCCCAGAAAAAAGCAGTGAACTAAAAGTATTTTCCCAATTTCACAAATAAGGAAACTGAGTCACCGTGTAGTTCTAGGTTCAGTAAGTGGCAGAGCTAGGCCTTGATTTCAACAATCTTGACCACTCTACCTAAACTATTGTGTGATGATGCCAGGGACTACAAGAATCAATTCTGACTCCTCACATAACACAATTCGGCCTCCTACCTCCAGACCAATCATTTCTTTATACTCTACCCTTCAAAGCTTCTTTTTAAAGATGGAATCTAATTTTAAAAACATTATATGAATAAAACCAGTTTAAAAATGAACTTTTGACAAGAAATTATTCACAAATTAACCCAATCTTTAAGGTCTGAGGTTAATAAACTGCTAAAAGTGATGTATTTTATGCTAAAATATAGTGCTACACACTGAAACTGGAGAAATATCAGAGACCCTAAACAAAACAAAATTTTAAATTGGTCACTTCCCTATTCTACCAGGAAAAGCAATCATAAAACTAAACAAAGACTGGTCATAAGTGTTTCAAACCTTCATGTAGTCAAAAAAGTGGGTACTAAATTATTCCTACTATTTAACAGGCTGGTAGAGCTAGTTAACTCACAGCATCTACGAGAATTGTGAATTTACCTGTTTAAAAAATTTTTCAGGGGGTGTGGGGTGGGGTGGTAACTATTTGATATGCTTCCCCAAATATGATTTGAAGTGTAAATTAAGAAGGAAGAAACAGAAAAGGATGGTATTTTTACCTCCTGTAACAGCCCATCAGGTATTGCAGTCTGCACCACATCATGCCTCAGTTTTCTCAAGTGAAGAAGCTTCTCTCTATAATCACTCACTGTTGCAGGAACAAGTTCTGCCTGGCGTAATATAGCAAAGGCAGACTGCCGCTGACACAGCCCGTCACCCTGAACAGCCAAACACAACCCAAGCAGATCAACATTGGGGTTTATCCAAAAAGTAAAAGAATATTACATATAACTAAAGGTCTGAAAAATAAAAATAAAAAAAAATAAACTAAAATATATTAATGTCTTAGGTAACTATTTTTGTTTGGTTTGATTTGGTAAAATGTTCATTTTTCCTCACACTATTTACTTTTTGGCAGGTAATTTAGGTTTACTGTTTAGCACAGGAATGTAAAGTGAACAAAAAAGTAATTCTCACAGTGACTCAAATTGATTAGCAATATCTATTGAAATAAAATGTATATATACTTTTACTATACAATTCCAATAGTTTGCATTATAGAAATATAATATATATAACCCTACACAGAGGTTGTGAAAGGAAGTTCACTACAGTGTTTACCCACCAAATAGGAAACTGAAAAACTAAGATATTTTAAACTGTGGAATACTATTCAAAACTTCAAAAAATAAGGTAACACAATAGGTTCTAACATGGAAAACTTTCATCATAAAATCTGCTTTAATTATGTATGTATACTGAAAATGTTTAAAAGAATATTCATTAATTATCTAGATTTTTGTTTGTGGTCTTATTGTTAGGTGGGAGTAAAAATTCAAAAAGATATCAATTTCCATGAGATATTTACAAAGTGTGTTAGTTTTCTGCAAAGATAACATTCTGAAAATTTAAAAAATGTGTAAAATTGTGTTTTTAAAAAACCTTCCACTCAAGCAGCTATAATACCTCCATCAATTCCGGAAGCCGAATGTCAAAATGGTTTAGGATCCTTATTGTCAAAAGCCGAATCTAGGGAAAGTAAAAGGCATATTTCACTTACAAATTTATATGGAGGAAGAAACTCATTTACAGCCAGTAAGATCTAAGTTTTATAAAATAAAAAAAGATACCATTTGACCAGAGTCATAGACACCTATTCTATCCCTTATTTCATATCCAACACCAACCAATACCTAATTCAAAAAAAGAGCATATATATATATATATATATAATGACCAGACCAGATTTAAGACAGCGATGCTGACCAATATTCCATATTGTTTTCCTGAACGATAACACTGTAAGTACTTCTGTAAATAAGTGCAAGGAACTGATTAAGCTTATATAGTTCAACCAAAATCAGTATTATTTTTATTCCTAAGTAACCTACTCATATATTTCCACACACCCAAATGACCACCAGAATCATCAAGGGGGCTTTAAAACACCATGTACATATTTCATTTCCACCCTAACCCTACTAAATCAGAATCTTTTGGGGTGGGGACCTGGCATTCATATTTTTATTAATCTTCCTAACTAACTCCACTGCAGTTTGCAAGCTAATCTTTAGGAATCCTTGCTTTAAAGAGAAATCATTCCACAGCAGCACTTTCTGATTAAGGAGCTCTCATGACTTCTGGCTATACACATAAAAACAAATGGAGAATGCAAACATCCCACAAAACAGTATTACCTTAGATATACCAGTAGAAATGTTTCCTTGTAACTTGGGAAATAATTCCATCAAAACTTCCTCAGAAAGTGGCCCTTTGCAGCCACATAAAGACAATCTCTGATAATAGAGATCAGCCAACAGCAATACAGATGGCTCCGAAGGAAATGTTCTGCAATGAGATATTTATAAGACCCAAATTGCACATACACCTTGGAGTATTTAGACAGTAAAATAAAATTATCACTATTGAGGGAAATATAAAAGGTAGCATGGACAAGTTTTACTGGACATGTAACATCATGATTTTATAGATGAAGAATCTGAGGCCTAGAGACCCTGAGTGCTCTGTTCAGGGCACATAGCTGATTGGAGGCAGAGGCAGGATTACAATGCTATTTTCACTCCATATGCACAGCTGAAAAATGACAGTCACATAAAAAGAAGATATGTAATATTTATTAAGTGTCTGCTGGGTACTAGGCATGGAGCTAGTAAGAGGAGCAGCAGAGGAGTTCTGGTGTAGGGCAGCCCATGTCTTGACCCAGTCCCAAGGTGCATCAGTGGCATAACCTTGAGCAAGCTTAATCTCTATGTACCACCTTCACCCAACAATTATTTACTAAATATTACTATATGCCAGTGACTTTTCTAGATATTGCAGATACAGCAGTTAAAAAAAAAGACAACATTTCTGTCTTTCTGGAACTGCATTCCAGCAGGGAAAGATAGCCAATAAGTAAACTAACAATTAGTATGACAGTGATGAGTGCTGTGGAGAAAAGTAACCAGAGAGGGAGGTTAGACAGAGACCAGATTATGGAAAGCAGGGATGGAAGGAAATGAAAAAGGGAGCTAAGACGTATCTGGAAGAAGAACATCTTAAGAAGGGAAAGTAAAGCCACCACAGCCTGAGATGTGCTCGTCTGTGGGAACAGTAAGGAGAACAGTCTGGCTGAAACTGAGTTAACAAAGAACAGTGGCTGAAGATTTAGGAGTGGGAGTCATATGGAGCCCCAAGGAACCTGATAAAGATGTTGGATACCACTAGAGCAGGGTTTCTCAATAAATATTGGTACTATTGATATTTGAGGCTGGAATCTTTGCAGGGAGGTGACCTCTACATGGTATGGTGCTTAGTAGCACCCCTAGCCTCTCTCCACTACATGCCAGAAACAAGAGTCCATTTCTCTCTCCAGTAGTCAATTTCTCTCAGTTAAGAAGCACTGTAGTAGAAGGTTGTAAGCGATGGAGTGACATGACCTATCATCTTACATTTAAAAGAATAATCATTCTGGCTTCTGGTATAGACTAGAGAGCAGTAACACAAGGGAAAAAGTAAGGAAACTCATTAGGCAACTACGACAATGATCCATGCAGGAGATAACAAATGAGACCAGGGTGTTAATTTGAAACTAGTTCCTATGGAGAACGCAAGTACCTACACCTTACAGAGTTGTAAGGATTTAATAATGTATAAAGTGTACACACAACAGCAATTTGCATATAATAAGAGGACAATAAATGCATTTTTTAAACTATTATTGCATACATTATCCAAAGTTGTTTGCACAAGGTAAGTACTATTATCCTTTCCTTTTTTAACTGTCCTCTGTTGAGATATAATGAAGCTAAGGTCAACTAACTTACCCATGGCCTCGGAGTTACAAACTTCAAATCCAGTCTGAAGTGACAGTGAAACCTAGACACTCAGTGTAATAGCACAACACTGAGAAAGGCCCAGTACATACAATGAAAGATCATACCCTGACCTCAAAAATGGATCCACTTCTGATGGGCTTCTAAGGCTAACTGCCACCTGGCCTTTCCCAGAGGACATAATTACCCCATTCTGGTATGCTATGCATGTGTTTTATTTCAAACACTCTAGCCGTCTTCCATTGCTTATACCAAGGACTAAAGGATGAGAAATTTTAACCACAACAGTCAAGAAAAGGGGAATATGTAATATGGTAAATATGGTGAATTCAAATAAATATTCCCTCTCTAAAGAAAGTTCATTTAAACCAATATAATTAACCATGGAAAAACATCAACTTCACCCAGATTTACAAAAGTAAAGAGATTCTGGACTATTGCCATAAGTCTCCTAATTATCTTCTCAACTGGGTAAGCTAAGTGATCCCGTTTAAATCAATCCCCTGCCCAAAATCCTCTCCTTTCACTCACAGTAAAAGCCAAAGCCCTTCCTCTACCTAAAGGTCATATACTGTCTGCTACTTCCACCTCTGTGTATTCTTATTCTACTACCCACCCGCTCTGCTTGGCCACAAAACACCCCTTGCTGCTCAAGTTTATACACCTATTGCCCCCAGGGAGCATCTTGGACCCCATATCCCTCCTGCTTTCAAGTTTCTTCTCAGGTATCTCCTTCTATGTGAGGCCTTCCTTATTTAGAACTGCTACTCACCCTAACCTTCAGACTCTCCTACCCAAAGACTACTCTGGTTTCTTCATAGTATCTAGCACCTTCTTACATGCTGCTACATATTGTATTTATTTGTTCTGTTTAGTGTCTCTTCTTGCTAGAACATTAGCTCCATGACAGTGAATTCTGTCTACTTCATTCCACTGTGTTTCCTAGTGCCTAGAATACAGCCTGGTTCATGAGAAAAGCAAACAAATACTGAATAAAAGGTGCTACTACCAAAATCAGAGGCTAGCCAAACTAACTTAAACAATAAACAATTGTTTCAGTACACAGCAAAAAGATCACAAGGAAATTTTTCTGAAACACATTATGTTATGGTAGGGCAGAATATGATAGTGGTAGGAATGTGTCAATTGGAATCATTAAAGAGGTTAATAAAGTTCAACACTGTGCAGTGTTACATTTGGGAACAATTGCCATTACACTGCACCTTAATTTACACATATAAACAATACTCCTTCACAAAGATGAATCTGTATTTAAAGACTGTAAAAAAAATTCTTATTTTAATTGGAGAATCTAAGTCAATATTAAATTTCACTATGTGAATACAATTCATGCATGAAATATCTTAGAAGAATTTTTGTTATGTCTGAATTATAAACAATTATTTTATGTTCTCAAAAATAGACTTAAATATTTTATTCATTATTAAGCCAAATAAAGATCTGTTTACTTACAATATTAAATTATTTACACGTTCCACAGGAACCAAATGAAGAAGTTCAGAAGATTCTTCCAAACTTAGCAGAGTACTTATAGCTTGACAAAGAACAAATAAGTTTCCTAAGCACAGAAAGACAGAAAAAACTACTTATTATTTCTATGACACAACTATCAAGTATCTTATTTATCCAACATCTGATACTTATAGAACAAGTAAATTCACTTTAAAGTGAATCTGTACCTTCTAAAAAGTATCTGTCAGGTACCTGAATTAATAGAAAGGAAAAGAGAAGTTTCCAAGCCTTATATTTTATCTTTTTTAAGGTAAATATATATTTAGAAGTAGAGAATAATAACTTATTTGCCATTAATTGAGATGAGGATGAAATATTGGTTGGGCATCTCTAATCCAAAAAATCCAAAATCTGAAACATTTTGAATACTGCTATGATGCCCAACAAGTTCCGGATTTTGGAGCATTTCCATTTTCAGATTATCAGGTCAGGATGCTCAACCAATGAAGCCTATGTAAATATTCCAAAATCAGAAAAAAATCTAAAACACTCTGGTCCTAAGCATTTCAGATAAGGGACACTCAACCTGAGTAATGACTCAACCCTCTGGATCTTAAAAAAGCCAAATTATCTTTGTATAAGACTCATGTTGATATTAGTTTCTAATTTATAAAAAGTCACATACCAGTAGCTATTACCTTGAATATATTCAATTAATATTAATTAAACCCCATTTAATTTCTAGCCGAGGGGTCAGTAAACTGTGGCCCACAAGTCAGATATATTAGACAGTCTGTTTTTATATGGCCTGTAAGCTAAGAATGCTTTTTGCATTTCTGAAGGGTTCTTAAGGAGGAAAAAAAAAGCAACAAAGATAAAACATGTCCATAAAATCTAAAATATTTATTATCTGGTCTTTTTGCCAACCCCTGCTCTACACTCTATAGACTACTCAACAGAGCTTTATGCAATGTTAAAAATTATTGTGCTATTTTGTAGCCACGATCCAATATGGTAACTACTAGACAAATGCGGCTGCTAAGCACTTGAGATGTCTTTTCTTATTTAAGTGAGTAAATGACTACCATGTTTATATATAAGAGAAAATACTGTGCTAGAATAAAACAAAATACTTGCTTTTAATTTGGTGACTCATGTACATCTTGGTACATGAGAAAAGCAAACAAATACTGACTGAATAAAAGGTGCTATTTATATGGAAGATGTACCCATATATAATAGGCAATGAGGTGTGGGGCAGGGCAGTTCAATACAGCTTGGAAAAGGCAGGAAGGCCTTCTCAGAGGTACTATACCTGAGCTCAGCTATGAGAGGTAACTAAGAGTTAAATGAATGACAAAACCTAGAATGGTCCCTAGGCACAGGGAACACATGTTCAAGGGCAAATAGAATATTATGTTGCTCAGGGTGAGAAACAGAAATGCCTGGAGCATGAAGTGTATGCCCGGGGTAGGGCAGGCAAAGGACACACAGAGCAAGACACAGGCTGGGGCTTGAACGGTTTTCTATGCCATGGCATCCTTCTGACACTCGACTTTCCTATGTTCAAGTCACCTTGATTTGGTCAACACATTACAGGGTACAAGTGAAACATGCCCTTCTTATGCTCTTTTTTTCCGTATTTATCACATAAGGAGTTATGTCAGAACACAATGTTAGTATTATCCTCTGCTATTACATGTGTTTACAATTACTTTATGTGTGCCAGAAAGGACAAAGAGAACAAATGGTGATTGTAACTGACCTTTTCCGAAGCTCCCTCTGTCAACAGTCATGAAAAGTGATTCTATGAAGCATGTAACCAGTGGTATCACCTTCTCTTTCTCAAGAGGTCTGTCCAAGAAGTAGAGAGAAAAAGGGAAAAGTTCAAACAGTCATCCAATGGCTTTTTCACAGAATGGTAAAGAACGACTAATATATTTTAGGCACATGCTACATTCCTTTCAAAATTAATAGTTTATTTTCTTACCTAATGTGAGGTAAAACAACAAGGGCTGCCCAAGAATGTGAAAGGTAGGTAGTATTTTTACTTGGGGGTAACTGAATTAGAGATAAGAGATGGTCCAAAACTGGAAACTGCTCCTTTCCTGCCTTGGATCTAGTCTTCTTCTGCCTTAAGTAGGACCTATAGGATGAAAATTCAAGTAAATGTTTAAAACTGGAGACAATGTAATCACTTATTGCCCTCGAAAGTTTGAAATGACACTGGTTCTTTCTCATTGTGGCACTTCAGGGGAGGAGGGAACTAGTGGTGGTGGTTGAATATAAGTAACTAAACAAATGTGAGTTCTTCCATTGATTTTCACTGTGAGGACCTTTCAACTCCATTGGCTCTACTTCTTTCCATTTCAATTTGCTTCATAACTTAAACTAAGTCTCTCTCAGTTTTGGATATTAATTCTTAATTTATGTCTTTAAAAACTGGAGGGATAACTCATTCAAATGAACTAATTTCCTCTATTCCCTTTCATTTTTCATATGAATTTTACAACTTTCCAAATGCAGAAATGTTATAAAGTTACTGTACTAACGTTAATAAATATCACAAAAATGATTATGATTTACAAGTAATCTCCTACTGCTTTACTGTGTATTATTACATAATAACATTTTCTGATATGACATGTGGTTTGGGGTATGTTAGTCTATATTATTCTTGCTAGCCTCTTTTTATTCTTGCCATCATACTATGCCTCAATTCTATCTGAAAGAAATCTGAAGAAAAATTTATTATAAAGGAAAATTATTTGTTTTCCAATTTGTCCTCCATGTCTAGTTTTTTGTTTTGTTTATTTTGTTGTTTTGTTTTCCCTTTGGTGCTGGGGATGGAACTTAGGGCCTCAGGCATACTTGGTAAGTACTCTACCACTGAGTTTTATAATTCCAATCCCTCCATGACCAGTTACATTAGCTTATTATGCAAAAACAGTTAAATGTCAGATTTTTTACTCCTATGACCTTTTTATTATTACAATTAATCAAAAAGTCACAGTCTCATTTAGTTTCATACATATCAGGATACTGAATGATAGGAAATTATAATAAATGATTAATTTTAAAGGTCAGCTACTTAAAGTCACCACATCTTGATGTATAGTTTTTTTGGCAGTAACCATGAATCAACAATCTACAAAAATCTTACAAATTATTAAGATGTTTTTAAAAAAAGAAGGAAAAAAAGAATGATTAGTTGCCATGTCATTCCCCACCTTTTTCATATCTGCCATGAGCTCCTCTGTTGTGTTAAGGTTCTATGTGATCTGACCCTTGCTTACCTCCCTCACCTCCTGTCATCCACTCCCTTCCTTCTCTAGAGCTCTTTACCCACAGAGACTTTCTCTTTCTGAAATAAGCTGAATTTATTCCTTTCCCAAAGTTTTTGTAATAACTCTTCCTTCCGCCTGGAAGTCTTTCATCTGGCTCCCTCCAAGGCTGAATCCTTCTCAGCCCACACATTCTTGCTCCAGAAAGGAATACTGAGTGCCTCCTTCATGCTCCTTTTTATCACTATCTATAATCATCTTGCTTATGGGCTTATCTGCCTCATTCTGTCCCTTCCCATAGAATATTATCTCCCCGCAAAAGAAATCTTTTTCTTACTCATTGTTGTATACCAGTGTCTCCAACATTACCTAATACTATAAATATTTATCAAATAACAGAATACTCTGAAAAGCATTTTCACATTAATTATCTTTTTACCTTCAACAAACTTGATGAGTGGACTATTGCTAGACTACTGAAACAATTATTTAAAGCTATTCACAGAAGGAATCAAGACAAAAGTGACCATTTACACATACCATATCTCCGGGGCATGGGAGGGTGAGTAGCAGAGGAATGTTTTCTCAGACAGACAAGGAAGTTGTAGCCTTTGCCTTAAATTAATACATTCAATTTATTTATTGATTTTACCATGTGACCTTCTCAGGAGGATTTGAGAGGGTTGAGATAACAGTGTGAGAAGGTCTGACATCCAGTCACATTAGTGCCTTGGCTTCAAGGAATTCAACCAACAAAGCAACTTCATTCCCATAATGAAGACACCATAATTGTGGCCACTTGCAAGGAATGGGCCTGCCAGAGATTGGTTTGAGGTTGCAAAATCAAGAGAAAAGGTTCAAAGGGATAATTCTATAGGAGTTACTCATTACCCACTCCTCAAGAATTGGAGTTCAATCAATTAAAACACTAAAATTCTGTTGGCACATTTTAATAAAGAAGATAGGTTTAAGGTAGGCAGAAGATGTTAAGTAGGTATTAAAAGAGATGGGTTCCCTCAGAATCTCAAGTTGATCAACCTCCAAAGCTAACTGCTATGTGACTGTGGAGACAGTATCTCCCACTTCAATGGATGCTGTGAAACTTTGAAACTGAGTGCTCGGCACAAACTCAACACATGTGCACTTCCTCTGACTACCTCAAAGCAAACCATAAACACAGAACAGATCGAACTAATCCAACAGACATGAAACCAAATATAAACACAAAGGAATTACAAGGGAACCCATTTCCTAACCTACAGTTTCTAGAAGCTTATTCACCTGACTATTTGTAAAACGATAAGCTGAATCCTCTCACATATTTAAATGGATTGCTTTTAACTTATAAAGGGTTCAACCTATTTTGAATGAAATTAAGAAAGTAATTCATAGTCCTTTAAACAACTTAAATAAGGCAAAAGTATAAAATTTAAAAATGAACAATCACTTCATTTTTCCTCTCACCATCTCCTGACAACACAAAACAAAATTAACAGTCTTTGTATCCTTGGGGAGATGTTAATTATCCCCAAATTGATCAAAAGGCTTAATGCAATTCTTTACAAAATCCCAGCAAAGTTTTTCTGTAGACATAGAAAAGCAAAAGGAATAGGAATAACTAAAACAATTCTGACAAAGAGGAATAATGAGGACTTTTACTTAAAAATCTCAAAACTTATTTTATAGCTAGAGAATTAAGAATGTGGTATGGGAGGAGGAAAACTTTATGAAATGAGATCATGTTATACATACTATATGTACAACTTGCTTTTTCCACATATTATGTATTACTTATTTATATATAATCATTGATATTTCTCTATCATTATATATGTTAAAACATATAAGGCTTCATTTTTTACAGCATTCTTGGTGCACTATATTTAAAAAGGTAATCTTACCAACACTACAGGAACAGACTTAGAGAACTCACCCCACCGTCTGCTGTGAGAAAACAAGAGGATACTTTTCAATCGCCATGGAGCCAGCAGTGGGAGGTGCTGCTTTGTTCAGAATAAGCTTGGCCAAAATGGCCAGGGTTTCATCTTTGACCACATTGTCATCAATTAAGAAGCAATTCTCAATATATAAGAGAAAGCTTGGCAGAAAAAGCTAAAGACAAGAAGGGAAATCACACTTGTTAACAGATAAAAATTCTAGAATGCGTAAAAAAGAAAAAATCATAACATTTCAAAAAAACATGAATTCATAAACAAAGGATCAGGAATCCTAGTAGCATTAAAATTTTCCATAGGAACAATGAAAGAAGACAATGCAATACCCTAAAAACTGTGAAGGAAAATGATTTACAATCTAGAATTCTACATCCAGTTTTAAAAATGTGAGGAGAGAATTTCAGATGTACTAAATCTTTTATTTTAATATTTTTTTAGTTATACATAACACTAAAATCCATTTTGATATAATTATACCAGCACAGAATATTTTATTCTAATCCAGACCTCAGGACTGCCCCTTCCCCTTCCCCATTCCCTTCTCCTTCCCTCTACTGAACTTTCTGCCATTTACCCATAGTTGGTTGTTTTAATTAATCAGATGTGCTAAATCTTAAAACTTTTACCTCCATTTACCATTCTTGGGAACCCTTGGAAAATATAGTTCATTAAAATAAGAGAATAAACTGTGATAAGAAAGAAATCTGGGACCCAGGAAACAGGATTAAGAAGGAAAAGGACATCCTATTATAACATCTGTGTAGTGGGTTAAGAAAGCAACCCATTCAGAATGAATTGTAAAAAGAACTGACTGAACTGCTAAATTCTCTGACAGTTTGCCGTGTGACAGGTATTTACAATGATGCTGGCAGACAGACTCTAGTTTTTAAAAAATAAAGTAATTACTAACTTCAGGAAAAATACAAAGGTATGCAAAAAATGATACGTAATCATAAACACTCTTTGTTTACAGAAACTATGTAGTTCAACCAAAACCTGTGATGTAATTCTATCACAAAGATGATTTACTTTTTTTATATCCATTTACTATATGAAGAATTCTACAGATTGGGACAAAAACTAACAAACTAAGGAAAAGTAGTATATTCAGATGACCCAAAAATATAAAGCAAATGCCAGAAAAAAATAGCAAAAATCATTCATATTGGTCGGTGCTGGTAAAGTGAATATGGAGGACAAATGACTATCTTTAGATGTATGCCACTATTTTAAATTACATAAAAATGATTAAAAACAAAAACAAATAAATAAACGAAGATCTGGAAAGAAATGGAAGAAGAAAAGACATAGTTGCTAAGAAATCAAGAGTGAGATAAAGTCCACATGGAGCAGAAATGAGATCTAGGACATGAACAATAGAGGTTTTTTTTTTTTCCCTTCAGTTTTTAGTCAAATAAAATTATATATTATTAAGAATTAATACAACAGGTCTTTGAATTATAACTATTAATTCTACCTTTGTCCCCAGCAGACAGTAAGTATACTGCAAGGTTATTAGTTACAGGATGTGGCAAATACTTGATGGCCATAAGAGGAGACAGGCAAAATAAACTCTGGATTTGACAAAAGAATTTGTTCCATCAGGTATTTCTTTTGAAGCAATGAAATAAACTTTCGATCTTCCTCCAAAACAAGCTGTTTCAGATACTATTTTTTATGCTTCAAATTCACTCAAAAGTTTCTTAAACTGTTTTTTTCAATTTTACGCATGATTTTGTAACTAGGTTAAAAATTATTAAAAACAGATTGGTTACTATATATTATTTTAAATGCTTTAGCATATGGAATAAAGTTTTACCTGTAAACCAGAGCTGAATATAATTTCTTTAAAATAAGAAGCTGACTAAAACATTGAACACTAAGTCTGTTTCCTCCAAAAACAAATAAAAATCACAGAATTTCAAATTTGGTTATTTTATCACAACAGATTCAAGGAATACTCAAAATCTAGTATCTTGCTCACCTGGTCAAACTGCTTCATAGCAAACATGACTTCAGAAAAATCCAAAATTAAACGTCTTTCCAATGTGCTGTCAAAAATCTGCAAACCACAAGTAAAAGCTATTAGTTTAAGTATAATTAGAGAATACCTTCCCGTTTACCCCCAAGAAAGTGAATACACTAAGGGAATGGAGGGCACATCAACCAGCATGCTGTTCTAAGGCTCAGCCTTCTCCAAAGGAACTCACAGACGGAAGGGGCATTGTTTTATCAATGACAGAGGCTCTGCCTAAGGAAGGATTTTCTCCAGCTCCACAAAATTGCAAAAGGGCAAAAAGCATGATCCTAACCTTTCCAATGTGTCCAGCTGCATTATGTGATGCTAGAAAACATCTAATATATCCATTTTCAATCACACTTCTCTCCAAACCATCTCTCAAAAATCACTAAAATGTCAGTCTCTTCAAATCATGCCCCTGCTTAGAATTCTTCCAGGGTTCACCATGACTTGTAAGATAAAACCCAACTTATTTTTCCAAAGCTGAACAGAGCTTTGTGGCTATCACATCACACTTCCTCAAGTGTCCGTGTGCCCAGACTGTACACATTTCTCAATACAGGTCTTTGCTGCCCCTTCTTAGTGTTTTTAAACTCTTATGACTGGCAGAACGCTATAGAACCTTCAAGGACTATTTCAAATATAAATCTTCAAAAATGTTTTCTCTGTTCCTCAATCCCAGGCAGAATTAATGGTTATAATTCAATATGTATCTCAAACAAATCAGTTCTCTAGATTTTAACTACTGACTCCCAGGCCCATTCTCTAACATTAAACTGTAGGGATTACAGGGTTATCCCTGGAACAACTAGTTCACACATAGTAAATTATCCATGTTCACTAAATATTTGCTCTAGAGATTTAGCTTTTACCCCACTTTATTTCCATTACAGCATACAACACGTCTTCTTAACAAGATTATAAATTCCTTGAGGACAGAGCCTTTGTCATGCTTCATTTGTATTCCCCAGCAGGCTTACTCGATGCCAAACATATTATTAACTACTCAATTAATATTTGTTGAAATAAATTACTTTTTCTAAAGTTTCTCTGATGAGGGTCTCCGGCAAGGAAACATTTTCACCGAGAATCAAAGCAGAAATTACATCCAAGAGAGTTTCCCAGCAAGATGTGGAGAGATTGGGTATTTGTAATGTTTCAGACAGTACCTGCAAAGATAAAAGAAAAACAATGTAAAATCCACTTTTAATCAACAAGCTTTTAAACATATTAAGTTGAAAACTCACCTTACACACATCAGTAGGTTCAGTTACCTTTGATCCATTTCCATGTTTCACAAGTATTAGATATATTTCTAATAACCTTTTAATCTGTTCAGAACTCTCATAACAGTTCTTTTTTGTTACTTTGTTATGTAGATCCAGGAGTGATTCCTGCAAACAGTGGATTTAACAGAGAAAATAACTGAAAGATACTAAACTCAATTTTTCATCCAATAATGAAAATGTTGTGACCTATTTGAACTTTTTCATTCTTTTATTTTGGAAGGAAAAGACATTTATGGAGATACACTAGATAATGAGAGCTACCATTTACTGAACGATCAATTCTTAATTCTTTGAAGTAATTAGCATTTTCACAGCAACCCTGAAGTAAAGAATATTGACATCATCCTTACTGATCACATGAGACTGAGGAATAGAGATTTAAATTAACTTCCCCAAATTACACTAGTAGTAAGTGGTGGAGCCAAGATTTAAACAGACATGTGGATCCAGAGCCTCTTTTTTTTTTTTTTTTTTTTTTAGGGGACAGGGGGGATACCAGAGATTGAAGCCAGGTATCACTGGGCCACATCTCTAGAACTTTTTAATTATTTTTATTTTGAGATGGATCCCACTAAGTTGCCGAGGTTGGCTTTGAACTTACAATCCTCCTGCCTCAATCTCCCAAGCAGCTGGGGTTACAGGTGTGTCCAAAGGTTCTTTTAACACTATATATCACTGTATCTCAAGACATCATATCAAATAAAGAGTACTAAGGGTAATGGAAAGGAAAATCTTAAAATGTATGTAGAAGAGTGCTCTGATAGAACAACAAAAAAAATCCTCAACACTTCTTATTATATACCCATCTTTAAAACTTAGAACTCACTTGCAAACAGTCAAAAAATGTATCAAAATGTTCCTTGTAGATGTGGAATACAGTGGATTTGGCCATGTTTTTGAGTGTTTCTCCAACTAAAATCCATGGTAATTGAGTTTCTGTTTCAGTAACTGGTCCTAGTTTTTGCAAAATTAGTTTCACTGCCTGTAGTAAAACAAGAACAATTTAAATTATTTTTAAGTATTAAACTGTGATTTACCATTCTAAATTGGCTACCTTAAAAATCTGTTCAAGAATTACCAAGGATATGGGAGCTTTGATGGTTAACTGTGTCCCAAGGAATTCCCAACCTAGGGTGGGGAATTTTACTGTACAACTGACCCTCTCTACCTACTTGTGCCCACTGATTGTGTTATTACCTCCTACTATCCACAATGAAGAAGATAGAAATGACTCTGAAAGTAAACATACCCAGGGTTGATGTGTCAGAAAGCATTCTACTCTCAAGTATAACTAATTAGAACCAAAAAAAGTACCTAGGGCCTACAGCAGGAAGCAATGTTATTAATCACTTAGTGCTTTGTATTTGTTCTAGGTGACCTATCCTTCTGCCATAACATTTGCCTAATTCTTCTCTATTTTTCTCTTTAATCCTTTACATAGACCCCACCCACAACTTCCCATCATTAATTACCTGGCCTGTGCAGGAGTGAAACATATTTCTAACTCCTTTGCACATTTCAAAGAGCAACTGCCCAACACCTTCCACCTTTTCTGGATGGTCATTAAGATCAAGGAACATTAAATTGAAAAGTGCATTTTTATCAGAGACCTAAAATATAAAATGAAAAGGTATATTTTCAACAAAAATACATTCAAATGAAGAAATCTTACTTCCTATTCTACATATTCTTATTTAAACATACTTAGCAAACAAACATTTGTAATGTTCTTGAGTTACTACATTAGTGTACTCTCATTTGTACAATCACATAGAGGAGTGATGAATTCACTAGTATGATAGGAAGATACCTACCAAAAAAACTACATAAGGCAACATTCTATGATTTAAAACAAATCATATATTTGTATTTTATGAGTGTGGAAGAAATGTGATACCTATTTTTTTGTTGTTGTTGTTACAAAACCCGTCTAAAATTTACTAGGGAAATTTTTAGACAAACACAAATCACCACTACGCCTCCATTTTTCAAGGAAACTGTTACACAACTTCCTGTTCATCTTACTGTGAATATATTACGGATTTGAATTTGAAAATACTTTTGAAATATACACACAGAAAGTTACCAAAAACCTAAATAACAAGAGTGACCCCAAATTACATCAAATTAATGAGTGAGCAAAGACTAAACTTTACAGAGATATAGTCAAAGTAGTATCAGGTTTATCTACGTATTTTAAAAAGTTAGTCCATAATAGCCATATTATTACAAAGTGTCTACTTCTGGTCATCAGATTCTTGATGATCAACTAGCAGCAAATATATAAAACATCAAACTAACCTTTCTCATCAAAAATGTAAAGCTTTCAGCAGCAAAATTTCTTATGTGTAGTTTTTTATGAGCCAGGAGCGTACTATACATGCTATAAACGAGAAAAATAAGACAATTTATTAACCATGACTCTAATAAAGATATACTACATGTCAGCAATAAAACTAACACTGTGCTAAGCATGCAAGGAATACCTAAGAGGTATAACACAAGTTTAACATCTTAATTACTGGGAGATTTGACATGTCAAACGCAAGACTTGAGAGTCCCACATTCAGTGGTGCTGGTCTTATAGCCAAGACTCCATGAAAAGCTAAAACTAGCAGTGAGTTCTGAATGACCGAAATTCTGTAGGGAATGTTAGTATAAACAGAAGAATAAAGACAGAACAGGCAGCATTGATCATGGTCAAGAAATAATAAGGAGGCTATTCTATCTCAAAGAGGAAGAATGTTGGTGGTGAGATGCAGAGGCTGGGGGAGAATAAAGGTGAGAGGCTGAAAAAAGCTGCAGAAAAAGTTACTCAGGTAAACAGATAGCTGTGAACACCAAGCAGATTAATTTGAACTCTAACTTACCTCTACGCAAGAACTGACTCTGTGTTACTTTCATTTAATCAGCACAAGAACTCTATGAGATGAGTACTATTATTACTCTCATTCTACAGATAATGAAACTGAGACACAAAGACTAAGTAACCTGCTGAAGGTCACATATCCACGCAGCTATAACAAATTACTTACATAAATTGGCCTCTCTAATATGGAAGAGCATGGAATACGAATCTCTCTCATTTTGGCCATATTCCTAGTTCCCAACAACTTCTTACTCACAGCAGGTACTAATAAATAATGGCTAAATAACAAATACTTTCAGAAAGATTAATTTGGGAGCAAGAGAAAGGATAAAATAAAGGGGAGGGGGGAGAGACAGGTAGTCCACTTGGAAAGCTGATAACATCATGTAAACTTGGGCTGATGATAGAGGAAAATGGTAAAGGATAGACCCAAGAGACATTAAAGTATCTGCTGCAATGAAATAAAAAATCTTACAGTAGTCCACAAGACCCACCATGAACTGGCCCCCATCTACTAGTACTTTGACATCACCTAATTGCTCTTATTATTATTCATGTTCTTCATTGAACATGCCAGGGATGTACCTCAGATGATTCTCCCCCATTAAAATGTCTTGGTGAGAAGAGGGATTTTCATGTTTTATTTGTGACCATATCTCAAGTGCCTTCCAAGCAGAGAGCATTCAGTACGTGTATACATAACAGCATCAAGTGGATTTAGAGTCCTTGAAGATGACTGTGTCAAATATGCTTTCAAGGTGTGATACAGGAAGACTGTCAGTATAACTGATAAAAAAAAAAAAAAAGGGCAACCAAATGGGACTTGGTACAAGGTATGCCCTTAGTTCATATTTATGAGCACACGAATAAATAAAAGGTAAGAAAAGATGGTGTGAACAGAGATGTGTTAAAAACCTGGTTTTAACAATATTCAAGTAAAAATATCCAGGCCATTGAACATGTTACACATTGAAAGCAAATAAATTTAGAATTAAAGAACTTTTCTTAGGAGACATAAAAGTGATAGTTTTTATGACAGCTGAAGTTATAAAATCAAATAAACTATACTCCCCTAAAAACCTCATAGGTTGTTAATGACACAATCTTGGCTTTTAATCATTTTATTCAAAGCTTCATAGAGAAATAGTCAAGAGTAGAAAAATACTTCTTTCTCATTCTTTGTTCAAAGTTCCTAAAAGAAAAGGGTGGCAGGTAAAGGGGGTGGCACAAAACCACTGTTTTATCCCATACCCACACTTTCTGATAGCGGGTAAACAGTTGACCGCTGATCTTAAGTATTCCTGTGGCGATTACCACGTTGAAACAATCAGGAGACCAAATCCCATCAAATACCAAATTTAAACAGATAATAATCTTTCCTTAAAATGCTACAATGGAAGTCATTCTCCTTCCCTGTCTACATAAGCTCAAAAATACTGGGTATCTCTTTTGGCTTAGTAAGCATAATGGTAGCTGGGTAAATAGGTGTTTAAGACAGGATTCTTAAAGAGTTCATGGGTTTTAAGGAAACAGCACTATACTACAAATAGTTAAAATGAAAGCTGTGTAATATAAATGATAATAAACAAATGCTTTCACTTCTGGTAAAGGTGCCTGGGAATATTTGTGGAAGTTATGAAATCCAAGTTAAGTTTGGATGACTGGGTATAATTTCAATAGTTGTAGATGAGAGAAGGTTAGGTCAATATAAACAAGACACATTCAACGCAGATTGCTAGACTAGATAATGAGTCACTTTGGCTGGCAAATCAACTCTATATAAGGAAATAATTAGGCATCAAGCTGCAAAGGTAGTTTAGAGTCAGGAAGCGGCCAGACAGAAGAGAAATATAAATAAAAAAACATACTGGAGAGAGAAAAGGGTCACCTGTATATATTGGACATGTCCTTCACCATCAATCTCCACAGGTACTTGTAAAGATATGACAATGAGGTAAAAGCCCATTCTAACAATTCGGTGTCCTGGGTCTCTAGGATAGATGTGATGGTCAGGAAAAAATCTTGAAAGTGTGGATAGAAATCCATCTGCAGATCTCGTGCCAACTGTACAACCAAACTGGATTTAAAAAAAAAGAAACTGATTATGTAGTTTTTTTTTTTAAATAAAGGCTACAAATCTATATGATGATAGATTACCCATGATCATCAGATTAATCAATTCAAAATACTTCTAAATTAAGTCTTAAGAGATACAAAATTCTTCAGATCTTAAAGTTTCAACAAAAAAATCAGGTCAGAAGGTGCATTCCTTCAAGGCTGTAGTTACCTGCTTCCATAGTGTGTGTGTGTGTGTGTATGTATATATATATATATATATATATATGGGGTTCTTTTAGGAGTACATGACAAATGCAAAATTACACACCTAGGATTCTGTTCAATGATAATGCACATTTTCCTGATATTCTGATCTAACAGGAAAGGTAAATTCTTCTTGTTTCTAAATTACAAATATCTGATCCAAGCCATGTGCAGCTATAAAACACAATCTTTCTTAAAAGTTAAAAAAATATCAAATTTTCTCTCAAGATGTTACTTACTCCAAAAGGGGTTGGTAGGCAAAACTGTTCTTAATTTGCAGGTGAGTCTTCAAACTCTGAACGATCTCATTTTGATGATAGACCAACTGATTAAATGATTGGCATTTGCCAATAACTTCTTTGTAAAATTTGCCTGGGTGAAAAAAAGAGAAAGGAATGTGTTCTGCTTTCTATCACATTATTATTTAGCTGTTTTGAACATATAAAGTACAAATTAAAACAAAATTTAAAATACCGAAATGTTCCGTAAGATTTAATTCTCTCCATTTCAGCAGACCCTCAAAGAAGTAGGTTTCAACCTCCTGCCAAGATTAAAGCAGTCCATTAATCAGACAAGTACAAGAAAACTATGACAAAGTTTAACAATAATAATAATGATAATAATATTAATATGTTAGGACAATAACTAAGAGTTTAAAGTCTTTTTTAGTTGTTTTTGAAAAGTATGTTAACTAACACTTTAAAAAGCAATCAGAAATGATAGTATCAACAGATAATTTATAAAAACAAAGTTTCAGGCTGGAAATGTAAATCAGTAGCACAATGTTTGCCTTCCATGCACAAGGCCCTGGGTTTAATCTCCAGCACCAAAATATAAAAGTAAAATAAAAACAATGTTTTGTTGATTTGGTGGTATTTAATAATTCTCTAAAGCCCACAAAATAGTCACATAGAAAAAAATTATTTTTCTATTTTATTTTTTTGCAAGTTTAGACACAGAAAAAAAAAGTGCTGATTCTTTACAGTTCTTTCACGGTGATTTTGGAAATAACTGCTACAACTTTATGGCGAAGCTATACGGCATTTCTATTAAAATTAAAAATAGATTTACCCTTTGATCTAGCAACTCTAGTTTTTTGAAACAAAAAACTGCAAACATAGAAATACAAAAATGTATATTCGGTTCTATTATAGTAGAAACAAAACAGCCTAAAAGTCCAACAATAGGAAAACTGTTGGAATAACTATAGTCTAAATATAGTAAAATATATTATGTGGCTATTGAAAAAGAAGTTCAATCCCCAGCATTAAAAAACAAAACAAAACAAACAAACAAAACCCCACTATATTTTATATTAAACTAGGAGGATATTGAATGTTGACATATTCCCAAAGTGACAAAAGCCAAGTTACATAGTGAAATATATGTTGGGATCTAATTTTTACAAAACAAAAACCTCTGTAAATGTTTGCATATGTTTATATGAGTATGAGAGAAAACTGTGAAGAATACACATATACTGAACCATTAATGATGATTTCCTTAGCAATAAGGAGAACTGTCTTTTTTTCTAAGTTCACAACGTGTTGGTTATCTCATTAACACAGTATATATTATTTTGTTCTTTGAAAGATAAAGCCAATAAGTAAATTATTACCATGCATGTGTATATATGCATGTGTGTGTGTGTGTACACACACACACACACACACACACACACACACACACACAGAAAGAGACAGAAAATACCTAGGCACATACCTGAACAACATGCCAAAAAAAATTTTTTTCAGGGCTGGGGCTGTGGCTCAGTGGTAGAGCACTTGCCTAGCATGTGTGAGACAATGGGATTGATTCTCAGCATCACAGATAAATAAGGTTCACTGACAACTAAAAAAATATTTAAAAAATTTTTTTCCATTAAATTGTGTTTTGAAAATTTTAAAAGATAAAAATGAGATAAAATAAAAATAAATAAGGAGAATATAGGAAAAAGAAAATCCCATTAAATTTTATTTAGCACCCCTAAGGTAGAAGAAAAATAAACATTACAGTTTAAAATCTAAATGAAAAAGATATTTCTAGCATTCCATACTTACTGACACATGTCAGACACTTATGACACACCACATCCCTGCTCCTCCCACCAAGAGATGGAGTCTATTTCCTAATCCCACGAATCTGGCCTGGCCTCAAGACTTGCTCTGGTCAATAACATTCAATCAAAGAGACACTGTGATACCAAAAGCAAGGCTTTATGCTTCTACTTTTACTCTCTTGGAAAGATTCTCCATCATAAAAAGAAGACTAGTCTATTGGAGAAAAAGAGGCATGAAGAGAATCAAGACCAACAAGCCCCAGCCAGCTGCCAATCATGTGACTGAGGCCATTCTAGACCACTCAGCCCAGGATCCTATCCCATGCTCTCTAAATTAACATTCCACCCCTTAGTACTTTTGAACTTTTCTATGGCTTAAACTATAAACCATCTGCTGAATGTCAAATCTATTTCTACCTCTGAAATCACCTATTCTCGAGATCCATATACCCAAATATCTTTCGAATAGTATAATTTTCATGTCCATAGGTACTGAATATCAAATTCTACTAGTCTCAAATGCAACAAATTATCTTCTCTCCAAAACTCATGCTCCTCTTCCTACAACTCTATCTTGATAAGTGACATCCTCAATCACCCAGTTATAAGAACCAAAACCTTTAACACCATTCTCCTCCTTCCTGCATATCCAGTAGGTCATACTTTCTTAGTATCTTTGGAATTCTTCCCTTCTCTCCATCTTGACTGGAACTACCCCATAATAATTTCTTACTTCAAATGACTACCAGATCCTTACAACTGGTTGCTCTGACTCAAGACCCATTCTTTCCTCTACACTAAAAACAGATCAAAAACTTAAAGCTTGATTCACATCTCTCACTCCCACAGCTTCAAAAAAATCTGAACTTAGAATGGCATATGAAATTCTTTCTTTGTATTGCCTTAAATGTGACATGCATTTCCTAGCCTCTGTTCCTTTATGTAGGCTTCTCCCTCAGCCTGGAATAGCGCTCCCTGTCCTGCTTGCCCTGCCAAAATCTATACAAATAATGAAATTCAATTCAAGTAGCATCTTGTCTAGATCACCTCTTTGACACCCCATTCTATACCTCCAAAGCATTTAGGGTACTCTGTCTTCACTATGAGTTCCCAAAGCATTATGTGCTTACCTAGGTAACATGATTTAACACACTGAAGCTATACAGAAGAGACAATGAATTTAAAGACACAGTGAGTAGACTTTGACTAGAGCCAAATGAAGAATAAAAACTAAAGTTGAATTCTCAAGTTAAAGGCATGTTATACAAGACCTTAAAAGGTTAGTTAGTGGAGGAATAATGAATTGATACAGTAAAATGAGGAAGGTTTCTGTCCAAAGAGATGACATAGTTAGAATGTGATTAGAACTGGAAAATCCTGTAGTCTAAACCCCCCAATTTTTTTTAATAGAGGAAACTAAGCCCCAGAAAAGTGACTTCATCAAAATCACTTTAAAATAATACAAATATGCAGCAGTGTCAGAATGCACAAGAGAAAGGGAAAGGCTTGAATCACAAAAGCCAGTTGATTATCAAGTCAAATCAACTGCCTTTATAGCATCACTCAACAGAACTTTCTGCAAGGATGGAAAGAAATGTTCCCTATCTATACTTGTCCAATATGGTAACAACTAGACACATATGAACGAGCTCTTTACATTTCAAGTATGGCTTCTGTGTTAGACAGCACAGGTCTAATGCATTTCATGCTCATGTAAGAATAGTTTGAAAAAGAAATCACTTTTATTAATAGAGAAAACTGAAAAAAATACAGGAAAAGCATCACAAATACTTTAAGACTTTCTAATCTCACATTTTTCTTACCTCCTTATAACTTGCTGTTCTATCGATTCGGTGAATAATATCAATATTCACATTCCCCAATCGTTCAGCAAATGTAAGAAACTGGGGAGGGAAAGCATATTTAGGATACATTATCATTTAGTACTTATAGCATCTTGAATATCTGAATGCCATATAATAATCATATGTGGGCAATTTTCTTATGAAACAAACAAAAAAAAGTGTAAAGGTTCAAAAACCCTTATGTGCAATCATTACAAATAAATGTATGCTTTGCTTGGCATTTCAGACTTGTGTTTTCTATCAACCATAAACTACATAAATGAATTTTAAACTAAAAGAAAGCATCACTGATGAAACACAAGGGTAAGTATAAAAACAATTGAATGGCACAAGACTTTAAACAAAGACACTGCATTACTATTGGAGGATAATTAATTTTTCTGTATATTTGCATTAAGTTCTTCCAGCTCTGTCATTTCAAATAAGATTTCCATACTAGACTGGTAAACCTACGTAAACGCTGAAGATTAGATTATCTGGATTTATTAGTTTCACACCACTACACAAGCGCAGGGACCCAGCTAAGTTTTTGCAATAAGAGTGATTTTTAAACCTGCAATAAGAGTGGTTTTTAAATCTGGAAACGAATTGCCAGGAAGCACCCAGAAAGAGCTACAGTAGCCATTAACTGGAAGTCACTTATCTTCTCCCGCTCAATTTTTAAAGATAAAAAATCAAGGGAGATTCTGGGATAATAAATTTCACTCTAGACTGAAAGGAACCCGGGACGGCCCAAATCTCACAAGCTATCAGCGAAAGCTTGAAAACTTTCCCTCTCCACTTTTACTACACCCGGAATCTTCCACTTTCGCCAGAGCCTCCTGACAAGTGTCCCACTCTCTGCCCAGACTCTGCAGCCCCAAGAGTTCCTGTGCCAGTCTTAAGCTGAAGCAGGAGGTACCCGTGGCTCCCGGCCCAAGCACTCGCGCTCACCCGGTAGGTGTTCTCGGTCTTGTGGGAAATGGGTTTTATCTTCATGGCTGAAGAGGGGCAGCAGCACGGAGGACTTCGGAAAGGGTCGAAGAGCTACAACCGATCGCTGCCAGGAGAAAGTGGCTCGCGTGCGGTACTCTCCGGGTCTCAGTAGCCCAGTCTTTCTCACGTGCGGATGGAGCCCCAGGGCAGCGCCATGTTGGAAGCGGGGAGGAGCCTGAGCGGGTCACGTGGGCGGAAGAAGCGTCGGAGCAGGCGCACTCTCACGGGTCTGAAGCGGGCGAGGGGCGGGGCCGCGTTGTCCTGGCTGGCACGTGGCTGCGGTGTTTTTTTCTCTTGATTAGCAGGATAAATGTTTTTATTATAAAAGAAAACATGCGTGGTGCTTGGGACGTAGCTCAGTGCTAGAGCACTGCCCTGAGTTCGATCCCAGGACCCTCTAAAGCAAAAAAAAAAAAAACAACAACTAAGTTTGTCATCATTAGCAGCTAACATTAGCTGCTTCTCACTATTACCCTGCACCGTGCAAAAGCTCTTTCCATTCATAATTTCACAGTAAAGCTGATTGTGAACGCTAAGCATAAAGGAGGGTTGTATCTTCAAGCCTCTTTGGCACGCTAGGAAACAGATTATACAGCTGGTGTCCGAATTTACTCTGACTGAGGTCACTTGCTTTTAAATTCTGATAACCACTATGCTTGGAATAAATTTTAAAAACAGAAAAGGAAATTTAAAGAAAAATCTTTTACTTTCATGTACTGTTAACTCATTTGGTGTTTTCCCCATTTTAATGTCTATGCATAGCATATATTTTAATAATTGTACAATTTTATACATATACACAGTTTTTAGATATAATATACACACACTAAACATTGATTTGTTCAAATATTTGCTTAGAGTCTACTATGGGCCAGTATTCTCGGAGTGAACAAGAGATAATATTAATAATTATGTTTGTAAATATTTAGTTTGAGTTCCTTACATCTTGGGGGAGAGCGGAGGAGAGATGTTAAGTAGACATGCATACATAGCTGTATATATCAGCATAGAGATCAGGACTTAAGGTGTGACTTAAATACATTAAATACCCCGAAATACCTCAAGCCTGAGATACTGGTGACTTGTAGGAGAATCAGTGAAGTAGAAATGGATTAGTCATGGAATGGAAACAGAGTCAGTGGGCAGCTGTCCTGGACACTGAGGGTAGAGAAATCACTGTTGGATTATAACAATGTGACAGTCTAATTACCTTGGAAGTACAGTCTGGTGTGGAAGAAAAGAAACAAAATATTAATGGATCAAGGAAGGAATCGGGTGAAAAAGTACAGTAGGCACAACATATTGAAACTGTTATTGCCATTATATCACAGACATTTTCAATGTCATTGCAAGGTCATTTAAAATATTTTAATGGCTCCATAGACTTTATGGATTTTACTTTTTAATAACAAAATATAATAAAACATTGAGATACCCTATAATTGGTTTCCAGTAGGCTAATAATTAGCCTTTTTTTTTTCTCTTCCTCTCTTTAGGATATGCTTATCCTTTTAGGGATCACATAGCCCTCAGGAAAGTCTACCAAAGCTGTAGACCTTGTCCCCAGAAAAATGTAAGTAAGCTTATTCACACTAAAATATATAGATGATTTCATAGATTTGAAGCCTGCAGTTAACTGAAGGTGGGAATCCCTACTCTAAACAAAGTTCCTTATCTCTTGCTAAAATTGCTACCCAATAATTGTACCCCTTTTTTTCTTTGTTATTTGCTTTTGGTAATAGTGGGACAATAGAGAATGGGGAGGAAAATGAAAAATCAAGGAAACTAAAAGAATGGATACTTATACATAAGTTATCTTTCACATTCGTTGTTGTCTTGATTGTTATTGGACAGTTACTTCTTTGAATAAGAATCGCTATGTTATTGTGCATAGGAGCTTGATCTCTACTGCCAGGGCTCCCAGGCTCACACAAGAGCTCTGCCACTGCTATCTGAGTCTCAGTTTTCTTTTCTAAAATCAAGAAGAATATATTGATTCTCAGAATGAGGGTTCTCTGACCACATCATCCCACTCCTGAGTCCTCAGAGCCCCAAGAAGAAGTAGGGTGATAATCTCATTAACACTAGAAACCAGGAAAACTTGAACCTGTTGTGACCGAAAAGTGAATCCAGATATAGTTGGAAAAAAATTTCTCATTGACTCAGTTGACAAGTATTTATTGAGTGCCTATTATAGTCAAGCCTTGGCCTAAAGGCTGAGGTCCTTGTCCTCAGGAGGGTCATGTTCTAGTGTGGGGATATTACAAAAAAATCAACATATACATTTATAGACTGTTAGGTGTGATAAGTGCTAAGGAGATAAATATAGTAGATGAATAGTGAGAATGACAGAAACTATTAATAATTCCACAGAATTAGTACTCTGTTTCATTTTTAAGAAAAAGAACCCCACCACCACTAGGGCTGGGTACATAGCTCAGTAAGTGCTTGCCTTGCATGCACAAGGCCCTCGGGTCCAATCCCCAGCACCTCAAAAAAAAAAAAAAAAAGACAAAAGAATCCCATTTTAAACGTTAACTGATTATTTGCCCTAGCTCCCTTCTTCCCAACCCTACCCTCACACCTAAGTATACCCTTGTGACTAAGTTCAGGCCAATTGAATAAGAGTGGAAGTACTTTATGCCATTTCCAGGCCATTTGTTGAAAGATTGCCATCCTCTTCTGGAGCATCTATAAGGTGATCTAGGTTTATGATCACAGAAAATTCTGGAGACAAAGACATTTGTGGGCCTCATCATATACTTTTGGATGTTTTCTCTTAATGAAATACTGTATTTATAATCAAATTCTGTGTGGGAGGATGTATTTTCCAGAGATAACAGTAGATATTTAACCCAAGTTATGAATAGTGACCAGACCTCTTCATGCCCAGTAACATCTCTGCCACAAAATACATAGTCACAGAATTGTAAGCATTGATTTATTTTCATTGTACAGATGAGGGAAACCCCAAGGAATAAAATGACCTTACTCCAGCCCAAGAAGACACAGGAAACTGACAGAAGAACTGAGAATTGCAATCCAGTTTCCCTGACTCCCAATAAAACACTCTTTCTATTAAAAGCAGCATTAACATTCTAGGTACACTAGGTGGTGGTGAGTGTTTCAAATCACAAAGCAATTCTCAGAACTTTTGAATCGGATTTGGTTGTGGAATCCATTATTTTCTTTAAGCAGCAGATTTTCTTTCCTAATGACACTTTGCATAAAACTGTGTGGGATGAAAAACTGCACTGTTACAAATCATATAATCTCAATGGAGATAATTAGTATTTTTAAGGCCTCTTATTTATAAAGGACTTTCAGGTTTTCAAAGAATTTAACATTCATTATGTCCTCTGATCTTCTTGACAGCCCTGTGAGGTAAGCAGTGTAGATAAAATTTCTACTATACTATAAAGAAAGAAAATAGTCCAAGAGACAATAAGCAACTCAGCCAAGGTCACGCTTCTTTTCTGGGATGATGATGCTGCCAGATTTTCTTACTCCAGCTCCAAATTACTTGGCACCACGTTGCATCTTCCCAGGTGATTAATAGCTGGCACTTAATAGCTCTTACTCTGTCCCAGGCACTGTTCCAAGTGTTTTGCATATGATCACTCATTTACCCTTCCTACTAGGTAGATTCTATTATTATAGTCTTTACTGATGGGACAACTGAGCCAGAAACGGAGTAACATGCCCAAGGTCAGATAGCCTCACAAAGCAGTCAGAGCTAGGATTCTGTGCTCAGAATCTGTGGTCTCAGAAGCTGCACTATGTTGCTTCTTCAATCAGAAGAACTCAGAAGCAACTTTATGATTCAGGTGACTCAAGGGCTCAATTCAAGTCTTTGAGATCATGTTCAGATATCCCGTTGCTCCTGTAACTGCCCTTTGATGTGTATGACCACTTGGTCTTATTATCCACTTATGTAGAGATGTGATCAAAATTTGGTTTTAAAATCGTACATCTGGGTGGGGTGGAAGAAGCATAGAGCCAACCTGAGCAGTCATCATTTCACTCTTTTGTTTGTGTTCATTAATAATATGGAGGACTCGAGTAGATATATGTTCTTTTCACCTACTTTCTCTGTTTTTGTTAGCACTATCTCAATTTTCTTTCAGGAAATCCCCTCTTTACTCATTCTCAATCCATGTAGTTTCAATACCAACACATTTCCTGTCTATAGGGTTGGATCATGACCCAAGTACAATGAGAGTATATCCTCTGGGGAGGGGCTGATTCAGGGGTCTGTATCTGATTCTAATCAGTTCAATGAAAGTTGGCCCTACATCTTGAACTATTTGAAACAGAACACCCCACCACCACCACCACCACACACACACACACACACACACACACACACACTTTTATTTAGTAACTCATACAGTCAGGTGTAAGCTCAAAGCTGCTGGTGGTTATCTTATCCTAATGAAGGAGAACTGGCAGACAGATAAAAGTAGAACCAAGAGAAACAAGTCCCTGATGATAAATTTCAGGTACTTAGATCTAGCTGTGTCTACCCCTGGACTTTTCAATAATGTAATCCAACAAATCCTCTAAATTGGATTTCTGTTACTTGCAATTTAGATTAAACTTTTCTGATTAATTGGTTTGATGAATTAGGCATTGTTCATACATCAGACATTCTCCCTTGCTTAGAAACTTGGAATTTCACTGTAATACTGGTATTTGTTGCCACAATAAATCTGTTTTTTAAAAAACCACACACACAGTGACATGCAACAGGTCTACAGTTGGCTGGGTGGTTCAGTTATTGTGGGTTGATATGGTTGATCTTGCTTGGACTTATTCATACATCTGTGGTCATCTGGCATACCAGATGGAGGCTGGTTAATCTAGTACAACCTTGGTTTAGATCCCTCCACTGCTTAGCTCTGCTTCACATGGTCTCTCATCATCCAGCAGGCTAGCTTGAGCTTTTTCCATGGAGAGGTAGAGTTCTGAGAGAGACTGGTAAATTGTTAAGGCTTCCACAGCATGTTTACTGTACACAGCCTGGTTGTGCTAGGTCAGTGGGATAGGTTGCCAAGAGACCAAAGAAAGTATCTGGAGATGGTATGCAAGGAATGAGGTTTTTTGAAAAATGAATACGGGGGGTATCCAGTGGTGATTGTCTGGACAGATAGTACCTTCATCCCTGACTGTGCTTCACCAAGTAATCCCTCCATCCCTCAAAATGTTACTCCAAAAACTCTAGTGGTATCAGATTGACAAATAGTACCTTCATTCTTCACAATGCTTTGTCAGAAAATAGTACCTCCATCCCTATGATGCGTTGTCCAGGGGCAGCCCGCTGGATGAGTTGCATTTATCATCTCTATAGCACTCTCAATTCTGCACCAGTTACTTCCGGGCAAAGGTTTTATAAGTAAGGCAACAGAAGCAGTGACATCACTGGCTTAGTTTGCTTTGTCTCATTGTATGAGTACCACCCCCAAGAAATAGGTAGGCACACAAGAAAGTAGCTTTCTACAGATGCCACTAACTTGTCCTAATTCCTGCATATACTAGAGAAAGCCATTGTCCTTTGAGATATATCTGAACATTCCAGCCCAGACTCCATCATTGTTTCCTTGACTTGGCTAGAGAATGGAGAGGGGCATTTCAGGAACATGGTGTTGTACTGTCCATTCTTTTCAGGAAGGATGACACACTCCACCACCCATATGCCTGAATTTTCTCACAATTTTATTGCACCCATTTTTTTTTGTGATGTTTCTCAGGCAGTATACTAAGATTTAAATTGTAACAAAGAAAGAATAACAAACTATATCAAGTCTTATTGTAAGAGCCCTCAGACTCAATAAAATATATCTCCAGGTAATACTAAGAGACTGTAACCAAGCAGAAATAGATTGACACTAAGTGTATACATAGTGTTAATATGGGTCTGTAACTTATTTAGGGCCAAAGACATATTATGAGAATTATTAGGGACATATGTATAACATTCTGTGTTTATGAGGGCACCAAGTGCTTGGTAGTCAGCATATCTATTGTCATTCTATTTTGCAGTACTACCTTTTACATTTGAGTAGTTTCTGTATTAAATCAAGTTATAACTCTGAATATTATTTAAGGCAGTGGAGTGTTTAGCTAAACATCAGCTTGAAACTAGATAAAAATGCTTGTTGTTTGAGGAAAAAGTCTAGCACATGGGTAAAACCTCTAGGCAGCTCAAGTTACTCTATGCCTAGCTTTCACTATGTCCCAATTAGTATGGGCCATAGATAAATAGATAAAAGTGGAAAGTGTGTGGGATTAGGTATGTAGGGTCTTTTGTAAGTGCATCAGTCTATATAGTCATAAACAGGTATGGCCACCCATGACCTATAACATACCCATAACCTCCCCCCGAGGGGTGCACATGCTGTTTGACTTTGCCATCCTAAGTGGTCAGTGTCTTTGAATATAGTGGTAAGATATTTATCGAGAGTGGAGAAATACTATTGCCACTTGTCTTTTTCATACAGAGAGGAACTTTTCCTCTCACTTCAGTTGTACTTAGCCATCCCAAGCCATTAAACACAGTGTATCTTAGTAAAG